ATGGGTCCCTGGATAGCTGCTTTTGCCAGGACTGTTCTATGATGACACTGCCCCACTACTGGTAGCGCTTTCCTCCCGAGAATTCACCTTCAGAGATCGTTCCAGTTTACACGAAGTGGTAGCGATACACCGCCGGCCTATGGTAGCGACTCCTGCCATTTTCACTCACTATCTAACACCCATCTCGGAAAAGTTACCTCACTATCCACTACTCCAATCTCATTTGTCACCAGACTTACAACAAGACTTTCCTTTGCTGACAAAGGTCTCTCACTCCACTTGGGGTACGCATGCCATTGCTTTGAAGACAGATCACAGCGTCTGGTGAGTCTTTCGTTTCACTTCACTATAACGGCCTTGACTGAGACTCGTTGACAGTCTCGATATGACCAAAGTTCCAATGCTAGCCTCAATGGCGGCCCACCACATCTCGACTCTACCATCTCCCGATTCAGCACCAATCGATGATCGATTGGATGTTGATCAAACAGCTGAAAACATCACCAATGGCTCCTCGGACACGACTGCACTCCTTGCTTCTATCTCAGCTGAATTGAGCTCGGCAAAAACGCAGATGGACAATCAGCCAGCCGAAAGTGCCAACGAGATTACCGGCCGGGTTCCATCACCGGCTACAACAAGAGCTGAATCTGAAACTCTGGAGATGCAGATGGACATTGAAACAGACAAGGGTGCCACGGAAGCAGATTCCCACCCACAGGTCGTCGAAGAACTCAATGCAGCTNCTGCCAACTCAACCCAAGGTCTCGACAACGAATACACACCGACTGTACCCGCCCAAGATGTGATCCCTGGTGGCGCGATGGCAGAACGCGAGGATCACAGCAAAGATACGCTTGCGGGTGCCACCACCACTTCCACGAGCGCTCAGGCGTCCGCAGGAATTGCGCATGAGGATTCCGAGCCAGCGTTGGCCGAACCCGAAGTCGTACGAGCTACGAACGCCAAATCCAACGTCGAGAGTGCTACAACTCCGGAGTCTGGGCCATCCAGGATCGAGGCCACTACACCCACAGACACGAATGCCATTGACAACTCCGGTGGACAATCTGGAGACGATCCTCCAGATGACCACAATCTCGGCGCTGCCACTGCAGAGGACACACACATGAGAGATGGTTCTGACCACGACCCTTGCCATGTCCCTGACCAGGACTCTGATCACGACTCTGATCACAATCAAGATGCGGTCAAACACATCAGTCATGACTGCAATTCTTCTCTGGCTTCCGAACCAATTTCAGAGGCTGCTCAATCTGATGACACGACCGCAAAAGTAGCAAAATCCCACGCTACATACGCATCGTCTGGAGAGAGCCAAATCTCAGAACGTGAGAAAGAAGAGAAGACAGAAGATCAGTCTATGACTGGCGCTCAAGGTGATGATTCTTCTCCAGACAATGCCGCGACCGTCACCGCAGAGCCAAGTGTAGACGTCCAAACGACAGTCGAGACTTTTGAGTCAACGGAGGAGCAACAAGTTGAGATGTCTCTAGTGGATAAACCTCGAAGTTCCTTGTTCGGTGGGCCAGATGGTCCAGCTACTCGATCCACCGAACAGCCTGAGACCCCCACAGGTCTTGATGAGATCTTGGATGGAGGAATGGCTGAAATTTCGGCGCAAACCAACGCCTTGTTGGGTCTTGACGCGAACATGGAGAAATTCGACTTTCCAGAAAATGACATCGAACAGAATGACGAGCCTGAGGTAGAAGCAGGTGCTGAGCAAGAGGTTTCCAGCCCGCCAACCAGTTCTGACCATGATGCAAAGCCTGACATCAACGCCTTGTCCAACGCCACGTCTCCTGCTTGCTCACACCCTGCATCAGACAACTCACATACATCCCAGAAGAGCAGTGCCTCAAGTTACGAGGAGGTGATAGACGCTATCGGTCTGGGAAACATCTATCCTGAAGAGACCCACAATCAAGAGACTCCCGAGGAGCAGTCTCAACGGGAGCAGGCATACAATGGTGCTGATCAATCGGCTCAACAATCGGTTGAAGAGATCCTGCCTTGCAACTGCGAAGTCGGACTTCTATGTTCACATCGTAGAGCTCAGGCCTTCAACCTGCGGAAAAGGCCAGAAAATCTTTGCGTCGTCTTCGGCAACCATATACCCGACAATGACACGTCGGGAACCTACACAGATGATACCAGATGGTACCCATCGTCACAGACGATTGCGCCTGAGGATCGGGAAGAGGACGAGGACACCAACCCCGACGAAGAAGAAGACCTTGTCATGAGCGGCGGCCTAGGCATTGACACAGCTGATCCGATGAGTAGGTTCAAGGCCAAGATCCCCTTCAACAAAGTCGACACTCTTATTAGAGACAAGATGCCATTCCAAGAGGAATCGTCCTCAGAGGACGAGCCACGGATCAGAAAAATCAAGAAACGTAAGAGAACAAAGACAAAGTCTTCCAAACCATCCAAGAAGCCCAAGATCACGGACCCTACCAAAGAAAGCGACGAGGAAGAAAACATTGAGATCCTCCCTTCACCGCCACCAGGCCCTCCAAAGAAGACTGCTTCCAAGATGAAGACCGCAACACCCTCAGAAACAATCTGCCAAATCCTCAACCGTCTCGCCAAATCAATCACCACTCGTCTCAGCTACCCAATCCACTTCAACGCTCCTTTCACATCCTGCTCAATCTGCAACGACCCCTCCTACGCGATCTTCGGCACCGGTTCCCTCCGCAGCATCAAAATCTACGACTTCAACAACGGCCAAGGAGCACAAGAAATTCCCGACGCCAATGAAGCAGGAAAAACCTCCCCCTCCAAGAAAAAGAAACCAGAGGATTGTAAAGTATGTCTCAAGTGCACCACAAACTACATGAAGATTGTGATATGCAAAGAACATGATATCGTTCCCATGGAACTGGTTGTTATTTCTGCTTCTCCCNTGGAACCAGCAAAGGCATACACCGCTTCTGATCTTGCGGAAATGTGTATACTTTGTGCCTCTCCTACAACTTATTTCTGCGAGAAAGATTGCGGCGCAAAATTCTGTGCCACCTGCGCTGGAAAACTTTACGGCGAGTATGAAGGCAAACTTACTGCTATGCTTGAGACACACCCAGATCAAGTCTCCACCAAATATCCCCATGGTCTCAGAGCAGACACCGAGTTCCTCCGCCAAGGCAGCGAATTGGAAGAGTTTCTGCAAAGAAAAGCCAAAGAGGCCCAGGAAGCGATGAAGAAAAGCACTAGCTGAGGATCCTCTCTCCCCAGACCAGCGAACTCATGAGGCAAGATCTTGAAACAAGGACGTCTTGTAAACGCCAATCTTTCCCTCTATCTCTTGACATCTCACCGCTGGCTCTTGTCTCCATGAAGGAAGAAAAGGGTGATCAGGCGAGAAACAAGGGGAGGAAGACGGAGAATGGCAAGTGTGTACCATATACAATGCTTCCGAAACATAAGAGGGAAAGAGGCCGAAGATCTGGCAGATTTGGTATCGAGCATATATCTCCATCTAGCCAGAAAGCCAATCAGAGATATTCAATCAGACTTGTCATTTACAGTTTTTGTTGTTGTATCTTTTCATATACTCCTTACCTTGACATGTTGACCGATTTGTAGTTTTGACTTGTTTTGCGAAAGCAGAGTTATGCATGCTCGACGATTGACTGAGGTGCTGAGAAGTACAATATTACGATGCACAGATCATTCCATATCGAGCAATCAAACTACAGAGAGCATCGCCATCACACACTCCCTAGACAACATCCACATCTGAACCAAACACTTTTGCAGTCTCACAAATCGCAGCAGAAAAGTGTTGTGACGAAAACCACCAGCTGCGTTGAAAAAATAACTATTTAGGTTTACTGCAACGTTCAACTCGGAAACGACAGTCGTGCCTGTCAGATTCCTCCACCGACACCGCCTCCGCCACCAAAAACCCCTTGCCCTCTATGTGGATCCCTCATCTCTGGCCTGACATCGATCTGCTCAGAATAATGACTAGCTGTCTTGCGTGACACTCTTCCCGTTGTCCTTGAGTGTCTGGATGGATCTTTCGAAGCGGTTGAGCGTGAATTCGATCGTCTTGAGGGCTCGACAGGCACTAGAAGGTTCGAGTTGTATGGATCGCGTTCGAGCACAACGGCGGGTCCGACAGAGGGTGGTGGTGCAGAATTGCCATGTCTTGATGATCCGGCTCTAGACGGTCCGGCAGATGGTTCTTCTGATACTCGTGATAAGTTGTTGTTGCCTCGTGAGTATCTGCGTGGCTCTGCCCAATCTTGACTTTGGGTCACTGTGCTACCACTTGACAACCTGATACTGCCGGAGCGTATGTGCGAAGAGCTGGTTGCATGACGAGGNGGTAAGCGTGGGCTCTCCTGAAGGTATCGCTTCAGTGGTCTGTTGTATGGTACCATCCGCATTCCAGAACCAGGATCCGACGACTCGGAAACTTGTTGATCGGCAAGCTGGGCAATCATAGGAATAGGACGCTCATCCAGACTCCCGCTGATTTGAGTCGATGGTGGTGAGGGATCTCTGTCGTCAGTGGTACGATACCGTGCGAAAGGTCTGCCATCGTCATTCGTCATCAAGAATTCAAGCTCCTCAATTTGGGCATCGATGACTTTGACACGGTGTCGGTTCGCTGCAGATAGACGTATAAGGGGATTTGTGTAGATCCTGCGCAGACGCTTTAGGCGATTCAACCTGCACTGTGGATTGGTCTCCAAGATGAGTTGATCGATGCGGCTCCGGGAGTAATGGTTCTCGACGAGGCGCATGAACAAGGTAGGATGCCGTCCCAAAGGCGCCACTTGAGAGGCNTCTGCAGCGAGGATCAGCAATTACTCCAACGTTCGTTGAGATGAAAGTGTGAAAATTGAGCTTTGTTTAGTGTACGAGACTGCCTCAGTGGTCGATTGCAGCATTGAGTGCCTCAGGTAGACGTCTGGCTTTTCTGTGTGTATTCAGACGCTCAGGCTCCAGGGATGTATGGCTTACATGCTGCCCATCTCGCTTTCGCGACCAGTTGGCTCAACATATGCTGCTCTGAACTCTTGAAGTACAGAATCAGGAGCGACAACCGAACTTGGCTGCGTTCTGGGGACGACAGGAATACCAGATGCCGTCACGTATTGTGGTTCGGTAGCTGACTGTGTACTTCGTGGGACGACCTCTCGTGGCGTATTTGCACTGTTCGCGGGAACAGATTGCTGTTGAGGTTTGGAGTTGTTGCCACCCATCTTGACAACAAAGATAGTGAGATGCCGATGGAGAAGATGATGTATCCAGTCAGCGGGTATGAATGGCTTGTATCCTGCTGATTCTATGGATGCTCTGTGTCGATGGCGACTTAGGGAGTAGGATGGATGGTTAGGCTTGGAAGAATGGTCGGACACTGAAGTCGAGCGAGGCAGCGTCGACCATTTGCGCTTTCCTCATGTGTCGCGGTTCGGCTCTCGGTCAGACAAGCCGTCGCTTCCTTTTTCTGTGCAGGAGTCGAAATGCATTTGGGCGATAGAAACTTCGTCTCGAGAAATAGTCACTGATTGTCAACACTTTCAAACTTTTGGTCGCACAAGCAACTGTTTTGGTTATTATCGTCGAAGCTGGTTGCTTCAGGGTACCGTCAGATAGACGAATGGCCATCGAGAAGGCTCTCGTGACACTAGCCAACTCGTTCGAGTCGTTGGATATTGTCGAGATAGCACGAATATGTACTTCTGTCAGATTCTTCTTAAGCCACCAGAACCTCGAGGCCGCGACCTCAAGGTTACGTAGTTCCTGTTCAAGATCACCACTGACTCCTGTGATAGACACCAGCTGACTCTTGTATGGCGCAAAGTCGGACAATCTTGTTCAGACGGGCTGGGCTGTCTGGCCAATCTTGCCGGATGAGTTCTACACAGGTCGGCATCCGGCAAGACAGCAGAATGTTTTGTTGCGCTGTCTTTATATCAATACACATGATTTTGTATGTGAAGGATAACTTCGATGTGCGTGAGACCAGTGTCTGTTGATCGTTCCCAGCGTTTTAATGAAGCTGCTGCGTGCTGCCTCTCTGAAGCTTGTAGACAGCAGGGATGTCTGGAGAAACATTTGAGCTTTTAATCTATGTGCGAGTAAGAGATCTTGCCACTGGCCCTATAGTTGACTACCTATCAGTTGGGTCCAGAGTAGTCACCGAAGGTTGTCAGAGGTCCTACGGGAAGTCATACAACCCTGGTGCCGTCAGGCACTCGGCCTCGTGCAAGCACACTGCAAGAGGGCGTATTTACGGTCAGTCATCTCTTTTCCAGTCGGGCATTTGACATGCCGTTCTCGAGTACCGTACTGCTGCAACCGAGGACGAATCTGGATTCTGACTGGTCTGGAAACTGGAGAGAAAGGAGGTAAGGAAGACAACAACCGCTGTCGAGAAGTCGCCGAGAAGACCCGAGGTTGGCCGTATTGGCGTCATGCACTCTTACCCGAATGACGGCCTTGATTTCTTCTCTCCTGACCCTTGAGTTGCATCTCTGGTGCCCGAACTCTTCTAGAAGTCACACTCCTCAGTTAGAACCCACCTCACGCCACGTTGGAAGTCGGTACGGTATCTCTTCACATCACTCGGTTGCACATATCGATTGTGGCCGCGGAGCAAATCGGCGCGGGGAAAAGAACGACCCCGCCATCTCCATCTATTATTGCGGAAACTACCAACTCAGCGGTGTCACGCGGGAACCATAGCTGCTGCAAAACTTCAAGCCCTTCTCCTGAAACCATAAGGTTGCTTACTGTACCCTTGTTCCTGTCTTCCTCGCCATCTTTCGTCGAAGAACAATCACTCAATCTGCTTCGTCTCAAGCCGCTGCAAGCCGCTGACTCGGAACGTCACCACGGCAAACCATCAACTACAGGAATCCCGTCTCTACCTACGTCTCCATTGATACGCCTTCTCTAATCCAACAACCATGGCTCTGGATCAAATCCCCTTGGAAGCGGGCCAGCAGTACAAGCCCGAGATGCGCAAAGTGCCCGAAGGACAGATGATGCGTCCTAATAGAAAGACTAACGGAAGCGGCGTCCAGGCCCCAGAAACCAGGATCTGTGTTGTTATGGTTGGCCTTCCAGCCAGAGGAAAGAGTCTGATAGCTCAGANNAAGGCATCATGACCCTACTCTCAGTCTTTCTTCGCACCCACTAACGTCCTCATAGTTGTTCGCTACCTCCGCTGGCTCTCGGTCGACGCAAAGACCTTCAACGTAGGCCAATATCGCCGCACCACCACTCCCAACCCCCCCGCCGAGTTTTTCGATCAAAGCAATGCAGAAGGCGAGAAGATGCGCAAAGCTGCCGCCGAGGCTGCTGTGGCAGACATGCTGAAATGGTTCGACAACGGTGAAGGTCTTGTTGCAATTCTCGATGCTACCAACTCGACGAAAGCACGGAGACGCTGGATTCAAGATCGATGCGACGCCGCCAACATACAGACCATGTTTGTCGAGTCAAAATGTGACGACGAAGAGCTTGTCATGTCAAACATCAAGGAGGTCAAGACCACATCGCCCGACTATGTAGGACAAGATCCCGAGGTCGCTGCACAAGATTTCTTGAAGAGAATCAGAAACTATGAAAAGGTGTATGAGACACTGGACGAGGACGAAGCCGACCTTACATACTGCAAGCTGATTGATGTTGGACATCAAGTAATCATCAACAAGATCCAGGACTACCTTCAATCCCGTGTGGTCTACTACCTGATGAATCTGCACATCAAACCGCGCTCTATTTGGCTGTCGCGAGTAAGTTTAACCAACATCAACACCCTGCCTGATGTATTGATCCTAACTGCTACAGNNCACGGTGAATCCGAGTACAACCTGTCGGGCAAGATTGGTGGAGATGCCAACATTAGCGAAAGAGGTCAGATGTATGCTAAGAAGCTACCTGAGATCGTGAAACAATCTGCTGGAGACCTTCAACTTACAGTGTGGACTTCAACACTAAAGCGAACGATTCAAACCTCGAGATTTTTACCCTTCGAGAAGCTTTCATGGAAGGCGCTGGACGAACTGGACTCTGGAGTTTGCGACAGCTTGACATATGCTGAGATCGAAGAACGATACCCAGCAGACTTCAAGGCTCGCGATGACGACAAATACAACTATCGTTACTTGGGTGGTGAGAGCTACAGGGACGTCGTTATTCGTCTCGAGCCTATCATCATGGAACTGGAACGCAGCGAGAACATTCTTATCGTGACGCATCAAGCAGTGCTGAGATGTATCTACGCTTACTTTATGGGTGTTGATCAGGCCAAGAGCCCTTGGATGGAGGTTCCTCTACACACGCTGATCAAGCTTTCGCCCAGAGCATACGGCACGCAGGAGGAGAGATACTCGGCCAAGATTCCCGCAGTGAGCACATGGCGCGGTAAGGGATCAAAGGCTCAGCATGAAGATCCCGGCCCTGGCGAAGGGACGGTCGATATTGAGGTGAATGGAAAGCCCACGAAATAGGCACCCTTCAAGGCGGGAATGGCGTTGCGGAGGTGGAGGTGAATGCAGGCACCGGCTCTTCCTTCCGCAAGAAAACAGCACAGCTTGGGCAAGACAGACAGCGCATAAAAGTCTGATGCCTAAACACTCATTGTATACGTATAGCATAAGCAAATGGCAGCTATCTTGTCTGCGTTGGTCGGAGTTCAATCGAGTACATATTGAGAGTCTTCCGGGTTCATCTTGATCTATTCGACAGCCATGCATTTATTCTTGTGGAGTCTGGTTGCAGGGCTTGAGAGCATTGTACAGTCGACAGAGAGTGTCAACGAGGATGAATTATAACAGGTAGCACTGTATCATCCAGTCACCGTTAGTCCTTTGAGGGTCTTGGTATGGACTGTGAAGTAGACTAAAAGTCTGACGTGGTTGGTCCGTGACTTCGTGACAGCGGGAAAGCAAACGGCTCTTGCCGAATGATATCAAGTTGAACTTGGAAGCTCCATCCAGACGAACAAGGAAGGCACTTTCGGATCTCTAGAAGTTTCATAATCACTCATCGTGAATTCTGCAACACGACAAGATCTTTGACGCGCTGCACCCGCCGAAAGACTTGCCATCACTTTCCTACACGGTCCGCCTCTCGACTCCACCCTCGATCCATTTCACAACGCTTCGACCAGCGAGATTCTAGTCGACCCGCATCTGACTGAGCAAATTGTAGCCGACGTGACGTTTCTGCTTCACGCCCTACCATCTGCAGCTGCCCGCGCATCTGTTTGTACTACTCAGTTCACCTCAACTCACCTTCGCCTACACACCTCCGCTTCTTCTGGTCCTTTTGCCGCTCCAGTAACATTCTCCGAGCACCACATCAGTCGCAACCATACCTAGACAAAGCACATAACCTGGTGAAGCGCAGCACTTGCGCTCGTGTCTCGGCACGCCATGGGGAGGATCAAGAAGACCGCCACCGAGCGTCATGAGGCGACTATCGTGAGTCGAGATACCTTTCATTGCATAGCTACTCTCTAACCTTCGCCGCAGTCACCCTACATTACCGACTTCATCAAGACTTTGGTCGAGCTGCCTCTGCACAAGGTGCCCGAGCACATCGCGTCGTTCCCACACAACTGGCCGTTCCCCAGAGGCGACCTCTACCACTGGATCGCCCCGTTAAATCGATTCGACCGCATTCTTGATGGTTTCACTACCGTGTATGCTTTGGACAAGGGCCCACAGACACAGCCATTCGAGCTACGGCTACTGCAGAAGGGCGATGCTGAGGATAGTTCGGTGACCGAAGTATCGGTGCAAGAGCTCGAGACATGCGGATATTCAGCCGATGGAGATCGCGAGCTCGTAGAGAGCGTCCTCAACTTTACTCGTGTCCTGCTTGAGCGTTGTGGCAACCGCAGTCTGTATGCTAGCAGCGCACATCTCAACCACCTACTCAACACTTTCTCCCTCAGCCTGCTCAAAATCACTCTTCGTGTTAGTTTGCGCTTGGCCCAGAGATACCACACTTCGCGAATGCGCGTTGCTTCGCCACACTCGCTCAACGCTCTACTGGCTGGCCATTATAGCATCGATCTGAACCGCATTCAGAAGCTCGCCAACCCCTTCCCCAAGAAGCCCGTCGCTACACCCATCTTCGGTCAAACTCCGTTAAAGAACAAGGAAAAGGAGGATGCTGTCAAGCCTGGGGTCAACACTGCCGATATTGAGTCTTTGGTCAAGGCTAAGGATGTTCCTCTGTCATATAAGGAAGAGCTGTCGTGCGTACACTTGACTTATTACGACAAGACTGATGTATCTGCACCTGCATCTTCTGTCGAGGCTCGCGCCCCCAATACGCCTGGTTCGCCCATGCCTCCGGTCACACCTACCCCCGTGCGTCGTACCTCGAACCTAGGCCCCGGCTCAGCACGCAGTGAACGTATGACCACCAACACAGACACTCCCGAGACTCCAGTACGCCCGCAAGAGTCAGAGAATCCTCCAGCCGGACCCAAGACCTTTGAACTCTCTTCTGCTCAACTCGCTGGTGCTGACCTTTGGAGGATCATGGAAGAGAATGTCACCAAGGTACCTGAGGATAACCAGTTTGACCTGCTTCAGAGAGTCCGCGTGGCTTCTGCGTTCCAAACATCCAAGGCAGCTGTCCATGATCTGGTTGCAATCAGGATCTTGGCCATTTCCAACCTGTCCTACGTCTATGGCGAGACAACATTCCACCAACGCATCGGTCAGCCGGATTCCGAAGAGCCCCGCCGAACTCAGCTGGCTCAGCAACTCACAGACATGCTTCAGCCTCCCAGCTCTGGTCAGGAAGAGATATCTCGCGAGATGATGGTTATTGTTATTCAAGCCCTTGAGGCTCTGGCCAAGTGCAAATCCAAGACTACCGAGATTGCCAATGCCCTCAACATCACTGTCAGCCATGGTGTTCTTTTCTATGTTCTCAGAAAAATTCTTGCTACTCTTGGTGATGAAGAAGCCTCTGGTCAAGACCATGAATGGTGCAAGGACGTCTTCGATCTGGTCATGACCCTTACCCCGGCAGCACCACACCCGCAACGTAACGCGGACGTTCTTGTGGCCGCTGGCTTTGTAGGTATCTTGGTTGATATTCTGAGCCTTCGCACAAAGCAAGCTGAGATCTACTTCCCCATTGCTCTTGGCTTCTTCGACAGCTTCATTCACAATGGAGTGAGAGACGCATTCCAGGCCATCGTCAACGCCAAAGGCTTAGATGTACTTGCTGATCTTACTGCTTTCGAAGTCCAGCGTTCGCTCGAGGCTGCTCAAAAGCAAGAGGGTCTACCCACAGAATACAAGACCAAGATCACCGACTTTCAAATCCCTTTCAATTCTCAACAGACTCTGCGCCAGCTTCTCAAGTTCGTCGCTCACATGTACCACCACAACGTTGGCACGGATGACCGCCTGCTACGCAATTTCGTTGACTCGCCTCAACTTCTCGGTGCACTTCGCATCATCTTCGACAATGCGCCTGTCTTTGGGTCAAACGTATGGAGCGGTGCTATGAACATCCTCAGCAGCTTTATCCACAACGAACCTACCAGCTACCAGGTCATTGCCGAAGCTGGACTGAGCAAGGGTTTCCTCGAAGCTGTTACCCAGCAGTCGATCACAGTCTCTGACGTAATCGTCGAGAATGCCGAGAACGAAGATACAGAGATCTCTGAGGATAAGCCCGATGAAGTGATGGCTCAAAAGCCGACCGTACCGGAAGTTCCGACCAAGGAAGCTCCTTCTGCAGAGACATCCAAGGCATTGGGCATCCTGCCTGTGGGAGAGACCATGCGTGAGATCCCCACAGCCTTCGGTGCTATTTGTCTCAATGAGAATGGAATGCGTATGTTTCAAGCATCACAGGCGTTGGAGAAGTTCTTAGAAATCTTCGAGAGCCCCGAGCATGTCAAGGCTATGGAGGAAGATGCTGAAGTTCCTCAATACATCGGTACTGCCTTTGACGAGCTTGTTCGCCATCATCCTCAACTCAAGGAGAGAACCTCAAACGCTGTTGTCGGCATGGTCCGCAGTGTCATGTCCATTTGTCAACGTCGCGCTGAGACTAAGGGTGTTGGTGCCAAACTTTGGGTTCAGGGCGACAAGGGCTTGCAGGTAGCTGGAGGACGTGATGCTTTGCGCGGCATGTCTGATACACAAGTCGAGAACGCATATGATGCCGATGACACCAATTTCTCAGGTCGCGCTGAAGATATATCGCCAGTCACAGAAACTGATCTTGAAAGCGATACCCTGGTCAAGGGTCGTGGTGGTGGTCAGTCTAGCTCGGACTTCATCGCCATGGTCTGCAGATTCCTTGGCGGCTTCTTGAGTAACCATAGCATGGCAACAGCTTTCTGCGAGGCCGCAGGTGCCGAGACTCTGCTCGATATGGCAACTGCTGCTTGCAACCCATACAACTTCCACGAGACTCTTGCTCAGCAGGAACTCATCAGAGTGCTCCAACAACTGGTTGAACACAAGCCTCATCTGATCCTTCCATCTCTTGCTCGACGCACACAGCTAGCTTATTTCCAGCTAAGACCATTGGCCGATCACCCCGCTGGCAAGACCTACTTCAGCGATCTGACCGAACCTTTGACGGATTCAGGCTCTCAGAACAATCTTGTGGTCTCAAACGCAACGTACACAGCCAAGGCAATGGTTCAGGCTCAATTCCTTTGCCATGTCTTCTCTCAGGTCTTCTCCATGCACGTCTACCATGCCGGTCGTACTGTACCTCATCACTTCTTCGGTCAAGTCAACCTTACAGATATCTACACTGACTTGATCGACGACTTGGGTGAATTATACTCTTCATGCGTCTGGGAGGCCATCACAATGCGCAACAACATGCCTGAAGACTGGAAAAAGCAAATCCACATTTCTGGCATGAGTTTCGACCATAGTGAGGCGGACAATGTCATGGGCCTGTCTGCCTCTAGCAGCTCGCAGTCCACCAATGCCGAGGCTGGAAGCGCTTCTCAAGGACAGCAGGGCAACGAGGCTCAAAAGGTTGAGGCACGTAACACTGCACAATTCAAGAACTGCCAGATTCTCGCGTCACTCTCTAATCAAGTGTCCACCGGCATTCTCTCTTTCTTCCAGGCTGTAGGCAAATCGTTGCTGTGGAAGCACTCTTCGCGCACTATTCTGAGCGATTACCAGAAGCAGAACGCAGGCAAGATGGCCGAGCACCTTGCACGCGCCCTAGTCAGCCACATTGCAACTCCTCAGCCATCAACCATGTCGGAGGTTGATCGTGTTGCTTACGATATTGTCGTTCTCACCTCGACGCTGCAGACGCTGGTTGACGAGCGAAAGACCACACGCACTGGCGGTACTCACCGTGAAGTGTTCTCTCTGGTGCTTCTTGCGTTCTACCAAAAGGGCGGTTTCGGAGAATTGGACAAAAGTCTGCAGCAATTCAGCAAGCTCATCGAACAGCACAAGGAAGCTTCTCAAGACTCTTCCACCTCAGACCAGGTTACATCTTCCAAGCGTATTCATGCTCTGGCACTCGCTGGTATCGACAAGATTCTGGAGTTCTACAACAAGATCAGTCATTCCAAGAACATCACCGACGCTCAGCAGACTAACGTTATGGCTGTCCGGGATCGTCAAAAGAGTGATTTCTTCATGGGTGCGCAGTTCGTGGTCGAGCTCCGTAACGCTGTACTCCCTCAAATCAGTCAGATGTGGAAGTCGTCTGTCATGGAGGCTTTACCTGCACACAGCGTCAAGTCGATTGTCGACTTGCTCAAACTCATCCTCGAAGGTGAAGGCGAGGCGAACGCCGTCAAGCGCAATGAGAACCTGAAGCGCCGTGTCGCCGCCGAACCTCGCAAGTTCAAGATGCGTCCAGATTCTAAGGACGCTCTTGTGGCGGAAGGTCACGAAGACGAAGAGCTTTTGATCGAGGCACTCTACCGTTGCAACAACAATATGGCAGCCGCCAAAGAGTACTACGTGCTACGAAGGGACAACCCGGACAGCCACATACCTCTATACCCTTTCCCTCACGAAGAAGAGGCCGAGCCGCCTGTCCAGGAGTCATCTGACACGACAAATCAGCCCGCCGCATCTGGCAGCGTACCTTCGGTGGAGATGCAGGACGCGGACGAAGCTGGTTCAAGCACACAAGACACTGATGGTGATCGTTCAGAGGCCGATCTGCTTCTGGGCAATGGAAATCGCCGTTTGGTGCTACCTCCAGACATGCTCAATGGCGGTCTTGCAGAAGTTCTCTCGAACGCCCTCGGCGGTGGAGAAGAATTGATGCGTGCTCTTCCAGTTCACAGGCGACTATCAGATGAGGCTCAAAGACCCGCTGATGTTGTGACAGAAGAGAGTTTCGTTACTGTTGATGATCTGGACGACAAGCGCAAGGACATCAAGGACGGACTGATCGATAGATGTCTCGATGTTCTCAACACTCACACAGATGTCACTTTCGAACTTGCAGACCTCATTACAGCTGCTGTTACCAAGGCCGGCCAAGACCAGTCATCAAAGGTGGAGATCGGCGAGACGTTGGTTAACTCCCTAATGTCTCTCAGACCTGAAGAAGGTACTCCTCTCGAGGGCAAGAAGATTGCTTCCTATGCTCATCTGCTCGCATTGGTCATCCAAGACCGCGACTTCTTCAGTGCAGCTCTTGATACTCTGACGGAGAACTTTGAGTACTTTGGCGGTTTCATCAAGATGTTCCAAGGACAGAAGCCGGACGAAACTTCGCCTTGGGTCAGTAACGTGCTTCTCATTATTGAACGCGTTCTTGCCGAAGACGAGAAGCCTCAGCAGATACAATGGACACCACCACCATTCGAGGAACCTCACAAGGAGCAAGACGTCGTCGAGCTCAAGCCTCCAATTGTTTCTGACGAGAAGAAGACCACGATCTTTGATGCTCTTGTTGAGATCCTGCCCAAGATCGGCAAGGATGAGACCCTTGCTCTCTCGGTCACCCGTACGCTCGTGATCCTGACTCGCCGTCGTGCTCTCGCAAAGAAGCTTGGCGAGAAGCTTTCAATCTCAAGGCTCTTTGTCATGATGAAGCAACTTGCTGGTGTTGCAGGTGAACGTCTCCAGAGCACTTTCCTCATCTTGCTCCGTCATATCATCGAAGATGATGAGACCATTCGCCAAATCATGCGAACTGAAATACAGTCTACATTCGAGAGCAAGGGGATGGCCAGGAGCTACGACACTACGCTCTACACTAGAACCCTTTATCACCTCGCACTGCGCAGTCCCGAAATATTTGTTGAAGTCACAAACGAGAAAGTTCAACTTTCTAGATGGGACAACAGCCGTCCTGGTGGTGCACAGCCGCTCATGTTGAAGAAGGTGGAGAAGTCCGAAGAGGCCAAGAAGACAGAGAAGTCTACTGAGGGCGAACCCAGCGCTACCACTGAGCGACCCACTATTGAGCGTACCAAGACTAGTGAACTCAAACCTCCATCAATCGAGAATCCTGATGGCGTAATTCAGTTCCTGCTCAAGGAGCTCTCCTCGTACAAGGATGTTGAAGACAAGGAAGTGCAGCTTCCTAAGCCTGCTTCCCTTGAGGCTCCTCCTGCCGCCACTCCTTCGGATGTTGAGATGTCTGACTCGACTCCTACCCCGGTGGCCGAACCTGCGCCCGCCCCATCTGCGGACTCTGAGCCTAAGCAATCTGACAACAAGCCGGTGTTCAAGGCTGATCAGCACCCGATCTTTGCCTACCGATGCTTCATCTTGCACTGTTTGGTAGAGCTCCTTGGATCTTACAATAGAACCAAGATAGAGTTCATCAACTTCTCACGTAAGGCTGAGTACCAGGTGTCTACACCGTCAAAGCCTCGCTCCGGCCTCTTGAACTACTTCCTCACTAGCTTGATCCCGCTTGGATCTCTGAGCCATCCTGAAGACATCCCATCAAAGAAGCAGGCCGCCACTGCCAACTGGGCTATTAACACTATCGTCTCCCTCTGCTCGAAGACCAGTGAGCGTGTAATTAGCTTGAAGATCTCGACCAGCGACGAAGAGTCTGATCTCGCCTATGTTCGTAAGTTTGTTCTGGAGCATGCTCTCAGAGCATACAAGGACGCAATGGCATGTTCTGAGCCTCTCGATCAGAAATATGCACGTCTACTCAGCCTGAGCAACCTCTTCTACCGCATGTTGACCGGTAAGCAACAATCCGGCATCAACCACTCCATGCTCGAAATGGTTACGATCTCACAGAAACAGCTTGGCCGCTTCATGTATGAGAAGAACTTCATCACCGCTTTGACATCCTCCATTGCCGAGCTTGACCTCAACTTCCCTGGAGCCAAGCGAGCAGTCAAGTACATCCTTCGACCCCTCAAGTTGCTGACAGACATTGGTGTCACATTGAGTATCTCTGGAGACGTCTCTGCACCCGGCACTACTGAAGATGACGAAATCTCTTCCGCCACCTCCGTGTCTGACGACGACAACGAGCGTGAAGAAACTCCCGACTTGTTCCGCAACTCTACCCTGGGTATGTTCGAGGCTGCAAACAGCGACGACGATGAGGATGAGTCCGGTTCGGACGAGGCCGAAGAATACTACGAGGGTGACGAGTATGGCGAGGAAATGGACTACGATGAGTACGAAGAAGGCGGTCCCGGTATGCACGAAGGCGACGTTATCAGTGATGAAGATGACGAGATCGACGGCATGGGACCCATCGAAGGTCTTCCTGGTGACATCGATGTCGAAGTTGACATGGACGAGGACGAGAGCGGCGACGATGATGACGACTCCGACATGGACGAAGCCGACTCAGATGAAGGCGATGATATAGAGATCATCGACGAGATTACTGGTGACGATGAGAACGCCAGCATGGAAGAAGATGATGACGACGACGACGATGATGTTGACGATGACGAAGAAGACTGGGACGACGAGGATGATGGTGATGACCCTTACCAGCATGGGGCTCTCCCTATGGACGCTCTTTTACCTGCGCATGGTGGTCCATTCGGTGGTGCCGTCGTCCTTGAGGACGACCGTTCAGATGTCATGGACCAAATGGATGGCGACGATCCGGTCATGACTCTCGATATGGGCGGACCCGAGGGTTACTTCGAGGATGAGATGGCCGAGGATGACGAAGACAATGAGGAAGACGAAGATGAAGAAGTCCTCGGCTACGAACCCGAACACGACGATCCCGAGAACGACGAGATGGAGTGGGGATGGGAGACCGCTGCAATGCCTTCAACTCACGGATGGCGCCGTCCTGGTGGTCCCTTCTACACTATGGAAGACCCTCCTCTTGGACTGCCTCGCTCACATCGTGGTGCTGCAGGTGGTGGCGATCAAGATGGCACTAACCCTCTTCTTCAACGATCAGGCGGCAATTCCGGTCCCCCGCCTCGCCCTGGTGATATGCACGACTGGCTTCACCAACACCGCCCTAGACTTGGCGGCCAGGATGGACTCTCCTTTGTCAGCGATCTTATCCAGATGGTTGGCCCCTCGGGAGCTAGAATCAGTGTCGTTGATGGCTCTGGTGGTCTTGGCTTCNCCCCTGCTGCTTTGGCTGGTGGTATGTCACCTGCTGTATTCCACATCGCTGGTGGAGCTGGCAGATTCGGACTGCCTGATATCCGCGCCATCCAGCGCATTACCAGAGGTCTTACCGGCCGCGACGCACCCTCAAGCGGAAGAGCTTCTTCTAGCGATCCCGTTGCAGCTGTTTCTTTCACGCCTACACTTACTAGCCTTCGTTGGCAAGAAGAGGCTCGCTTGTTGTTCGGTCACCATCACCTCGAGAGAGCTATGAAGCTCGTCGACTCCTTGTTGCGTCTTCTCGTGCCTCCTGCTATGGAGGCCAGGCGTCAGAAAGACAAGGCTGATGCTGAGCGTAGGGCCGCTGAAGAGAAGGCTCGCGAGGAACAGCGCCAGAAGGAAGAGGAAGAGCGTCGTGAGCGTGAGGCTCGTGAACTGCGTGAACAAGAAGAGCGCGAAGCCAAGGAGGCCGAAGAGGCTGCAGCTCGTGCTCGCGAGGCTGCTGAGCGTGGCGAGACCGCTGAAGGCATCGAGAGTATGGAAGGCGTCGAACAGCCTGCAGAAGATGCCGCAGAAGCTGCACCCAGAGTTATGACCAACATCCGTGGTAGAGAAATAGACATCACCCACCTCGGCATTGATCTGGAATATCTGGACGCACTTCCCGACGACATGCGTGAGGAGGTCATCATGCAGCAATTCCAGGAGCAACGCTCGCAGGAGAGAACTCAAGACACTACAACCGGGCAGCCTAGTAGATCCAGCGAGATCAACCGCGAGTTCCTTGATGCGCTGCCGCCGGACATTCAAGCCGAGCTGCTTGCTTCTGAGGCCGCCGACCGTCGCCGTCGTGAACGCGATGAGCAGCGCCGCAGAGCCGCCGCCAGCGGCAACGCTCCTCCTCAGGCTGGTGATATGGATATGGCAGACTTCTTCGCTACCCTGAATCCAGCTCTTCGCCAGCAAGTCCTCTTGGACGCTGACGATGGCACGCTTGCCGGCTTCCCCGCCGAGTTCCAAGCCGAAGCTCGCACTCTTCTAGGCAACATCCAACGTCACCGTGGTGGCGCTCGTGAGAGACGCGAGACCGATCGTGCTCAAGATGAACAGGAAGCTCCAGAGCCAGAAGAGCAGCGTATCCGCAGACCTGTTATCCAGATGCTCGACAAGTCCGGCGTGGCTACCCTCCTGAGGTTGATGTTCGTCGCCATGCAGGACAGCGCACGTACCACAATGCAGGCAATCTTGTCAGATATCTGCAAGAATACCCAAAACCGTGCCGAGGTTATCAGTGTTCTCCTTTCCATTTTACAGGATGGAAGCTCCGACGCTAATGCTTTGGAGAAGAGCTTTGCACATCTCACCCTTCGTGCTAAGCAAATCTCTGGGCAAAAGACGCCACAGCCTCTCAAGCGCGCTTTGACTGGCACACAATTCGCATCACCCAGCGGAGACGTCTCGCCTCTTATGATTGTTCAGCAGTGTCTTTCAACATTGACTCATCTCGCCAACGAGAATCCTCGTGTCAGCTCGTTCTTCCTTTCTGAGCATGAGACCAGTATCAGCCAGAGAGCCAAGTCATTGAAAAAGGGCAAGGGCAAGGAGAGCAAGGCCGCCAAGTATCCTCTCAACGCACTGCTCACCCTCCTTGACCGCAAGTCTATCATTGAGAACTCTTCCGTCATGGAGGGCTTGGCTTCTCTACTCATCCGCGTTACTGAGCCTCTGAAGATTCTTCTCAGAAAGGCAAAGGACGCTGAAAGAGAAAAGGAGAAGGCTGCTGAGACTGCTGCCAGTGCATCTACTGATGTGCCCATGACTGAGGGTGAAGCTTCGACCACCACAGATGCGCCCGCCGAGGCTGACAAGCCGCAAGAGCCTGTCGCAAAGACAGAAGAGAAGAAGAAGCACAGAGACCTTACTCCTCCCGAGGTTCCGGAAGAGAACCTGCGCTTGGTCGTCAACATCATCGCTGCACGCGAGTGCAACGCAAAGACCTTCCAGAGTACACTAGATATTATCAACCATCTCTCAGCCATTCCTGGAGCCAAGGACACCTTTGGCAAAGAGCTGGTCCACCGTGCTCAAGACTTGGGCGATGCTGTTCTTGTTGATCTGCAACAGCTGGCTCCTCAGATCCAAAATGCTAAGACTAGCACCGATATTCAGGGTATTGCTTTGGCCAACTTCTCGCCTGCAAGCTCTCATCAGAGCAAGCTATTGCGTGTCTTGTTAGCGCTCGACTATCTTTTCGACCCCAAGCGATCTGCATCTCACGACAGACAATCATCCTCAGCTGAAGCTTTGCCTTCAAAAGCCCGCCAGGATCTGCTGTCAACGCTCTACGAGACTTCGACATTTGCCAAGCTCTGGTCTAACTTGAGCGACTGCTTGACTGCCATCCGCGAGCGTGGCAGTATAAACAACGTCGCTACCATCCTTCAGCCATTGATTGAGTCATTCATGGTTGTCTGTAAGAACACTACTTCCAAGGAGGCCAACCTTGCTGCTTCGCAGGAGCTGTCAATCGGCACCCCTCAACCAGACTCGCGTATTGAGAAGCTCTTCTTCTCCTTTACCGAGGAGCACCGCAAGATCCTGAACGATCTCGTTCGCAACAACCCCAAGCTCCTCAACGGCACATTTGATGTCTTGGCCAAGAACTCCAAGGTACTCGAATTCGACAACAAGCGCAACTACTTCACCCGTAGAATGCACACTCGCAACTCCGAGGATCGCATTGCCCATCCTTCAGTCCAGCTCAACATTCGTCGTAATCAGATCTTCTTGGACTCTTTCAAGAACCTTTACTTCAAGACGCCCAACGAAATCAAATACGGCAAGCTCAACATTCGCTTCCATGGCGAAGAAGGTGTTGACGCTGGTGGTGTTACCAGAGAGTGGTTCGCAGCTCTCTCAAGACAGATGTTCAACCCCGACTATGCTCTCTTCAACCCTGTCGCTTCCGACAGAACGACCTTCCATCCCAACCCCATGAGCGGCATCAATGATGAGCATCTCACCTTCTTCAAATTCGTTGGTCGCATCATCGGAAAGGCCATGTACGAAGGCCGTGTCTTGGACTGCCATTTCAGCAGAGCCGTTTACAGACGTATCCTTGGCAAGCCCGTCTCGCTCAAGGATATGGAGACTCTGGACCTTGACTATTACAAGTCGCTCTGCTGGATTCTCGAGAACGATATCACTGATGTTACCTTTGAGACGTTCTCGGTTGAAGTCGACAGATTCGGAGAGACTGAGACTGTTGATCTGATCGAGAATGGCCGTGACATTCCCGTCACTGAGGAGAACAAGCAAGAGTACGTGCGTCTGGTTGTTGAGCATCGTCTGATCAAGTCAGTCGAGGAGCAGCTCGAGCATTTCTTGAAGGGTAAGTCACATTCAGCATATTTTTTGACCAATCGAAACTAACCAATCACACAGNGCTTCCACGAAATCATCCCCGCCGAACTTGTCTCAATCTTCAACGAGCAAGAACTCGAACTTCTCATCTCGGGTCTCCCCGACATCGATGTCGACGACTGGAAGAACAACACCGAGTACCATAACTACCAGCAAACCTCGCCACAAATCCAATGGTTCTGGCGCGCTGTCCGCAGCTTCGACAAGGAAGAAAAGGCCAAGCTTTTGCAGTTCGTCACTGGTACCTCAAAGGTCCCACTCAACGGCTTCAAGGAGCTCGAGGGTATGAATGGCTTCACCAAGTTCAACATTCATCGTGATTATGGCAGCAAGGACCGTTTGCCTAGCAGCCACACTTGCTTCAATCGTGAGTTTTTCTCTCTTCCGAACATCTTGAGATGATTGCTAACCTTTGTCGCAGAACTTGACCTCCCCGAATACGAGACTTATGAGCAGCTGAGACACCAGATGTACACAGCCATGACGCAAGGAAGCGAATATTTCGGCTTTGCCTAAACGCCTTGTCGTCTCTGCAAAAACAAACCACCATACATTGATGATATTCGCATATCCAAACGGCGTTTTTGTGTTTCTTTCTGCTTTCTTCGTCTTTTTTTCTGCGTTGCGCAAAGGGAGGAGTTCTGATTTTCGTTTTGGTCTCGCTTTTTCGACTGGGATACTGCATGCTTTTTTTGCTTTTCGGCTTCTGTTTGTGCTCGCGGGCTCGCAGATGGAAAGGATGGACAAGGGCAAGGACGCGACGTGCAGGTTTCGGACTTGCACTCTTTTTCGTCACTGAACGTCGAGGGTCTGTGGTATATATAGGGCAGATGGAGAAGAGCAAATAAATGGCAGTGCAAGAGTTCTATTCTAGCTTTCTTTCTTCTTTCTTGATACAGCGAATGCAACTCTGTACACTTTACGTACTTCGTTGAGAGTCCTTGATTGTGATCACATTTGTATCGGGTCCAGTTGATTACAGCAAGGCCTGATTTTTGGTAAGGGAGCTCGAAGTACATTCCAAGAATTCAGAGCGGATGTTACATGGAATCGGTGGAATATCGGCTTCATTCCATTCCATTCCACCACTTCCAGCTAGTATTCCATTCTATGCCAATTCTCTAGTGGAATGATGCCAATTCCAATTTTGCTGCTGTTGTTGTCGCCACCCTGTCCATGTTAGGGGTCACCCTGTCGTTTGATTAGTAACCATTAAGCTTGGCACGATTATGTAAGCGCGATAAGATATGAAGATCAACATACCCAATAGAAATAATACTAACCTTGCTAGAGAGTGGAATGGTGGAATATTCCACTAAAATTGACGATTCTATTCCATTCCAACGGAGTAGAATATTCCACTCAAAATCAGTGGGATATTCCAACATTCTACTTATTCCATGCCATTTAACATCCGCACTGCAAGAATTGGAAGGAGGAAATGAGAGGGGAGTGACCCTGTCATAACTTCCCTATAGTTCTTCCTCCACCATGAGAGCTTTTTATCGCTAGAAAGTATTGAATCTATGTGCTTCCGAACTGGAGTAATGCGACATCGTTGTATTGATTGAGTTATGTGATCAGAGGAAGAGTTTTGTTCACACTGCGCATCTTGAGATCATGTACCCCTGCCATGCGCGAATCTGTCCTACTACATCTATGGGCTCATGAACACTACATCAGACTCGATCGATTCTCACACATATCCTTCTCGGTTTGCTTTTGAGCAAGGGCTCTATGGCTATACGTGGTGTTTGCGTCCTAATATCATAGGTGGAGCTGGCAGAAGACCTTTTCACAAACAACTTGTTATCTTTACACGATGAGTGAAGCCCTCTCGTTCATACACACACACCTCTGGCCATGATTGTTTTGCGGACATAGTGTGCAATTTCATTATCTGCATAGTTTTCCAGAGAGCGTGTTTTCATTACTTCATGAGAGAGGCAAAGATGCGTGACAGTGCCAGCCATCTCCTGACAACTCCAATCCTCTTTGTACCGACCCATCATTCCCAGAATCGAGGCACAGCACGACCAGCACCAGACGAGTAAACAGCAACACTAGCACTCGACGTAGGCGGCAACGCCACAAACGACTCCGTGTGCGTAGCATTAGGCCCACCAACACTAGTCAAATTCGCAGTCACCTTCTCCGTGCCATCAGCAATATTCCAGTGGTTAATGGTGCGGTTAAACAAAGCCAAAGCACCCTGAGGTTGATAGTAGGGAACCTCGTGGCCAGCCTCGTAGATGCGCAGGAAACTGAAATTGCCATATTGGCGCACTTCGCCGTACTCGGTGCCGTCGACGGTGAAGGGCTCGTAGCCCGCGGCGGCGAACTCGGCGCTGTTGGTGTAGTTGACAGCGAGGGAGATGGCTTGGCCGCCGAACCAGTTGCAGATGTAGTCGGCGTCNGCTGGGGGTTGGTTAGTAGAAGCTCAAAAGGTTGGTATCGGGAAGGAGACTCACCCGTAGTACAAGCTAACACGCAGACCCTGGGCAAGCAGCCCCTCAAGATCTTTGAGGAAGCTGTTGTAGACAAAGTCGCCCGTGGCCTGGAATGCATAGTAAATGTCGTCGTTGGACTCGGTGTAGTTGAGGCTAACGCCAAGAGCATTCTGCACTTCGGCAATGTTCAAGAAATCGGCAAAGTACTCGGGAGGNGTGGGGTCCCGGCTTGGGTGTCTGATATCGTAGGTTCCACGTCCAGAGTAGCTGTAGTAAGGACCTTCGACGTTATCTCTGCACATGTCTTGGGCTTCGGAGCAAACTGTTTTGGTGGCAAGGTTGTCTTGACCGGTCTCTCTGGCTTGGCGGCAGGAATCGACCAAGTCGAGGCATCCGCCGCGCATGTTCAATGCAAACTTCATGTAGTTGTAGACAGTATCGTTGACTGCCTTGATGCCATATGTGTTGTTGACGGCAAATTCAGGGTAGTGAGGGGCTTGAATCATCTCATCGATAATTCCGTTTCCAATACCGAGAGTGTTGAAGTCAAGCTTGACACCAGGGATAGTTCCATTGGAGATAAGCTTGTTTTGGTCATTGAAGTAGTTGAAGAACGATGGTCCNTATATGCAAATCATGTCAGACAACAAAGCTGGAGCGTGGGACTGGAAAAGCATACCGTAATGGCCGCCATAACTCTCAGTCCAGAGGTTGAACTCCTTGTTGCTGCCAATCTCAGCATCGAGCTGAGGCAACGCACCAAGGAATCCTTGCAGAACGTGCCAAGCTGCCACAGCTGCAAGATCAGTGGTATCAATCTCAGTGGCGTTGATAACAGGGTAGATGCCAGTAGCATTGGCTTCTGCTGGAGTCTCGAAAGAACCAGTGACAGGGTTCAGAGACCCCTTCTCTTCCTCCTGGTAACTGAAACCGACTCCGAACGGCTGAGATAGGAACAGCATGTTAGATACCTCGTTCCAACTGTAAGGGTTGACCTGAGTAGTGTAGTTGGCAGTGACATTGCAAGGACCAAGTTCTTGGAACAATCCAATCAAAGAGTCAGAACCTGGACCACCATTGAGCCACAGCGTGATGGGGTCGTTTGCAGGATCATTCCTGGACTCGAAGAACCAGAAGAAGGTGTGCATATCAGGAGCGAGATCGATATATCCAGAGTATGAATTCACACCAGGAGTAGTCTCGCAAATGCCGGCCTTGCCAGGCTCCTTGTAGCGAATAGTCACATTGGTAGGAGTNCTATGACAAGAGTCAGTAAACATCAACGAACAGTCTTGTGAAGCACTCACGGTGATGGTCTTGAGATCAGTAGCATTGGCGGGGAAGTACTGTCTCTTGTCAAGAACTGGAACAAAAGCAGACACCTGCGTGGCAGAAAGCAGCACAGCAGCGCTGCTCAGCATCATGGTCCCTTTGATCATCTTGATGGTGGTGAGAGAAGGAAGACAAATGCACACACGATGAAAAACACCTCAATGCCTCGTTTTATACTTTGTTTCTCCGCACTTCGAGGGGTTGTTGGTCAAATCCTACCTATGCCGTACAATGACCTAGTCCGCATGATAGACACGAGATGATTGGCAGAGGAGCAGCGAATATTGGCAGCTAAACTCCAAGAAGCAGCTCGAGTTGTCGGCAGCAGAGGATACCATAGCAGCTAGAACGTTTCCTGGGATTCGATGACGTTTTAACCTGGTGATAAGAGATGGAAAGCAAACCAAGAACGGTCTTGAGAGTTGATTCCAAGGCTTTTCTTAAAGCTTGTATCGCAGTGCTCCAGGATGCATTTTGCGCTCGTTGCTTGGCCTGAAACACTTTGTCGTCGATGCCAACGCAATACACAGAATACTCCGCGTACTCAGTATTCTCGGTACAAATTCATCAAGCGGTGTACATCAAGCCATTCGTGATTCCAAGCAAGAAAAAGTGGTTGGTCAACGAGCTGCCTCTTTCGGATGAGATTCGTCGATCAGTCAGAGGCGGAAGGAACACTCGACAGTTGGCTGGTCACCCGTGGTTCCTCCGATCCCATCAAGAGGTATCGGCGAAGTAACAGATTTGATACGCCGTACAGCGGACACGAACATGTATCGTTCCGATGTTAAGGAGAACTCCTTGTATCCTTAATGTCCGATCGGTAAGTCGTAAACAGATATTTTCGCGACTTGTCGACTTGCATGCATCCTGTGAGGGATCCATCGGACGCGATACCAATGGAGAAATACGCATGGAATCCTTGGGGACACACAGAGTATCCCTCATCAAGCATGATGGGAAAAGTTTGTCCTCGAACTACCTCAAAAAAGCGGTCGGTGTAGCGGTGCCTTCCTACTCCGTGATGACTGGTGATAGATAGCTGAAGTCAAAAACAGAGATATCGATGGAGATGAGCGACACATAAGCCTTTCCAATGGTCAATTTCTCATCACACAGCATGGACTTCGGACAGACATCAGAGCTGCCGGCTCTGTAAAAGAGTGATGTCAGCAAAGCCTAAACGACGTGTACAATATACAGTGGCGCTCGTACAAGTCCGACGATCAGAGATATCACTTTCCACAGGCTAATGCAATATAGAGGCACAGGACTTGGCCTGGAGTGATATCGCTACATGGGAGTACGGTGAGAAAAGTGTCTCACTGCCTCTGATGCACGACACCTCGTCTCACTGCGTTGTGCGACGATGCTAAGTCCCGCAAAAGCACCACTGCCGTCGACCGTGGCATCCTGTCGGTATCCGGTGATGCAATGCAAGCACTTGTAACCCCTGGCTACCTGGCGGCGTTTAATCAAATTTTCATGTATTTAGGATACTGTGCGCTGTCGTCGCGAATTGCAGTTAGGTATGCACGTACAAGTCACTCCTCATGTTCGCTCGGATCGCACCGGTCCATGCGTCGAGATACGAGAGCACCTGGTGTCGATCGGTTTGTCGACCACCTATCTTATGTGCAAAGATCCACCCAAGGTTCCCGAGTGGACACCTTCAGGCTTCAGTCTCGTGGACCTTGGTTGTGCAACGCTTGTTCTTCAAGACCCACAAACTGTCGGAAACCTGACATCGCATATGAAACACTGCAAGCAAAACAGCTACTTCGTGGAAGCGCAGCAACGGTGAGGCATACGGCGATGAAGCGCGTGAGATGTGGATCAGAAACAGGCGCTTCTCCGCGATCACAGAGGCGTCTGGCAAGCGCTCAACCGCTGCCAAATCCTCGATGGACTGCTTCTGATCAGCGATGCGCGCGTGCGATCAGCAGAGGTGAGACTTCTGATGAGTGATTGCGGTTCTGGCAGTTGCGGCTCTCCATTCTCAGCCAGTCATGTCAGTCACTAGAAAAGAATACTTGAATCAGCGCGACAAACGGTCGGAAGTGGGCGCGTTCGTGAATGGAAAGGAGTCGCTGTCGCTGTCGCTCATATGTATTCTCAGCACACCAGTGGCGAGTGCCTACTATTCTGAAGTGCGTCAGCGAGGCTTGGTCTTGCTTGCGACTCATTGTGATCGATTCTCAGAAAGGACCGCCCCCAGACGATTGCTTGCTTGGGAAACGGCTTTCCCTCGGTCCACGACCTAAAAACGTCGGTTGGCGCTTGGACTCAGAGTAGCGATAGCGAACGATTAAACTCCAGGCTCTCGTATTTTGTGGCTGCCATGAGCTCCACCGCACTTGTTTGGGAAATTTGACACCAGGAGCAAGATTCAGAGGAACCGAAGACAAGGAGCAAAGAGAGTTTTTGATAGCAGAACGGTCAAATATGCAGGTGTATCTGGAAAACAGATGGCATTGGCAAATGAAGTGAAAGTGGAAAGTGTTTCAAGTGTCGGCTCCCCACAGATTAGGGCCAGTACAGACACTGAGTCGCATACTTTGTCTAAAGCAGAGAACGGCCGTAGCACAGGAAGTTGAGAGGTGTTTCGTTTTTGCCAATTCGACAAGAGGGGGGGAGCCGGACGCATGTATAAGCAGGGAGTGGATTACGTATCTGAACTTGGTGTAGTATATGAGGCGCCACGCCGGAGCAGAAAGTCGCGACGGACATACGCCCCCCTCCAAGTCGCCATATATACTCAGCCTGGCCGGTGTCGCGGGTCAGGGGCAACCTCTTGGATGGCGCGATCTAGAGAGTCGTCGTCTTATATTGCAGGCTGCAGAGGTGGAAGCAAAGAGAGCAACGTTTCAGGATGGCTCACGAACAGTCGGGACGAGAAGGAGATGCAGATGCAGCCACGGCAAATTTATTGATGCAGTCGCAAAAGTGGTTCTGGCCATTGATTCGTGAGATGGCGTCTGACCCTGGCCGTTGGACTTGATCCAAGTGACAGGCGGGGCTCCCTCCCGAAATAGAACACGAGGAGATCATAGCGCGTACGGGAAGAACCGCGAAGTGTAGCAGAACGAGAGTGGTTGGTGGAAGGTTGTTTGCAAGGTTGGATGGGATAGAGACCGAGACGATGCATGGGCAGAGATCGGCTTCGTTTAGAATTGCTCTACGACGAGATTTTTTCCTTCTTTGGCGCGCGCTCTGCCGGTTGAGAGTTTACAAGGGCCATGGGTCCCGGTCTTGAGGTCGTCACGACTTTGTCGACCGCATATTGACCGTCCAAGGCCCGCTGTCTTTGTCCTGACGCTTTCCTCTCACACGAATCCTCGCGGCGCCAGTGTATCAGAACGGCCAGTGTGTCAGGTCGCGTTCTGTTGATCTTCTGCTGTCGTTTGCGAACGGGCTCGGACTACTCCTAGTGGTGTGCCCAAGTATAGAAAAGGCACAAGCATCCTTCACGCGCGTCATCGGCCACTTGTCGTCGTCTACCCTCTGGCCACCCCTCTCTGGACCTGCTGACTTGGTTGGATGTTTACGACAGCCTCTGTGGCGATGAGCGGCTAGATCAGCCAACACCTTGATCCCTCCAAATTCCATCATCCTGGTCGCAGTATATTATCGCCAACACCCGCGTGATGCTGGCACTCATGCCCGCGAATACAATGTCACTCGCCATACTACCTTCGCACACCCCTGTCTCGAGGCCGACTGCTCCTACCAAGCGACCTAAACTATCTCTCAACACTTCGTCTCTGCCATCGACCTTTGGCAAGAGCACTACCGGGCTCAGGTTAGACGCACCTTCAATCGCCTCGCCAACAGCTCGAAACACCTTCAGCAATGCCTACGGGTCACAACATGTCATGAGCCCTGAGGCCATGACGCCTCATCAGGATGTACGACCAAATTCGCGACTGTGTCTGGACACGTCGGTAGCACCCACTCACCAACAACCTGCACGTTCTTCCTCCACCGACAGCTGCATGTCAGCCACTTCTGCCACCTCGGCCTCGACCGACTCTTCCATTTCTTCCCTATCTACCATCGACTCATTCAGCAAGCCCATCCCCTACCGTCTCCCGTTCAATCATCACTCCATCCTCACTAACGGCCCGCATGGTTGCATCCGCCGTCGCAAATCCTTCTCCAGTACGCGACCCATGTTCCCTTCGCCAAAGAAGGTGTCGTTCCGTGCACCCTTGACCGAAGACATACGCAATGACATCTACACCCTGGCACAATCTGACTTCGACTTTCGTTCGACCTCTCCAACCGCCATAGAGCCACTGCCTTCAGGCCATGGCCACTACATCCAAAGCCAACAAAAACATAAGAGAGCAGCTACCCTGCCGATCAGAACTCCCGCATCACCTGCCTGCGGAGACAAACGCGACTCTTCATCCGAAGACGATTCAGATAGCGATATTTGTCCTTCAACGCCCATCACACGGACAAGCAAGAAACCTCGGGAATGGGTATGGACTCTGGGCCCTATTGCCCAAATCACACCGCCGCCATCTTCAAGTCCCATCGACAATGAGAGCCACTTATGACCCTTGACCTCCTCTTTATGCATTTTGGGGGTGATTCTCACCATTACCATCACGACCCAGCTACGAAAAGACCTACAGTACTCTTGTTGAGATTGCATCAGCGATGGAAGGGGGCATTCTGTTTATGAGGAAACTCTATACTCTTCCACATTCGCGTTTCTTTTTGTCTCTTTTCTTCGGAACTTATCCTCTACTTCTTGACCTTTTATTTTCCGATTCTTTTATCTTCTGTTTTTACGAGCATCGATACCCTCATATTCCTTTTCTTGCTCATCTTTTTCTTCTTTTTCTTTCTTCCTCTTCGCTTCTTTTTGCCCTTTACGTTATTTCTCTTCTTTGCCATATGCAGATTCATCTTGTCTGCTTTCTGTAGTAGAAGAGTGCAGAAGCACACAATTACTGCTTGACAAAGCTCGCTTGTTCAGTGCCATCAGCCTCGCCTTGCCACTATCACCATCGAGACCTTTTCCATGCTGTGCAACATACTGCCTCATCCATCACCGCGGAGAGAAGTCAAGCCAGAAGCCTTTACCGTATTGCCTTGCGGATAAATGTTAGATGTTACAGCCCAACTTATTGCTTACTGCTTCTCCAGCGAGATCGACTCAACGAATCAGGAGCCGACATTCCTAATATATGCTGCAGCACGATCCTATTAATTTTGAATGAGGGGTGGCTGGTAAACGCCTCGAATCCTACAGGAATCTGCATATTGTTCCTCCGCGCCCACTGCTCTATATAAAGACGCTTCAACATCCATGAGTCGCTGCGTCACGCAAATTTACGCACTCACTCAGCATGGTCTCTCAGCAGAAGTTGTCGCTCAAAGAGAAGTATCCTGAGATCTATTGTCAGACAAACATTGACCGAAGGGGACACACGCGTGTTGTACCTATGGGGGTTTTGTCGCTTAGTCTAGGACGAACTGGCACGATGTGTGAGTTATACTTCTAGATGCTCTCGTCAATATCCAGAGCTTGGGGTGATAGATTGTGGCGAGCCGCAATGTCATATGATCTCGTCGGGATTGGCAAGAGCGATTTCTACTTGATTGCTCGGTTTTTTGTTCCGTCAGCTGGACACGGCTTCGACCTCTTCCTTTCTTCAATCATGTTTTCCGTCAAGCGATACGAGGACTCCCTAGGACCATACAGCTGACTAGATCTTATGCAACTCAGCGNNATGAAAGCAGCCTATGAAATCCTCGGCTATCCGACCTACCACTACGTCTCTATGATGGAAAACCCGCCCGACATCAATCTCTGGCTCTCCGCTCTATCTCGCAAATACTCCTCACATCCTGACTCCAAACCCTTCAATCTCTCCGAGTGGGACGCTCTTCTCGGCCACGTCTCCGCAGTGACAGATTCACCAATCAATGCGTTCGGACCTGAACTCATCGTTGCTTACCCTCACGCCAAGGTTGTCTTGGTGGAAAGGGAGATAGAGAGTTGGTACAAGAGTTTTGAGAAGAACGTCATCTCCTCGTTTTCGGCGCCCATGACCAGGTTGTTGGTGAAACTGGACCCTGGGTTTATCGGCAAGCAAGGCAAGATAGGCGATTTTCTTATGCATGGACAATGGCAAGCATCCAGTTTTGACGACTGGCGGGCAAAGGCCAGACAAGGATATCTGGATCACAATGCTCTGATAAAGAAACTGGTGCCCAATGAACAGTTGTTGGTGTACAAGTTGGGAAGTGGATGGGAGCCCTTGTGTACGTTTTTGGGCAAGGAGGTTCCTGAAGTTGAGTTTCCGAGAGTCAATGAGACTGAAGAGTTGCAGGAGAGAGTTTTCTTGGCTCTGATGTTGGGATTGAGGAGAGCGTTGTTGCGGTATGCGAAGATGATGTCGTTGGCGGTACCCCTATTGACTGGAGTCTTGTATCTATGGCGTATCGTCTCTGTCTGAATGTTGAGCGATGATGGTACACGAGTCTATCCAGTTTTTGATGATAAGGATAGAACAATCATGCGCAGAGGCCATAATTATCGAGCTTGCTTATGGTTGATTCATCTGCGATTACCACAGATCTTGCACCATCCCATGATTCACTCCAATCAAATCAACTCCATCTTATACCTCAACATCATCCACGACGCCAAGATCATCTTCGAGAACCATCACGGGTAATCTTACGGATATCAAAAGACTCTTCGGAATGATGTTTCTGCAATGAAAAACTGTCTCTATACTCGGAGCTCTGTCCCACCCAAGAACTGCAGAAGTCTGATCCAACCTGATATGTCGAAACTCCACGACGCGGCGTTAGATAGTCCAGGTATCATCCATTCAATTGGATATCATTCATCAGTCAAGTTTATCACCACTATGATCTATTTCATCCACGCTCTAACCTTCGGAGCAAGACTCCCCAGATTATATCACTTCTTAACCTCCAATGGCCTGTGCTACTCCGCCCCGTCACTTTGACTACTTTCCTCAGATGTGGCAGGCGCGACTATTGAGCTCAAGCTTAATTACCCCACGGACGTGAAGATCTACTATAGTTCGAAGACTGAGCAATACGCCCATGGAGACTTGGTCAGACTGTCGCAGATCACCAACTCCGCCGTTCTCGCCGTCCTTAAGGACGACTACCTTGCCCCTGGATAGTTGCTTACGCCAGGGGACACGGAGAGAAAGCAATGACGAGGCATTTGATGGACTAGGTTTCACTGTCTTCCCCTTCAACCATGCAACATTACCATGATGTTGAGTTGCCTCAGGATATGATCCAGGAGGATGATAGTGGATTGAAGTTGATGTCCCTACGTGTAAAGTCACCTAACCTGATCTTTGTGCCGTCGTTGGCGTCTGCGTCAATCAGAGCTCAAACAGGAAAGCATGGTACTGTAATACGGTCCCGAGTTTGGCCTTTTCGCTTTTTTTTTTAGTGTCGAGTTGCTGTATGAACAAGCTCGGTATGTGTTGCATCTCAGGCGCTTTTGATGACTTTGATCTGTGGAGTCTTGGTGTGCAGCTCTTCCCAAGCTCTCCAAATTGCTTCGTTGGAGCACTCATGCCGATATTAAATTGCTCATACGATGCCATATCCATCCAGAGCGCAAAATACTGACCGACACCTCGTCTGTGGAAATCCGTTCAAAGATTGTCGATGTGTTGCAGCAGTTTCTCAGCTCGACTGGAAACCGACGGTCTTGCTCTCTTATCTCGGACCTCCCGTGAGGGTGAATACAACGATCATGACGGAAAGCAGAAGCAATGGTCAGGCTCGCATCTCATCAAGGTCAATGCGTCATTCCGTGTATAGTTGTGGTACCACAACGACATTGACTTGCTTCAGAATGTATTCTTGAGGAGCGTAGGAGGGTGAGATCAACAATCTTGTATAGCATGCTACCTCACCTGTACGCGTGGAGAAACTCAGAGCGCTTGCCAACCTGTCGAATGCTCAAGATGTCGTTTTCACCTAGGTATTTGCTGATCTACGTGGTCAACTCCACTGGTAGTCGGTGGATGAGCTACTGCGTTTATTAGAGACGAAGAGTCTATCGAGTGCTTGGGTAAGCCAGACCGTGGATTTTATCACAGTCATTGAGAATTACAGCTGACTCGATCAGCACTGCTATGCTCACTTCACGCACACCGCCCGATGTCTTTCTCCCAGGTCAGCTTATTGTAGTCACAGAAGACTTCAACAGTCCAATCAACGGCGTCTCTCATGTCAAAATTAATGAACATCTCGAGCATCCAGCTTTCCACAGAAATCCTCGGATTTGTGTTTTCTGACCAACCTCCTCTTCACCAAACTCAGCGCAATGGTTTTGTGTCTTTATAAAGTGCAAATTAAGTTACAAGCTCGCATCGCGGAACAAAACCGCACCATTCCCAGGCCAGAAAGCGGGGTCAATGTCTGGGGTAGAGGTGTTTGTATGGGGATACCAACAGACTTCCATGAGTCCGACAAAAGGAGAGACTGTCTAAAGTTCACTTCTTACGGAACGGAGCCGTCGTCTGACGGCTATAAAGTGCAGTGTAAGTGCTCCTTCGGAGAAGTAGACCGATATCCATACCGACCATGACACAAACCTCGGAATACGACTACATAGTCTGCGGTGGAGGCACCTCCGGCTGTGTGGTCGCAGCCCGCCTTGCCGAGAACCCCTCTCTGCGTATCCTACTAGTCGAAGCCGGTGCCCACAATGAACATCTCGAAAACGTGCATATGGTGGGTGGATGGTCCAAGAACTTCGACACACCTCAAGATTGGAATATTGTCACCGAACCCGCAGCGGGGATAGACAATCGCCAGGTCAAAGTTAGTAGAGGCAGGTTCTTGGGAGGAAGTAGTGGTGTCAATGGGACGTTGTGTATCAGAGGCACGGAACAGGATTATGATGACTGGGAATTGGAGGGGTGGAGTGGGAAGGAGATGTTTGAGGCTATGAGAAAGGTAAGGAAAGGAGATTCTACGTGTATGTCTAGGAGGAAGTGTTGACAAGAACGCATAGNNTCCGAGACGTTTCATACCAAAGGGTGGTTCGAAGCCAGTGAAGGTGCGCACGGTACCGACGGACCCCTACACATCGAGCCTCACGACCTAGCACCAATCTCTGAGAGACTGCTTGACTCCTTTCAAAGTCATGGTATGCCTCTTCACCCGGATATGTTTACCACAGGAGAAACAGCTCAAGGCTGTGGACATGCTCCGCGTACAGTGCATCAAGGACTGAGAACCACCGGTGCCGACTTTGTAACCAAAGATCAACACAAAGCCAACATCGAGATACTAGTCAACACTGTTGTGGACAAGATCAACTTCCAAGATGTCGACGGACAGATGACGGCCAAGAGTGTTGATTTGACTGGGCCAGACCGCACACGGAAGACAGTGCAAGCAAAGTCCGAAATCATCATCTCTGGCGGAGCATATTGTACTCCCNCGATACTTCTTCGCTCCGGCATTGGCCCTCGTGGCGATCTGGAGAAAATGGGCATCGATTGCTTGGTCGATGCACCTGGAGTCGGACAGAATCTGCTTGATCACCTCATCGTCTTTGTATTCTATGAGACAGAACAAGCTGGACTGACGACTGACCACCACGTCTACCATGGAGATAGCCTCGGTACGACTTATGCTCAGTGGCAAAAGGAAAAGACAGGCTTCCTCTCTACATTCCCATTCGGAGCATTTGCCTTTGCTCGACTTGACGAGAGACTGAAGGACGAGCCGACTTGGCAAGAAGCGATGAAGGGTGCCGCGCCCGGAAGAGATGCAATGGGTTTGACCAAGAGTCAGCCAAACGTCGAATACTTCACCACAGAATGTTATGGGTAAGACTGCCGAGCTGCTCTGCAACCCGAGAACTTTGCACTGACTGGTCACACAGAGNGACCGAAGCAGTATGCAGATTTCCCCGTCGACAACAAGCACGCCTTCTCTATGATCACGGAACTATTCAGTCCAAGATCACGAGGAACGGTTGTGCTGAAGTCAATGGATCCGCTGGACAACCCCGTCGTAGATCACAACTATCTGTCAGACCCACTAGATCTGCTGGTTCTGACAGAGGGGGTACGTATGGGCAACGAAGTAGTCATGCAGGGTAAAGGAACAAAAGACATCGTGAAGGGATCCTGGCCAGGCAAGTACCCCTTCCTTGGAAGATCAAACATGAGCTAACCATGTCGACAGNCAAATCTCACACATCATGCATTTACCAAGCGTGAAGAATGGATACCTCATGTCAAGCAACACGCAACCACGTGTTACCATGCAGCAGGAACAGCCAAGATGGGTAAGGCATCGGACAAGATGGCTGTGTTGGACGAGAAGCTTCAGGTGCGCGGCGTCAAGGGATTGAGAGTGGCGGACTGCTCTGTGATGCCGACGTTGCACGGCGGCCATACTCAGATGCCAGCATATGGTATTGGCGAGCAGTGTGCCAAGTTCATCAGACAGGCCACCCGAGGGGCGTCGAATGAGTTGGAGAGGATGGACAGTGCCATGCAGCCACTGAAGGTGAACTGTGTGAGAGTTGTATAACAACAAGAGGAGAAGTCGGTGACATTAGATTTTTACAATCTAGTCGCGTCATCGCACACAACGTTGACGACTCACTTCCACTGCCGTCTCCACGTGAGGTCCCAGATCTTTTCTGCACACATGATGATCGACTTACTACTCCTACCTTGTTCAAGCAACGACGCGTTACCGAGACGCAAGCAAGAAGACAATAGTCTCCGAACTCGAGACTATCCAGACTCGTATCAAGCATATATCCCATGTGTGGAGCCACAAGGCAGCGGACGATGCAGACCAGCGCACGCAAAGCAGGGAGAACTACCCGGCCCATGTACCCAACGAGACTCCAAGGTATCCTATATAGACGCTAGGAGTAGACCTCATGTGTCTTGACTTACTGCAGGATCCAATGTGAGATAATTCCCAGGTGCGAGGAACACGATACAGGCCGACTTTGGAACCTGTCTGCCTTGCACTGCTTCCTCCAGCTCTCGTTGGGTATTGAGTTGCAACTCGGCCTCTAGTCTTCCTCGGCATCCCTGATCTGCCTGCGAATCTAGCTGGTTGATTGTGCACATGCAGTCGATGCCAAGTCTTTCCTGCAGTTCCGCCAGGGCTTCTCTCATCGTCTCCTTCTCTTTCGACATTAATGGTATTAGGGAATGGCATATACCTAGAGTAGTCTCGAGCTGGCTGACTCCTGCTTGTAGCTCTCCAATCTCTAACATCAAGACACCGTTCTCTGGTTGTTGTTCTTGTACCTCGTGATCGTTGGAGTCGTTATAGCGCTCCATTGTGGCCTCGTGTCATCTTCCATCGAGTCGACAAAAATTGATTGATGATCTCGCTCCGAAGCATCGGTGCCATGAATGTCCAGACGGCGGATTGTGACTGATTCAGGTATCTGGCGACAAAGTCAGGTATTGTCGCTTGTGCAAATATTTTCGGAGCAGACGGTTGTGCAAGTGTAGTTAAGACGATACATGGCAAGTTTTGAGAGGCTCGATAGACTCTGGTACAAGCACTCCAATTAGACTTTCTATGTCTTGTTTGTACGTTCTGCTCTCGTTGATGGCAGACTGGAGTATCTGTTCCATCAGTGTAATCATCGGGCGTATAGCCATGCTGAGGGATGGAGGTGTCAAGAAGATATCACCCTAACACTCTGTTCAATAACTTCAAGATCTTGATATCATCCCTAGCGTCGATGGCAGGTGCTTCGAGTAGAACTTTGGTGATGCTTCATCCATGTATCGCACTATTGAGGCATGTGATACCATACAAGATCAGATACAAAGATTTTCGAATACCGAAAGGACCCTAGTCTGAATACATCTTACCCAAAGTCGTGCCATCGCAATCCTTACAACAATACTACATGTGGAGACCGATCAAACTATACATTGGTCTGCAGATATGGACTGAGAAGGTACTGATGTATCTCCTCCTTGTCAAGTAGCAACCCCGTCGACTCTGCAATATCTCTTATGGATATTGTCATCCGAGGAGTCGCGTCAAGTCTCGTGAGAGAACAGATTGTGGTGAGATCAAGGCATCATGCGAGAGATGGGTTGTCGAACACTGCACAAGCGCTGTGTAGATGCACCGGGAGACAAAGGTGTAAATATGAAGTACAGATTGCGAATACGCGACGACAAGGATGATGAATCCAGAAAGACGAAGATGACGACTCGTTTGAAGATCTAATGGTGGACTCAGCAAGCTGCTGAACGAGAACCATCCGACACCTCCAAGGTTAGCAGCGCAGGAAATGACAGCAAAAAGACCATGCAGACTCCTGAATTTCCATGATAGACTCTCTCTCTCCGTAAAGATGCACCACCAACAATCTTGACTTACTTCAAGATAAAATCTAAGCGAAGATTGCTGGGACGAGACTGGATTCTCTGTAGGGAGGGTTACTTGACCTGGTCACCGCCTTTCGTCAAGAGGAACGTGGCCGCGTTCAGCCCATTGCACATTTTTTGCTCTCCCGTCGCAGACGACACATGTTCGGTCTCTCTGCAAACTGCGAATTGCCGCCATGTATCTATCGGCATGTGGGTTGATCTCTTGATCGCTGCATTTACTCGGTTGAGTGTCGAGAGTCCAACCCATTTGGAACCGCATGGCGGATTTTGTTGAATGAGCGTCGTTTGTATTCTTGTAGTAAATGCCCTTGTGGATGCTTTCCAAATCGTCGGCAATCAACACGCGTTAGATCTCTGGGCGGATAAGGAGAACATGGCCGCTCATCTGTAAGGATCACCAAGAATTGCAACCTGTATTTGTATCGAAAGCTCGTGACAGAAGTAGTGTTGTGTGAAAGTGATCCTGTGGCAAAGTGAGCAAGTTGTGATCATGGTGCAAGCGACTTGGAGACAAGACGGAGCAGTGCAACCGAATAGTGTTTGATTGAAATTGATCCATGGTAATCAATAGATCGGTCTATATCACATACATAACCCCAGCCAACGCCATGCACTTTTGAGAATCCAGAGCTAAATGACGATATTACAAACAGGCTTCCCCTCTCTATGAGGCGCGCATCTCTTGTTGGCCATCGGTGCCAGGAATGTGCTCGTCTGTTCTGAAAACAGCTTTCATAGCATCCTCAAGGATGTCCATGCCTTGCTCAATCTCGGTCTCGGAGATGATGAGCGGAGGAACGAATCTGAGAGTGTTGGTTCCGCAAGTAATGATCAAAAGACCGCGTTCACGGGCGGCGGTGATGACAGGAGTGGGGTCTTGAGACAGTTGGACACCGAGCAAGAGACCACGTCCACGGACCTCGGTGATAACATCGGGGTACTTTTGCTTGAGCTGTTCAAAGCGCTTGCGGAAGATCTTCTCCTTCTGAATGACACCGTCTTGGATCTCGGCGCCGGAGAGACGGCCAACGATGTAGTGTGCAAGACGGGAACCGAGAGGGTTGCCGCCGAAAGTAGTTCCATGGTCACCGGTCACGATCTTGCTGGAAACGTTCTCGGTGACGATGGTAGCACCGATGGGAAAGCCGTTACCGAGGGCCTTTGCGGTGGTCAGGATGTCGGGGTGTGCTTCCTTGGGGAGAGCACCGTGGGCCCACATAGTGCCGGTACGACCGAGACCACACTGAATCTCATCGTAGATCAGGACGGCACCGACTTCTGTGCAGCGGCGACGAAGGGCAAGCAGGAAGTCGTCGGTCGCAACATTGACACCTCCCTCACCCTGGATGGGCTCGATGATGACACCGCAAGTCTTATCTGTGACAAGGTCGTTGATGGCGTCGATGTCGTTGTAGGTGCCGTATCTGAAGCCAGGAACCATGGGACCGAAGGGCTTCTGGTACTTGGGGTTGGGAGTGGCCGAGAGCGAGCCCATTGTGCGGCCGTGAAAGGAGTTGTGGAACGAGACAATTTCGTGCTTGTTTCCCGACTCGTCGGCGGTGCGACCACACTTGCGAGCGAACTTGATGGCAGCCTCGTTGGCCTCGGAACCAGAGTTGCAGATGAATGCTCTTGCTGCGTCGGTCATAGCGCCTGACTCGACCGTCTTTTCTACGAGCAGCTTGGACAAGGCGCCAGTCCATGGGTTGTGGTATAGGTTGGAGGTGTGGACGAGGGTTTGCGCCNNTAGTTGTCATGTCAGTATGGGAGTGTCGACGAATGAGACGAGGTCGCAACTGACTTGCTGGGCGAGCAGCTTGGACATCTCGGGGTCGCAGTGGCCCAAGGCGTTGACGGCGATTCCAGATGTGAAGTCGAGATATTGTCTGTTTTCAACGTCCCACAAGAAGCAACCTTCTCCCTTTTGGAACATGGGCGGAGGGCGGACGTAGGTGGGAACCATGTAGGGTGTCGATTGGCCTACGAGACGGCTAGTCTGCGAGTCTGACGAAGGGTCCGGTGTGGCCAGGGATGCTTCTTTCTGCACATTGTCAATTCAGTCCATGGAATATGCCCTCAGCATGATTGCGCACTTGGATGGCATTCTGGAGTCCGGCAGGCAGGTTGGATGCCGTCGGCGAGGCATAGCCACGGCGCAGAGCCAGTGACGGCCTGAGCGATGCGCTTAATCGCGAAGAACAGATACGGAAAGACATATCGATGGTATAGAACATCAAAAACAGTACAGAAAGACCAAAGGAGGGGCTTCAACTTTTTCGCCGGCCAGATGGCACTTGATCGTTGAGTCACGAAACTTTTCTTATCAAGGTGGGATTCGATATGCAGCTAATCCGACGGAGACTCGTCCGGCATCGGCACCGACAGGTCCCGATCTCGCCCTCCCTACTGTCTTCGTTCTCGTAGACAGCTCCAACCCCTCGATGCCTCGACACGTCTGGGCAGTTGTTCAGTGCATACGAACGTCCAACACGGCAGTCATCTGCCGCTGCCCATCGTAGTGCTGGTCAAGCTTGCTCACATTCGTCGCATGCTATGGCACCGAGACAGGGTTGCCTCGCGGCGCATAATGACGTACGCACGTCCTTGAGCGTTACCTGAATGACAAGATGCTTTCAACAACATCTTCCCATCTACATTCATCACCATTCATGAAGTGGAGCAATCTATACCGTGCACTCGATTATGATAATCTTCGATCAAATCCGCCAGCTCTCACAGATACAGGCATCACCAACAAGATGGCACCTCTTCGAGTGGTGTGATCTAGCAATGTAAGTGGAGCGCCTAGATATGTCGAAAGGAATGTCCTTGGGAGCGTTGGCCTGCTTCACCAAAAGTCATCACCGTCGTGGTCTCGATGAACACAACCACCCCGGCAGTATTCACAATCATGCACAGTCCCTGACTCTTGTCTCTACAGAACGCCCTCATTCGTCAAGCACTTCTGTCAGGATATGCTTACCGCTCAATGGACGCGAAAACTTCCCTTTATACAAGACACTGCTCCGGCAGAGTTGGCAGCCAGACTCATCCACACTTTTCTCGACGACTTTCCCGACATTGACTCGGAGCAGTACTTTGTCATCGACTTTTGCTCTGGAGCAGGAGGTAAGCAAATACACAAAACATGTGACTGGGCTTTGCCGTGAACGAACTGTGAGAGTTGGAAGAGGACCCAATGTTTTAGGATCATTTTATCAGAGTTCCTTGTACGCATCTCTACTCTGGAAATGGTGGTGAATGCTCACAGCTTGGACTTGTGATCAACTTATACGAGTAGCACCTTGCAGATACCATCACCCTTGTACTGACATCAAACCAAACACCAAAGTCTCTAATTCAAAATCTCACAGNGTCCCACGCCACTGATAGAAAAATCAGTCAACACTTCCAGAGCCAACGCAGGCCAAACCCCCATCCCCTTCCGGCTCTCAGACTTCCACCCAAATCTCGACGCCTGGATGCCTCTAGCAACCCACAGCGCCAATCTCAGTTTCATCCCTCAACCCGTGGACGCCACAAACACATCCCAAGCTCCTCCCTTGATTATCTCAAAAACCTCCTCTTCCACGGGCTCCACAGGCGATCACAAATCCATTCATCTCTACAACCTCTCCTTCCACCATTTCGACGACAAATCTGCGCAAAAGATTATGAACAGTACATTGGAAACGGCAGATGGGCTCTGCATTCTCGAACTCCAGGATCGGAGTCTGGGGTGTTTGGTCTTGATGTTAGGGGAACCTTTGCTACTTTTTCTTGTTACTGTGTTTTGGTTTCCTATGCAGCCTTTACATCTGTTGTTTACTTATATCATTCCCATCTTGCCATTTGTGCAGGCGTGGGATGGGTTAGTAAGTTGCATGCGCACTCGCACTTTTGCAGAAACATTGGGTTTTGCGGAAAAGACTTTGGGCGAGAAAGCTAGGGTTATGGAGGAGAAGAGGATGGGTGTGGTGGGAGAGAGGGTTATAGTGGCGCAGTGCGGGCAGTGGAGGTTTATAGGGGTGAGGAGGTTGCATACTTGGCCGTTTGGATATGTAAATGCCTTTCTTGCGAGAAAGGAGGTATGAAGTGGAAAGACAGAAGAGCAAAGCAGGGCTGTGATTCTTGGCCTTGGTTTTGCGGGTAGAGACAGAGGCAGAGGCACTGAGTAAAGCCGCCAGGATACACGATGATACATACCCAATGGAATCCTTACTCAAACCCATTGTCGTCTCGAGTAGTGGTACAGCCCGGTTTGAAATACCATACTCTGGGCTTATCTACCTGTTTTGTCTAGTCAAGATCTTCTTGGGCTCCATACAGTTGCCGACGCAAGTTTTCTCCAAGTAAGTGGAGAAGACCGGGCTCGAGACAAGGGTGAGTCTATAGTACTAGCATTTGATTATCGAGGATGGGAAACGACCTTGTGTTGAGCCGTGTGCTTTGAGCAGTGGTAAGGAGAGTTTATTTGGTCCAAGGTGATGCATGAAGGGTTTTTGTCTAGTTGGTCGAGACAAGGACAATCCCTGAGGTATATGGAACGTTGACTTGGCCTTTCAAATGGTTCGGAAATCGGTGGAAACATGTATGCAATCTGATACAGTATCTGCACGAAGGCTTACTCGAGTGCTCACTTACATTGCTACTTTCGCTGGTCATCTCCTACCTACACAATCTTCTACATTTTCACAACCAACAACAAGCCATGAAACCCAAAGGTGTCAAATGCAAAAAGCACGCTATACGATTCCCCAAGTAAATAAACATGCTATCAAAAAGACTATAGAATAAAAACTCCTATACACCCATATCTCCATCCATGACTTTTTGCTAAACAACGACGAGTTTGACTCTAAGCTCTGCTGGCTCGGTTGCGGTTCTCATCTCTCTGGCCCTGACCCTTGGGTGCAAAACGGCCCTTGTTGACACCACCATGACCACCGCCTCTACGATCGCCAAAGGAGCCACGAGAGCCACCGCCACGGGAAGAACCGCCCCTGCCACCGCGATCGCCAAATCCGCCTCTACCGCTACCGCCACGTCCGCCGCGGAATCCAGAGCCGCCGCGCGAGTCTCCTCTACCGCCGCCGCGCGAGAAACCACCTCTGCTGCCGCCTCTGCCGCCGCGAGGACCGGATGATCCACGCTCGCCGCCCAGGCTTCTTCGTTGGGGTTTTGCGCGCGCGTCGGCGAGTTCTTTGGCGTCGATTTCCATTTCGTCGCCGTCGTCGTCGGCGGCGTCCTTGTTGCCACGGTTCTTGAACTTGAGCTTGCCGCCTCTACCGCGGATGGCTGCGTCTCTGCCTTTGATGGCTTCCACGTAGGCGTTGATGCCGTCTTCGAGACTTGCAGAGTTTCCTGCATCGTCGAATTCCATGACTTCGTCGTCCGAGTCGGCGTCGTTGAAGACGAGTTTGCCGTCCAGGTCCATCTTTGCGGGTTTGCGGGTTGCGGGTGCGGAGCGCGATTTTGAGGGNACGGTGGATGAGATGTTGGCGAGGGCTTTGCGGTCGAGGAGATCGAGGGGCTCGTCTTCGTCTTCGACGATGAAGGTGTTGCCGCCTTGTGCCTTGGCTTTGCGGCCCTTTGCTGCCGAGCGACCCAGCACTTCGTCGTCGGAAATGTCGGAGCCAGAGTCTTCTTCGTCGCTGCCGTAGACTTGCTCGTCGTACTCTGATTCGAATTTGCCCTTGCGGGTGGTGGTTGCGTCCTCGTTTTCGGCGTCGGGGTCGTCTTTGCCGGCTTCCTTCTTTCTCTTTGCGCGGTCGCGCGATTTGCGGATGTTGGCAATGAGTTTCTTGTCTTCTTCGGGGCAGTGCTTTTCGACAATGTCCACGCCAAAGCGCTTGATCATACGTTCGAAGATGTGCTTGACTTTAAGTTTGAAGTGGGCTTTGTGTTCGTGACTCCAGACCATAAGATTGGGGATGAGCGTTGCCAGACGGGGACGCATGAGATCCGTAGGCAGAGACAGCACGCATACTTTGACGAAACCAAGACATGAGCGCACGATTTCGCGATTGGCGGATGTGAGGAAGAGGTCCATTGTCTGGACGAGATCGAGGATGACAGGCTCAGAAAGGGTGTTGCGGAAGTCGTAGAGGAGACGGGCGAGAGCGGTGATGGAGGCGGAAATCATGTGAGGAGTGGAACCGGCGAGACCGGCAGAAACCATGGTGAAGTATTCTTCGAGACTGGCTTCTACGGGAGCGGCATCGTCGGGCATGTGAGGGACCTTTGCGTTGACGACGGTACCACCTTCAGCCATCTTCTCGCCCATCTGGACGAGAAGATCGAAAGCAGCAGTGCGTGCCTTTTCGTTGACTTCTTTTGCGCTAATGACAACTTCGGACAGGATAGAGGGAATAAAGTGGAGGTCTTCCTTGGGTAGAGCGGGGATTATTTGAGAAATGGCAGTCAGGCGGTCGCGACGAGAAGGTGCAGCGGCCTTGGGACCAGCCTGGAGAAGGAGTTGCTGCAAATCAGAGTTGCGCTCAAGGATAGCTGCACGACCAGACTCTGACTCGGCAAGACGGGGAATCAGCTTGTAGGCCTTCTTTTGTAGTTGCGGGTCGGAGTCGTTGTTGACGATGATGGCAGCCATGTTGAAAAGTCCGGCAAAACTGTCACGGGGAAGGTAGATGGAAATCGTAATGACCAGATCCATGAGAGTGTGAGACATGGGAGGCATCTTGTTGGGACCCTTGGTCTCCTTCTGCTTATCGGCTTGTGTTTGGGGTCCGCTTTCACCCAGAGATGACTCAAGCATAGAAGCGACACGGGTGAAAGTCTCCATCAGTTCTGCCTCGGGGGTAATGCTGAGGTAGGCGTTGATGGCTTGTAGGATGATACCACGGTACTGGGGCAAAGTCTCACTGTAGACGTTGAACAGGACAGCAAGAATGTTTCCAGCAAGACCGGAAAGATGTTGGATGTTCTTCTGTGCATCAGCCTTGGAAACTCTACCTTGCATAACAAGATCCTCCTCTCCCTCAATCGAAACAACAGTCTGGTTGGACTCGACCATGTTCTGGAGAGCTCTGCAGAGTTCTGTACGGAGCTGGGGCTGTGAGTAGAGGAGGTTGGCGACCATCTCGGCAAAGGTCTGGTCAAATGCCTCGGTCACATCCAGAGGAAGATCGCAGTATCCAGGAAGAGTGGCCCAGATTTGTTGAACGATGGTCTCGAAGATCTTGATCTCCATGGTCTTCTCAGCAGCGCCATGGTTCAGAACACGCTGGAACATGGCCTCACTGAGGGGAACGAGCTCGGCACGGAAGTGAGCGAGGCGAGTGTTTCTGACAGAGTCACGGAGGATAGGGAGCATCCAGGCACGTCCAGGTTGTCCAGGAACGGGCTTAGTCAAGTTCAGGGGTAGAATGTCAAGCACATTGTCAGGACCCATTGCGGTAATGGCCTTTCCGAGAACAGCATCTGCCTCCTTCTTCCCAGAAAACGAATCGTTTCCACGGAGATCACCGACAGTCTTGACAGCAGTAGTTAAGATGCCCTGGGAGCGCCACTTCAGTGTGTCGAACATGGCACCAATGACGGAAAAGACCTCCATCCAGGCAGATTGGTACTTGATGCTGAGAAGGTCGTTGACCTGGTTTCCGAGATTCTCAAAGACCTTCTCGTCGTAGATTGAAGGCTCAAGGAGAACAGAGTCAGGAACGCAGGTGTTGAGGAAAGATATCAGACACTCCGAGGCCGAGATACGAATGTTGTGAGAGGAGGAGGTGAGGAAGGCGGAGACCTGGGTGAATAGCGTGGGTAGTTTTGCGAAAGTTTCCTCGGGGTCGAGTTGAGCGGCGACATCGTATCCTCTCGAGATGACGGCGATCCAAGGAGGCAGGAGTTGCGAGTCGTTCTGTGAAGGCTGGAGCTCACCAATGACCTCTAACAGACGGGGCAATTTTGCAGCAGAAACCTCGTTGGCCAAACCAGCGAAGATGATCTCAAAGACCTCGAAAGCCGACATAACGAGGAATTCGTGGCTCGACTTTGAGATGGCGAGCAAAAGCTCGCACAGCGAGTCAATCTTGCGCGAGGGCCATCCATTTGCAGCAGTGGCAATGACCTTAACGAGCTGTAGCGCGTGCATCAAAGCAGGGTCATTCTCTTGTTCCTTTGCTCCCTTCTTTGCCTTCTTGGCTTTTGCAGACTTCTCGGCAGCGTCCTGGAGCAAGCGCATCGACGTCTCGGCAGCCATGTCGGAAGCCGGGTGATCGAGCGAAGGGCTAGGCGGAGGGTTCTTGAGAACGGTTGTGAGAGCATCCTGAGCTCGCTTGCGGACCTTGGGACGGTGGTCGGCGGCAAGACCAAGCAGACCAGCGACTGCACGACGAGGACTGAGCGATGAGGCGGGAAGGGCCCAGGCTTGGGCGTCTTGTGCGACCAGCAGCGATTCCAGACATCCGATACTCGAGCGCAACAACGGGGCCTCTGCTTCCGGGTGTGTGAGGGTGGGGGCGAGACTGCCTAGGATCTGGCTGAACTTGGAGCGCAACAGCGGTGCGGGAACGTGGGGNGTGACGAGGTCGAGGAGGTATATGACGGCGTAAGCGACTTCCTTGTTGGCCATATCGAACTGCGCCAACAGCGATAAGAGGGCGGCAAAGTAGGCCGTGGGTGTTTGTTCGGCATTCTGTGCGCGCAGAGTGTCTTCGACTGCGCCGAGCACGACAGCCGTCTGAAGTCTTTGTTAGATGCTGTGACTGCAGAGGAGCATGAGACTACTCACCTGCTGCATGCCCGACAGCTTGGGCTGCGACCGAATCTTGTCGAGCCTCTCGTTCAACGACATGGTCGACATGATGTGTGTACAAGCAAAAGCTGTCAACCTCTTGCCCAAAGAGAACTTTCTGATTCTCGACCGACTTTCTCTAATCGATAACCGCACGGTCCACATGAGGATTGCAAGGGTTTGCCAAGCTTTGAGACTTCCATCTTCCGAGACTTACTTATGACGGTTGCTGGACCTACGACCCTGTCATGACTTCTTGGTTTGTTCAGCGACATCGATGACAGTGTCAAACCCACTCTCTAACATGTTATCACTGCTCTGAAGCTTGGACTGAGGTCTTGTCGACCTTTATTGGGAATATTTCGTTCCTTTTGACTGTTCTATGGGTTTTGAAGCCGGATACCACAATCAGGGCCATCATGTGTCAGACGCCGACCGCACTGTATCACCTCGACCTATGTGGGCAGTATGTTCCATCGTGTGAGACGTGTTCTGCACATTCTCTCGTGTTTCAAAGTGGGGCATCTTCTAGATCAGCAAACAACGATCGCGAAGCACTAGCTGCAAAGCCTTTTTCAATAGTAACGTACAGTATGATGGACGCAAAGGAAAACTGCACACGAGATAGCACGCTGATATAGAAATGAAATTCGTCTGCATCATTTTTGCGTGACAGAAACTAGGTAGGGGGAATCAACGTAACTAAAAGACTACAAGAAAGAAGAGCAAAAGAAGATATATGCTCACTCAAGCAAACACATCTACGTTCCAGTCTCAGTCTCAACACCAGGTTGTCTGCCATTGAGACCGCCAGTCAACTTGTTCTTGATCTTCCTCAATCCAATCTTGCCTTCATCCTTGGCGAACTTGAGGTTGCGAGCTGGCTTCCACTGCATCAGGCCACGCTGTTTGCGCTCTTCCGTGCGCTTGTTTTGTGCATTGACACTCTTGGGGCTGCCTCCCGTGTTGGGGTCCGAGAACGTGGAGTTTGTGCCTGCATATGAGTCGTAGGAACTTCTGCCGCCAGTAGTACTGGCAAACGATTTTCTCCCTGCTCTCTCGCCACCACGGTTCTCAGAGTTATCAGCGTCCATGATGCCGAGATCGTTCGAGGAATCGTCACCCGAATCACTGTCATCGTCGGAGCTAGGGTTGTGAGGGTCATGGAGAGGAGGCTCAGCACCAGGCTCGCGGCGCTTTCTGCCTTGAGAGTCCACGTAGGCCTTGGGGTCTTCGCCAAACGCGCCACTCCAGTCAGTGCCTTGTTTGCTGAGCCATTTTTGCTTCTCATCCGGTTCTTCCTCCTTAAGGATGTCGCGTCCTTCTGTAAGAGACTTCTCGTGTAGGGCTTGAACACGATCGGGCATCTCCTTCTCGACCAATCTTGTGCGGACACCTTCAGCAAGACATGCCTCCCAAGTCTCGTAAGTCTCGCGAGACTCATTGTCGGCAACGAAATGCTCGTGGCTTTCATCCATACCGGCCTTGAAGCGACCAGTGAACTTGAGACGACCAACCTCCTCAAGATCATCCAGTCCAGGCATAGCCTTGGTTGCATTGTCCTCTGTGATGTAGTTCTGAGTCAATCTTGCAGGAGCTGAAGTACGCCAGATGGGAATGTCAATCTCGGTAGACTCGTTGTCGACTAGATGTTGCAGCCAGAGAACAGCATGAGCATCTGCCTTGCGCTTGCCAGACAAGTGGAATTCGAAGACGATAGGACTGCGGTAGCGATACTTTACGGGAAGGCGGATTGGATCCTTCTTCTCATTGTGTTGCACTTCCCATTCAAGACCGTTGTCAGTCTTGTGGCATTGTGTGCGAGGTAGCTTTCCGATGGAACCACCAGTGCGCATCTTAAGCTTCGCATGATGAGAGTAGCCAGTTGCAGTAATTCTGTCAGAGAGGAACTGGAAGGTACCAACATCCCAGCCGAGCATGTTGGGNGGAAGACGAGTTTCGATGCTGCGGAACAAAAGCGAGATACGAATACGACCGAAGCCGATACCGCCATCGAGAGGGTACCATCTGGTGACCTGGGAGCTTGTCTCCATGACATCGGACAACTTGAGAGGAACAACTCCAAGGATGGGGTCGTGTTCGCGGTTGCGGGAGTCGCGTACGGTAACGGTGATGACGGCGGATCTCCAGTCGCGAACGAATCGTTCAGTACCGGCATTGAAGATGGGCTGACTGCTGACTGCCTTGGCGCGAGTCCTGTAGACCAGCTCGTCGTTGTAGAGGATAGTACAGTAACTGGTAGGAAGCTGATCACCCTCTTCATCAGTACCTTCACCACTGGGCTTGGCGGGTTCGTATTCTCTGCCCTTGCGACTGCCTTCCGTGCCCTTGATGTTATCAAGTTCGAGGTTGACAATCTGGTGGACGACGATACTGCAGACACCGCTTGGCCAGAGAGGGTCTGGAGGCGTGTGCTGGACAGCATCATCGGTTTCAGTGTTGGCCACACCCTTGTCGTCCTGAAGCTCGGGCTTGTCACGAAGGTTCTGGGGAAGTCCGTGATTCTTGCCATCAGTACGAAGAGCGGGTCTGAACTGAGGCTTGCCAAAGAAGCCAACCTCCCAGTGGAGCTCTCCAGGCATCTCGCTGTCAGAATCCATACCGGCGAGCTTGGAGACTTGAGGGTACATCTTGCCGGGGTGTTGGATCATCTTTTGCATGGACAGTTCAACCTTGCCGACAATGTCATCAGCGGTGTGACGATCAGAATCCCACAGCTCGACACTCAAGTTTTCGTCGGCCTTGATGAGCTCGGGGGTGACGAGCAGNGCTGGAAACACGTCAGTTTAAAACTTTTGATGCCCATGAGAATTCACTTACGCAGCAGTTTCCTCCCAAATAGGGTTCAAGTCGTCGGTAATGACACGAGTGCAGTACATGGGCTTTCCGTACTTGGAGAAAGAAAGGGTAATGTATGGGTCGCTGCCTCCATATTTGCTGCCACGCTTGTCCTGCTTGCTGAGACCAACAGCACGATGGATGCGAATCCACATGACACCGAGAGCTTGAACGTCTTTGGTGATGTCGTCGCCCTGGAGCATAGCTCTCATGTCAAGAGACATGGACTTGGGAGCGACGTACATGCTAGCAGCCGCGCCAATAGCGTAGTTGACAAAGTTGGAGATCAGAGGGAGGTTGAGAATATTGACACCCTTCTCGACCATGGGAATACATCCTGCTTGCACGTGAGGCACGCCCATGAGCGTGAAAGTCAGTGTCTTGAGGAAAGGAGGTTCTGGAGTCATGGCCATGCGCAGTCTGACGGTACCGACTAGCTCTTGCAGCTCAACGAAGATGGGAAGGGGTACACCAAACAGACCCTTGATACCAAGGTAGAAGACCAGTTGCATGTGCATGTTTCTGGCTCTGTCCGAAGCTCTCTTGCCAGAGGGAGCGGCATGGTATGCGAAAGAGACCTCGAGGTTGTAGTAGTCACCACCCTCCTCGTCGGCAGCAGCCTCCTGAGGGTCCTTTGTTTTCTTGTTTTCCTCATGGATCGCTTGCTTCATCTCTTTCATGTGCTCGTCGGGTAGAGCGCGTAGACTGAGGATGCGGATGGGGTTGCTGCCTTGGTTGATCTCTGCGACGCGGACGTTCTCGATGATACCAGGAACGGATGCTTGCATGACATCCTCGAGGGTATCGGCGACACTCTGGAACATATCCGGATTGACGAGACCCCAGACGATTCCAAGCAGAGTGTTCATCCATTCGACAGACTCGGGGAGGAGGTTGGCCGTGGCCGTTCTGCCTCTGATCTTCTCGGTGTCCCACTCGACTTCTCTGCCACTGCGGATAACCTCCTTGGCCCAAAGGAAGACACCGGACGCCACACACATGGCCAGAGGGATGAGGCCCAAGAGGCGACCGCCAAAGATGTTTCCGACAAAGACGATTCCAAGGAAGACACCGATGCAGAGACCGGTGGCTCTCTTCTCCATGGCAGCGAAGAAGGGCTCGTAGCTGACAGAAGGTGTAGGGTGGAACAGAATGTTGGTCTTCTCGCCATGGATGGGCACGTCTGAGGTACTACCTTCAGCAACGGGGTCCGGAGGGGCGGTGACATCTTGGTTGTGTTTGTATTCGGCCATCGACTGCGATGGGTCCGTCTTGACAGTNCTAGATCATGTTAGTCATGATGCATGCTGGAGCTTGAATGCGCAACGTACTGTAGGCTTGCCCAGGTTCGCGTTTGGTACAGAGAGCTGCTCACGTGTCAGATTATTTTCTCTTCAGCTGTCACCATCATCGTCTCGTACCATGGGATTCTTAGCCGCATCAACCATTTCCTTGTTGACATCTTCGATGACTACCTCCTTGCCGGTAGTCGGGTCTGTGACCTTTTGCTGATTTTCCTTCGCGTGCAAGCCCGATGACTGCTGGTGAGGAACTGCATCGCCATTCTTTTGAGATATCTGCGCCTTCTTTTGCTCTTCAATCTGCTTGTCGCGAGTGACCTTGTCGCGATCTAGTCTTTCGATGAACTGGTTGATAGTCGGGATCTTGTTCGACCCCGAGTAGTGGCCACCAGGGGCATGCTGTTGTTGAGCATCCGCCATGGCTAACGAATGCGGACCGGGATGTGACTTGGGGATGGTGTGGAAAGAAGGAGAAGAGAGCTAGACTAAGGTATTATTATTGTCTTGTCCACATGCTACACAGCCTTGCCTTGGCCAGTTGCGATTGACGCAACAAAACTTGGAATGCCATCGAGTGGACGGTAGAGGATGGCGCGTTCGCGCGCACTCCCCTACGTCATTCTCGTGGCTTGGTTGTCTTGCAGCGAACGTTGCAACTTTTCGCCTATACCTGCTCGAATGTCGTGTAGACACTCGGCCTGCGTGGCTAACAAGAAGAGGCTTGACTACGAAACCTACTGCCACCATATGAACATGTCACGACCGCGACGGAGTGATGGGCCCTGTGATACTGCACAGTCGAGACACATGCCGAAAATCTCCAAAAGCGGCTGCGATAACGACAGATCGCGGAGGGAGATGGAGCATTGACCAATAGACCAGCCGACGAGGGGTCCCGATCGACGCTCCAAAAGACAACCATCTCCCAGTTGGGCAGCAGGGTCACTTTCCCCTGCTTCTCGTTTCCTTGTTTCGACAACCATGTCTGGCTGGTTCACTTCGTTCCTGAACTGCCGTCTGTGCATCGGCGGCAAGTTGGTAGATGATCAGTTGGTCGTTTCCGATGATACTGGTCTCATTCTGCCTCGGACTGGATATATCGGTGGTGATGCAGTAGACTTGGAAGAAGGCATTATTGCTCCTGGTCTGCTGGAATTGCACACCAATGGTTTGCTTGGATTTCATTTTACCCACTTTAACGATGAGGGAGAGTATGCTGGTCAGATTGACAAGGCTGCCAAGTTTCTCGTTACACAAGGTGTTACGGGCTTTTGGGCGACAATACCAACTGTGTCCTCTGACGAATACAAGAAGGTAGGCTCGACTTCTTCCTCATGCAGTTCCCACGTTGCTCTATATCTCCATCCCTCTTTCATATCGCATGTGTTAGCGAGGCACTGTGTCGAAGAAGCGATGCTTATAACAGCATGGCTCTCGATCAGTGGAGACAAAGCAGATCATGCCACTGACAGCATTTTGGTTTTCATAGNNATTTTGCCATCCTTGAAGCCTAGGACAATCGATGATAGCGCCTCACTACTAGGAGCACATGCAGAAGGACCCTACCTAGCACCATCCAAGAAAGGTGCCCATAACTCGGACCACTTCTTCGATGGCAGTCGATCAGCGGAAGAAGTTTATGGACCATCAGCGACATCTTCCGAGACTCTCAAATTCGTGACATTGGCTCCTGAACTTCCCAAATCAGCAGAACTCATCAAAAGTCTTACGTCCAAAGGCATCAAAGTGTCGCTTGGACATAGTGCAGCCACCTACGAACAAGGCATTGAGGGAGTCAAAGCTGGAGCAACCTTGTTGACGCATACGTTAAATGCCATGACACCACTCCATCATCGCGATCCTGGTCTTGCTGGACTCGTCACGACTGCCAATACAGACACTCAGGAGAGTCCGTACTTCACGATCATCCCAGACGGCAACCACCTCCATCCTAGCGTGGCCACGATGCTTTTCAGAGCAAATCCGGAAAGGTGTATTTTCATCACTGACAGTATTGAGCTCGCCGGACTAGACGATGGTGTTTACCCCGGACACGCACAAATTCCATTCAAACAACGCAAGACGGGATCGAAGGTGACAATCGATGGGACAGAGACGCTAGTGGGCGGGTGTGCCAGCTTGCAGGAATGCATTCAAAACATGATGAAATGGAGTGGGTGTGGTGTGGCAGAGGCCGTGAGATGTGTTACTGAGAATGTGGCAGACATGATGGGAGACAAAACCAGAGGCAAGCTGGAAGCAGGACGAAGGGCAGACTTTGTCGTGTTGAACGATGAAGGGGAAGTGCTTCAAACGTGGGTCGCGGGGTTGAAGGTGTGGGAGAAGCGATGAGCATAGCAAGGATTTGGGTCATGAAGAGCAATTCGCATGGAATCATACATCGAGAGGGCGCAATATTTATAGTGTAGGGTTTGGACATGGTCGTTGTACTGGTGGAAGGCGGCTGTCAAGTTTGACCGAGTCAACGAAGATGGTGTGCTAGAAAGGGAAGAGGGTATAGAACGTGTCCACCAAATGCTCACCAAATTTTCGGCAGGACTGCTGGCTTGTGAAAGAACAACGTTCTGTATGACATGCACAGCAGGGTCCACTCGACTGCGGGGCAGGTTTGTTTAGCATGCTTGATGGCTCCAACGGCGGTTGCTGCGAACTGTCAAGCGCCCAAGGACATTTTCATTCAGGAGTTGAAGAAGCGTTAAACCGGCGGCGATAAAGGGATAGCAAGGAAGAGCTCCAAGCTGTCACTTGATCAAATTGCAACCCTCCAAGACTTCAGGAACGCAAGCCAATCTAAATCACACCAGCCATCCAGACATCCACCGGACAAACAAAGCCTGGACCAACCACTTTATACGACGACGCGAATCACTTTGATCCACCGCCTGCATCCTTTTTGTGATCAGATACATACAACAGCAGAGAGACATGTCCGAGACTGAAGCAACGCACAACGACGACACACTGCAGGCAGGGCCGCATGCCAGCACTACCAACCACGAGGACGAAAGGGATGCCGTAAGTTCCTCGCTTAGCACCAAGCCAACTCTCTTTGTTGGCTGCTTTAGGCCCTGGGACCTCCGAATGACTGACGGGCCTCAGGACACATTCGAAGATGCTACCGACGCGACATCTGCTGCCGCTGCTCAAGATTCAGCAACCCAACCAATCTCGCATCAGGGAGACAATACCGACGATGAATCCCGCATAGTCACGGACAGGATGCACTCGGATGACACAGCACCCAGACTATCCACCTCGATTGCGCCGGGAGCTTTTGACGTCGACGACATTGGACACGTGCTCGCCGAAGGTGCTGATGCTAAGAAAGAGACTGTACCAGAGAATACAGCAAACGAAGAAACTCAATCTGCTACGGCAACCTCATTGAAACAAGCAGCCTCCAATCAGGCCCAAAGTCGACCCTCGATAGCCAAATCGCTGAACGAGGAAGCCGCGACGGCCGGCGGAGCCCAGGACAAGCGAAGCAGCATCGACATCATCACCCAAACCACGCCCGACAACGACCAAGACGACATGCCTCGAGCCCAAAAGTCTCGCCAAAACACTCTCGAATCCGTACCCGAGCTACCTCCCGCCGTGCCCGAGAAAGACAATGAGAACGAACCTGTAAAAGGGCTATCGGGCGACCTCCCTACTCTCAACTACCCTCCTCCGCCGCCACCACCGATACAAAAGTCGCAAACCTTCATGGCTTCGCCTACAGTAGAAAAGCCCCCAACCACACGGAAAGTCTCGAGCCCATTTGCTTGGTTCTCACGGGCTCGGAAAGCAACATCTCCGTCTCGCCCCACGAGTCCGCGACGAAACACAGCTTCATCTCTGCAGAGCCTGACCACAAGCCCCGACTCCAACGACGATGCTTCTCATCAACGAACCCTGAAAGACCGTTTCCACATTTTGCGACTTCAAGGCGAATCAGCCATCTCGACCGACGACAGTCTGGCTCTGCCTCAGGGTCGCCATGGTCGCGCCGGCAGTTTACAAGGCCCTACCAAGGAAGAAGGAGGTCAGCTAAGCCCTCCATTCACGCCCCGAGCAAATTCCTTCTCCGCCATTTCATCACCAACTACAAAGCTTCCTCCTGGTACCGTCGCAGGAGATGCTGCTGGTCCATCAGTCGAACAGGCCGAGGTCAATTGGGATCTCTGGCAGTCTGTTGTTGAAGAAGGCCCATGCGCTGTCGCACGTACAAGTGGAGACGAACTCAATCGCGCAATTGCCAATGGCATTCCTCAGCCCATCCGTGGCGTGGTTTGGCAAGTCATGGCAGAGAGCAAGAATGATGAGCTAGAGCAGGTATACCGCGAATTGGTCGCTAGAGGCACCGATAAGGAGGTTATTCAGCCATCTACTGTCCGTCGTATCAGCGGTACTGGTGAGAAAGAGTCAATCACCTCTTCTGCCTCTTCCGTGCACTCGGATGTTTCTGCGTCTGTCTCTCCTCAGATGAACGGTGCCGAAGCATCCACGTCACCTGAGAGAAAACGCAGATCAAAGGATGAGACTGCTGCTTTGCAGAAGCTTGAGAAGACCATCAGACGTGATCTCGGCGCACGAACAGCCTACTCCAAATACATTGCCAGCGCAGGTCTCCAAGACGGCCTGTATGGTATCTGCAAAGCATATGCTCTCTACGATGAACCAGTGGGTTACGCTCAGGGCATGAACTTCATTGCTATGCCTCTACTCTTCAACATGCCAGAAGAGGAAGCCTTCACCTTGTTCGTCCGACTTATGTCAAAGTACAACCTCCGCTCTCTCTTCACCGCCGAAATGACCGGCCTGCATCTACACCTCTACCTGTTTGAACGCCTACTGGAAGACTACGAACCGGCACTCTACTGTCACCTACATCGACGTGGGGTTCCTCCAAACCTATATGCCACACAATGGTTCCTCACGCTTTTCGCCTATCGCTTCCCTCTTCAACTCGTTCTTCGCGTCTACGATCTCGTCCTTAGCGAAGGCCTGGGCGCCATCCTCAAGTTCGGTATTGCACTTATGCAACGGAACGCCCAGACCCTGCTCGAGATGAAGGATATGGTTCAACTATCCACCCATCTCAAAGAACGCCTCTTCGACGTCTACATTGACAAATCCCCTTCCGCAACCTCAATCCTCGAATCTGGTACGTAATTTGTCCCGAATCATGTCATAGGATTGAATCTCTATCGCATTGCAGAGTATTATTCCAGATCGAGCAGACGTCCATCGGGGCCTTTGATCACTCAAGCTCTCAATGGAAATCTCTGTTTCCAGAATAGCACCCTGCCATGCGACAGCTACTGGAGTTCAAATCTTACATAAAAGAAACATGCTAAACTCATATCACAGNGATTCTTCGGCTCCACCTCTGGTGCAACGGACAAAGAAGTCTATCGCGCCGATGAACTCGTCCGCGATGCCTGTGCCGTTGTCATCACACCCGAAACCCTCGCAGCATATACCTCAGAATTCGAAGAGAAGACCCGCGCAGAAAAGGACCGCGAAATTGAGTTGGAGTCACTAAAGAACGAAAACGCAAACCTCAGCACACGCGTGCGGAAACTGGAACTGCGCACCCAGCAATCTGATGCCGAGCACGTGGACCTAGCATCCTCTCTGGTGCGCACAAAAGTGGAAAACGACTCGCTCCTGGACGAAAATGAAAGTCTGAAGATGCAGGTCGAGGAGTTGANNGGAAAATGGTCGACAAGCAACCGCAAGGAGGTTGAAGACCGCTTGAAAGGGNAAATGGACAAGATCATGGCGAGAAACATCGAAGTGCAGAATAACAACCGTGGACTAGAGGAGCGATTGCAGGAGATGGAGCAAGAGTTGGTGGGGACGAAGATGATGTATGCGCAGGTAAGTTTCATTTTCCCTGTGCCTCCTTGGGAAGCACAGTGATGATATGAAATTGATTACTGACTTTGCAATAGANTGAATGGCGAACACGATGCTCTCAAGCAGAAATTGAGGGATATTCAGAATATGCTGGCGAGCACTGATGATGGGCAAAAGTAAAACGCCCATGTTCCTCTTATCCTTTGCAAGTAACAAACCTTCAACACCAACCTCATCACAGGCTACACAACGAGTAAAGCAGGCTTTGCGCTCTGATGAGAGGCCAGCGGCAGGGTTTTAGACAGAGCGATTTCACCCCTGCACTTGCCATTCTATCATTCTTTTTTTTTTTTGCTCAGTGGCAGAAATCTCTCACTCGTGTGTGTAGGGCAAGAGCAAGAAAAAGGGGCCCACTGCTATTTGTATATAACCGCAAAACCCACTCTTTCTTTCCTTCCACAACAATTATATGGATGCTTTGCTGATTTGGCGACGCGGTGCTAGAACTGTTTTGTGTTAGAGCCACCAAAGAGAGTCATATCCTGTAGGTCTCCTCAGACAACTGGACTGCCCTCCTGAACACGGGAGCTTGCGCTTGAGTGATAGGATAAACGCACAGGACTCAGGGGTATATTTCATAATTCAAAATCTTGATTTTCAGATCGCTAAATAGTTTTTGACGCCTTCATTTTCGTCCCAGAACATTACAAGAAGAGATACAGATCAACAAAGCATCTAGAATCTCAAGTCCCAGCCAATCTTGGGACCGATCTTGGGAAGCTCCTCGGCCACACTCTGCACATCCTTGTCACCACGACCAGAAAGACAGATGACGATATCCTCGTCCTTCTTCATCGTCTTTGCCAACTCCATGGCACCAAAGATGGCGTGCGAGGTCTCGAGAGCGGGGATAATACCCTCGAGTTGAGATAGCAGACGGAATCCGATAAAGGCTTCGGCGTCAGTAGCGGCGATGAACTTGGCACGGTCGGTGTCCTTCCAGTTCGCAAGCTCAGGGCCGACACCGGGGTAATCGAGACCGGCCGAGACGGAGTGTGTGTCTGAGATCTGGCCGTGCTTGTCTTGCAGGATGTAAGTGCGCACACCGTGGAGGACACCGTGAGTGCCGCCAGAAAGAGTGGCAGAGTGACGGTCAGTGTCAATACCGTCACCACCGGCTTCAACACCGAGAAGTTTGACGCTGGGGTCGTTGGAGAAGGGGTAGAACATGCCTACCGCGTTGGATCCACCACCGACACATGCGACGACGGCGTCGGGAAGCTTGCCCTTCAGAGCCATCATTTGCTCCTTAGTCTCACGTCCGATGATGGACTGGAATGTGCGGACGATGGTGGGGAAGGGGTGAGGACCAATGGCTGAGCCAATGATGTAGTGGGTGGTGTCAAGCTTGACGACCCAGGCGCGCATGGCCTCGTTGACAGCGTCACGGAGGGTACGGCTGCCGGCCTCGACAGCGATGACCTGGGCACCAAGCAGCTTGATGCGGAAGACGTTCAAGGCCTGGCGACGGACATCCTCAGCTCCCATGTAGACGGTACACTTCATGCCGAACTTGGCACAGACAGTAGCAGTGGCGACACCGTGTTGACCAGCACCAGTCTCGGCGATGATCTCAGTCTTGCCCAGACGGCGAGCCAGAAGAACTTGACCAAGAGCGTTGTTGATCTTGTGCGAACCGGTGTGGTTCAGATCCTCACGCTTCAACCAGATGTTTGCACCGCCGGCGTGCTCGGTGAGGCGCTCAGCCAAGTGCAAGTGACCTGGGCGACCCATCCATTCGTAGTATGAGCGGTACTCCTCCCAGAACTTCTCGTCGTTGATGGCAGCCTGGAAACCGTCCTCCAGCTCGCGCAAGCAGTCCATCAATGACTCAGGAACGTACTGACCACCAAACTCTCCAAATCTTGCAGGGATGGCATTTGAGTCCATGGGTCCGTCGGTGTTGAGTGCCTCGATCTGGTCGGCAAGACCAGGGCCGTCAGGAGTGTCCTTGTCCTTTACGACACCGTCGACGTGAATCTCCTCAGGAAGATCCTCCCTCTCAGTGTTCTCAAGACTAGCTTCCTCGCGCGGTTGCGACTTGATGATATCTCTGCGCTGGGTAATGCCATCCAGGTAGTCCTCAACGGCCTGAGCACCCTGACCAGCAGAAGCGTCGGCAAGAGTCTGGATGATTTGACTGCCAATAACAACACCCTCGGCCATGCTACCGATGCTCAAGTAGTGCTCTCTGGTGCTGACACCGAAGCCAACAGCAGCAGCAACACCGCCAGAGTATTTGTGAACGCGGTCGAGCAACTCGGGCAGAGCAGTGTTGACCGAGCTAGTAGCACCAGTGACACCCATGCGCGACACGACGTAGATGAACGAGTCGGCAATCTTGCACAGCAGCTTCATGCGGTTCTCTGATGTAGCGGGAGCGATGAGGGGGATATACGAGAGACCGATCTTAGTGCAGTGGTTGCGGAAACGGACAGCCTCCTCTGGCGGCAGGTCGACCATGATGAAACCATTGACACCGGCAGCCTTGCAGTCCTTCAGGATCTTGTCCTCGCCGTAGCTGAGTACGGGGTTGTAGTAGCCCATGAGCATGACGGGGGTACGGAGACCTCTTTTCCTTGCATCTCTGACCATCTGGATCGTCGAGACAATGTTGACGCCGTTCTTCAGGGCTTGTGTGTTTGCTTTTTGAATGGTAGGGCCGTCTGCGATAGGGTCGGTGAAGGGCATGCCGAGTTCGATAATGTCGGCACCGCCAGCCTCCATGGCCAGCATGATGTCGGGAGTCTCCTCGGGAGTAGGGAAGCCAGCAGTCACATAGGTGACCAAGGCAGGNCTGTAGGCATGTCAGTTGACTGCGAGGGTCGTGCGCGCACTGTCTAAACCGACTCTGTTCTCCTCCTTGGCCTTTGCGAATGTTCTCTTGATGTGCTCCATGATGTGTGGTTGTGTAGAGGGAAAGGGAGAGGTGGATATAGAAGGCAGATGTGCCTATGGGAAACACTCGAGGAATTGACTTTAAATACAAGTCAAGAGTGTGGGCAGGTGTAATTGACGTGGTCAAGAAAGTTGTGGTGAGTCAAACAGAAAGCGCATTCAGCACCACATTCGGGAGTGGCGGGGTCCGTGCATGAGTTCTCTCCGGTGCGCACTTGCCCCTCCATCGTTCGCCTTGTGCTTGTTCGTCGTCTGTCAACCATTTTGTCTACCGAGAACTCTCATTCTTGTTCTAGACCCCATGTGGGCGATGCAGTTGGCCTGAGGGCCTTTGTGCTTGAATATGGTTGCTTATGACTTATCATCCATGTCGAATGTGCTGTCCTTGCCTCTCGATCTGCAATTATGGATTGAAGCTCACCATCGGCTCATGCGGCAGCACCTTCCCGACAGCACAATGAAGTGACTCACAAAACAGAGCCTCCTCGTAATGACTGTGAATTGCGCGACCAGGATCAAGGTAGTCTCGTTTGTTTTTTTATCCTACGGCCCTGTCGCCTAGAAGGACTATCAGCATCCGTCGTTCGGTAAATCGGGAAGGAAGACAAGAAGCTCATGCATTGAGTCACAAAGAGTGATGTAAGTGTTGGCTCCAAGAACTGTGTCTGCCATCTCGCGAGATCTGGTGTATGCAACAATAAGAGTGCATCATGGCTGCCGATCAAGCGCTTCGCTGTACCGACATGATCTCAAGGCTTCAAGACATCCAACACAACCATCTCGGCGCTTAGCGAAACCTCACCACCAGCTTCCAACTCTCGAGGCCTTCGACGTGACATGGAACAAAGACAATCGATCTGCTTCCATAGCCGCCCGCCAAGGGACAACAGCCTGCTTCACAATGAGCTTCCTTGATTGGCGTTTCCGAGACAATAGAAGCGTGTAGGTCCTTCCACAAACAATAAGTCTTTGGTAGTCCCTGCTTTTTGTCCTTTGACCTCCATTCAAGGCCTTTTGTTGGCGCCGACACAATCACATTCATTCAACGTTGCAATAGATTCGTTCGTTGTCAAGCGTGCTTTGTCTAGCTACCAACACTCTTTCAAGTTCTGCTTCTTCGCACTTCTTCTGTTTCCTGCTTCTAGACAACCTTTGCAAACACACATCATACGCTGGACGTACTCCTACCTCTTAATCGACCTGTAGATCTTCGAATCATACGACGTCTCTAGACAAATTTGAAGCCTCCACGAAACCAAAACACGTCAAGATGCCCTTCAAACAGACCTTCGAGAAACACCTCAACAAAGATCTCGAGTCCAACCGCGACTCGGCTCTCTACCCACCACCCTTGCCAGCTGCAGACCTAGAGTCTCAAGCTCCTCCACCACCACCTCCTGCAGTTCCTCAAGTCTTCACTAGCTACCCAGAGCGCAGAGGCGGCATCTACATCCCTACAGTCCTGTTCATCCTCCTTATCCTGGTCCTGCTCTTTGAATCCAGCGTCCTCTTCGTCTACACGGTCGTTGCTCTCTGGAACACTCTCCCCCTCCCCATCGCTCAACCCATGCCATTCCCTCAACAGCAGCTCTTGCAGCCCACCACAATCACCTCAATCTCAACATCCATCTCGACGACAACTCTTCTCAGCACCGTCACTCTCTCGCCTAGCACACTTCCTGCCTCCACAACCACGGTATCCTCTACAACTACTATCGTGCCGTCTACGACTATTCCTCCTGTCACGGTTACCAAACCTGCTCCGACGATTACCATCACGAGTACATTGACGCCTTTCCAGTTACCTTCCATCACCACCATGACTTTGATGAGTACGACGAGCGAGAGCGAAAGTCGGAGCACGACTACGAGTACCACTGTCATCACTGCTGGTGCGAGATAGATCGCCGGTTCCAAGATGGAAGAAGGAAATAGTGCATAAGAAGAAGGGGAGTTCTAGATCAAACAGTTTGGGTATGGCATGAGTGATATTGTTGCCAAAGAGAGCAAGAAACGGTAGAAAAGAGCAAAGGAGAAAACAGGGAGTCTGGAACTCCCTCTTTCTTCTCTTGCATCGCCATAATTCCGAAACCAAGAACAAATGCAAAAATAAAAGTTAAAACAAAATGTCTTTACCATGTGCCAAGTAACTTGACCACTTGAATGTCTAAAATGTGACCAAGCCACGTGAGTTTTCGCAGTTCCCATGAGTTGAACAGAACCTACATGATAACATCTTAGCACCTTGGATAGATCTGACCCAAGCATACCACGTACCATTTCCACAGCCCAAAGCATGCATATATTTGAAAAACTCTTGTCTATAAGCATCTTCTTCTTACATGTAAAAACCATCACATACACATCGTCTAACACCTCAACATGTTTGCTTAGATACGCTGATACAGCAAGCTTCCTCTGCAATATTATACGGGGCAAAAAAACACGGGAGAAGGAAAATCCAGACGATTGTGAAAACTCTTGTGGATTCATTTCCACAGTTTGGTATTGTATGGGTGAAGACAAAGAAAAGAAAAGAACACAAAGATGAATCTGCTCTTTTTCCCATGAAATGTTATGTTGCTAATCGATCCTTTGTCCTCTCCATCATTTTTGAGCATCAATCATCAGATTCGCATGTGCAAAGAAAAACACAGTGAAAAGAAAAAAACAGATGATGAGGGTCAGACTTTCCTGCCCGGAACAAGAAGAAAAGAAGGAAACAGATGGGGCCATGCTCTCGAAATGCAAAGATGCTCATTGCCGCCCACAAACGCCGGAGAAGATGTGAAGGAAAACTCCATAAACGCCCGCTCAAGATTATAGCTCAAAGGCCACGCCCTTCTCAGCAGCCAGGTTGCACAAATAGGTCTCCATGCTGTTGTTGCCCATATGAATCTCCTCGAGGAAGCGAGTAGTTTCGGTGAGGACGGCGCTCTTGCTGAAACCACCAGTCTTGAGGTTGGGCACGAGTTCGTTGAGATCTTCGTAGCCTTGCTTGATGATGTTGCGACGCTTCTGCTCAGAGCGGATATGGTTGCTGCGCTTCTGATCCTCGGTGAGATTCTTGCGAGCAATGCTGCTGAGCTTGCTGTTCGCACCAGACGAGGCTCTGCGACGCTTGATGGATGGCTTGGACATGTTGTCTTCACGGTCGTTGTCGTCCGAGTCGGCAATGGTGTTGTCGCCGTCGGGACTGGAGTTGTTGACGCGGAAGGCAGGAGAGGTGATGGACGCGTCAAAGTCATGATCGTCTGCGCGCTTGGACTTGCGACGCTTGTTGTTCTTGGGCTGGTCAGACTCTCCAGTAGAAGTCTGCCCAGCGAGATTGGCAAGAGCCTGCATGCTACCAGGGTAGTAGCTGTGGAGGCCTCTGCTCAGGTCAGGGGTATGAGGGACCGAGTTCTCGACAGAGGACAAGGCGTCGTTGGATGAGTGAACCATGTTGCGGGCGAATTCGACGTGCTGGATGGTGCTGGCTTCAAGATCTTGATAGGGGGCGGCGTAACCAGTTTGGCGGAAGTTATTATCCGAGCCAAAGTGGAACATGGGAGTGGTGGACTGATGTGAGGAGGAAGAGTGGGAGTGAGGATGTGAGTGAGGGTTTGTTGTCGGATTGTCAAACGATGCACGAAAGTGGCCATTGGCCGGGGGNTACTGCGCCGCCGAGGAGCTAGTCGTCGCGGGAACCGAGAAGGGAAACGAAGCATGGCGGCTTGTGCTCTGCACGACGGGCTGCTGTGAAGTCACAGACTGAGGGAAGTTTGCAGAACCAAGGCCCTGATTGGGGTTTGCTCGATATGAGAACAAGGTCGAGGCAGCATGAAGCACATCTGCAGACGCGTTTGCTTCTGGAATGCCCACAAGGGCCAGCAGGTCCTTGGGGTCTTTGGGTGCCTGGAAGGTCCGCTGGTTGTAGTTGGAGTTCTGGAAGTGGAAGCCTTGCTCTTGGTTTGGATATGATACGGGGAATGACTGATTGTCTAGAGGATACATCCATTGAGAGTCGTTGAGTTGGTCGTACTGCTGAAGCCTTGTCTCGGGTAGGGAGTTCATGTTGGCCAAGAAGGCATCGGGCAGGTTGTCTGGGCCTCCATAGTGGTCTGGATCGCTGAAGAAGTTCTGGAGAGTGGTGGACTCGTCTTGATCGAGCAGCGGCGGGCCTGAAGGGAGGTTCTCGGGTTGGTAAGGGAACTCGTCTGTGAGCATGTCAGCACTGTAGTGAGAGTGTGATGAGCTAATGCTCACATCCAAAGGGAGTAGTGGACCAAGACGAACGATTGTCGGAAGCCATCATTACAGAGACGGCAGGTATGGGTGGGAGTGTGGCAGGCTCGGCCGACTTTTGCGGCTGCAAGCTGTCGCGTCTGTTCTGTTCGGAAGCACCTGGGCTGGGAAGGGCATCATCCTAGTATGACCAAGGGAACCCGGGTTGGCTCATCGAGTATCTTTTGCGGGTAGAGATGGCTCGAGGCTGAGTCGTGCTGAGCGGAGTCGGTATCGAGGCGTGATGTCGCAAGCAATGGCAGGACGAGTGGATCGAGTGACGAGCAAGTGGAGGGATACTGATGCTACTCTGTTGCTATCCTGAGTGTGTTTGATTATGGTTGTGGTTGTGGTAGAGAGCGCATCCATGTCGAGGGTGAATGATGCAGCTCTTTGCATGTGATTGACCATGGCCCGCACGGGCCACCTGATCGTTGCTTCCCTGGCACGCACGTGAATTTGTCCGCTCCTGCCTCTTCGTGCTCCTGTTACTGAGCACTTCCATCTACTTCACCAATCCACCGTGTTCCTGCTTCATTGATCTTGCGTGCCTGCCTGGAGTGATAGTGTGCTGGGAGTCACGCCTTCCTTCTTCAATTATGTCACTGCCATCTCGTCACTTGCTTTGTCAGGTACCGACTCAACCTTCGTGACTTGATACAACCGCAACGTGACCATGCAGCAGCAACATCTGGCCTCCACTGAGCCCCAAACATACAGTATGTGAGGGCCGGCCCGTCCGCATTGCAGCCATCTCTTTGACTTGACGTTTGCTCTTATCTCTCTGCTCATCGAGTGTCAATGAACACATGATATTCCTTCGAGTCTACACCGATTGCCCTCTACGTACGAGCATGTATCAGTTCTGGGTCAGTACAACTCAGACGAACGTCTTCGGTTTCGCGATCGCCTTCTGCAGAACCATCATGCAGCTCGCCGTCCTACGCACTCCGCATTTGCGGTCCGCTGTGTGCCGCTTTGCAGATCCGGAGCCTCTCTCTCTCTTGCAGCCCTTGCGTCCCCCCGTCTACTAAACTATGTAACCCGTGTGGCTATAGAAATGTACAGTGCTATCAAGAAACGAGGAAACGTCCACCGAGAGCCAACACTCTTTGACTACTCTCCTGCTCCGGAAAAGGATACTGTCTTTCTATAGTATGAACTTCGCTCCACGCTCTTTGTGGGAGTAGGGTGAGGTTACGAATTTGGCACATGGGGAAGGGTGGACTTTCGTCACACCAAAACTTTGGACGGCGGAAGAATTCAGATGATCTGCAATATCAAACAATTCTTCCGAAACGTGTCGCCTTTGCTTGCGGAGTCCCCATGGGCGAATCAAGCCACCTTCTTAATGATAGCTGTCGCTTGTCTCGTCTTGGTCTGGACGCCTGAGCATGCTTGTTGGAGATCAACCGAGAAAACAATATGAGAGTCCCCTCTTTGGTGTAATACGTACACAGAAAGTATAAGTACTCACATCATGTCCTCGCCCAGTATCTAACCTATTTTCTCCGTCAATCCTTTCCTCTGTTCTTCTACGGAGTATATCCACGTCAATATGAAATCAATCGGTGAGTATATATGATACACATTCTGCCTATCCTACTGACCTTTGCAAGCAATCCAATCCCTGTCATTGACTGGACTGGTTGCTGGAGCTGTAGCTGCTCCGGCTTCGACTCATACTACAGCTGCCGACCCTTGTCATGTTACCTCTTACTCTGGCGTCGCCGCTGCCGTATCTTCCTGCACCAACATTGTTCTCGACAGTATCGCTGTACCTGGCAATACCACCCTCGACTTGACTAAGCTACAAGCCGGTTCCACAGTGACCTTTGCTGGAAAGACAACCTTTGCCTACGCAGACGCAAACTATGATATGATCACGGTCGCCGGTACCGACGTCACCATTACAGCTAAGAAGGGTGCCATCATCGACGGCAATGGCCAGGCCTGGTGGGATGGCCTTGGTTCAAACGGAGGTGTCGCCAAGCCAAACCACTTCATCACTGTCAACAAGGCCATCGGCAAGTCTGTGGTCAAGAACCTCGTCATCCAAAACTATCCTGTTCATTGCTTCTCTATCAGTGGCAGTGATGGGCTTGTCGTAGAGAACATTCTTCTAAACAACACAGCCGGCGAGGCTCCCAACAGCAGATCAAATGGACTCGCTGCTGCTCACAACACGGATGGCTTTGACATTTCGAGCACTAACGACATGGTCTTGAGAGATTCGAGAGTACTGAACCAGGACGACTGCGTTGCTGTCACCAGTGGCAATAACATCACCGTTTCGAAAATGTACTGTGATGGTGGCCATGGTCTTTCAATCGGAAGTGTCGGTGGCAAGAGCAACAACAACGTCACCAACATCCTTTTCGAAAACAGCAAGGTGCTGAACAGCCAGAACGGTGCAAGAATCAAGTCCAACTCCGGAACCACTGGCTACATCGCCAAGTAAGTCCTATACACTGTCATCCTTTTCTTCATCAAGTCTGACTCGATCCAGCATCGAATACCGAAACNNATCCAGGTCTCAAATGTCGACATTTACGGCATCGACATTCAGCAAGACTACCTCAATGGAGGCCCAACTGGAAGCCCTACAAACGGTGTTATCATCAAGAACATTACCATGTCCAACATTTTCGGCACTGTCCAGGCTAAGGCTAGAGATTACTACATTCTTTGTGGAGATGGTAGTTGCTCAGACTTTACCTTCAACAACGTCCACATCACAGGCGGAACTAACAGCTCTTGCAATGTCCAACCTACTGGCAACTTCCGATGTGTTTGAGATGGACATGGGTTGGGCATTTGCGATGCAGTCGTATAGCATAGGCGCCAACGATTAAAGAGGTGCAGTAGTATAGCTTCACACCATTCTGATCATCTACCTTGATTGTGTGCTCCTTCAATGATCTCTTCCAGATTACTTAGCTTGCCTCATGCAAATACGGTGACCACATTCCAACTCCTGGTTCAGATCAACTCCTGGTTCAGATCAATTCCTGGTTCAGAACAACAAGTTACGGTGTGTCATGATGAGCTAAAGATCGAAGCAATCGTTGACCAGACACACTCTGGATTTTCGCCCGAGAACTCTGAGAGAAGATTCTACAAGAGATGCGGAGCTTCTGTCGCTTTCAAGGGAGAGGTGGATAATGTGCATGATGCCGGATTTCATGGAGCGGAAGAGGGTGTGTTGGAGGAAAGCTGCTGTGAGAAGATTTCCGGGTATCTGTAGTTTGGGGACTGTCTGAATGCTGTATATAGAGTCTCGAAGGTCTTTGCTCAGCGACTATAGGAGAGAAGATAGAGGCAAAGGAATATGGAGATAAATCATCGTGGGAGTAAATCACCATACTTTCAACTGGTCAGACTCGTTGTCTGCTGTGAACCTTTGGCTTGCATTACTTTTCGAATTGCGAAACCCGTAATTTTCAAGGGGATAGTCTCTAGTTTTGGATGGTCGAATGAGATACGGATGGATGCTGTCGCTTGTCTCTCCTCCAGTGTATCCGTAGTATCTTCTAACTTGTCTGCTCCAGAGCTACATCGTCCTGCGCCCGCTTGTTGTTCTGTTATATTGCGGTATCTGGACTCACTTGTAGCGACAATTGCCAGTCTGTGGCAACCAAAACCCTCTTAACTATTGAGGGTTTGCCTGGCTTGCGCCACTGCTTCTCCAAGCACTCAAGATCAGATCAACAATGTGATCTACACCCTTGCCATTCTTGACCTGTGCGAAGATAGTAGGACCACCCTCTCTGNNTATTGTCTGTCAGTAAAATTTTCGAAGAAGGGTGCTCAAAAGCCCATACCTAATCTTCCTCGAATCTCTATCCATTACTCCAAGATCAGCACCAATAAGCTCAGCCAGATCAGTTTTGTTGACGACAAGCAAATCAGACTGCGTAATTCCAGGACCACCCTTGCGAGGAATCTTGTCACCCCCNGAAACATCGATAACATAAATGATAAAATCCGCAAGCTCGCGACTGTAATTTGCAGCGAGGTTGTCACCACCAGACTCGATAAGTAACAACTGCGTGTTGAATTCTTGATGCAGTTCTGTCAATGCTTGCAAGTTTGCCGAGATATCCTCACGAACGGCAGCATGAGGGCATCCTCCAGTTTCAATGGCACGAATGCGTTCAGCAGGTAGTGCTTTGTGTCTGGTCAAAAATTCGCAGTCCTCGCGGGTAAAGATGTCGTTGGTGACGGCGGCGATGTTGTACTTCTCGCGCAGGGCGAGGCAGAGGNNAGCCAGCATCAGGGCAGTCTTTCCTGAACCCACGGGGCCACCGATACCGACTGTAAAGGCTCGTTCGCGGAAGTCGCGGCCTTCTACAATAGGCATCTCGCGGCCCAAGAAAGAGCCGGGACCTTCGAGGATCTCATGGGTGTGGCCATGGTCAACGGCATCGTGAGAGTGCGAGTGGGCTCCATCGTGTGAGTGAGACATGGTGCAATAGGTTTGAAGATGGAACTTCGAAGAGACAACAGTTGTTACAGGTCAAAACTTTGGAAAGCTTGATGTCGAGGGGTCTTTGTGGGAGGGTCCCGAACGGGTGGGGCAGCGGGCGATAAGGGATCCGGTCCAAGCTTCCTACCCACTATCGGGAGCCGACGACAACATCAAATTGTTCATCCTTCAACTTATGCAACACTGACCAAGTAAATGGCGCCGACCCATGACCAAGGTCGGCATGGGAGTAGAGGTACCTCGAGCCATCGGGCCAAGGCTGTGGATTTTCAGGTGATGTTTCAATCAATGCTGTGATTCACAATAACTTCGAGATGCTGAGTCGGTGGGAAGTGTAAACAGATCTATATATCTATGCTGAATGTGCTCTTCAATACACATACTCAAAGTTGGGGTTCTGCTTGTCCGTCAAATTGCCGAAGGCCGTATCATTCAATGCAGCAGCTTCGCCACTCTCGCGCATGCGGAGTCTGATCTTCTCCTTGCGCTTGTTCTCCCAGATAAAGGCATATCTCAGCACTCCAAATAGCAAAACTTCAATACAGTTCGCCGCCAACAGGGAGCCGATACCCAGAGGGTACGAAGGCGCCTGCTCTTGTCTGTAGAAGAACGGACTAACGATGTTTCCAACACATGCACCGAACCAGATCATTCCGGATACTATCATCTTCTTCGACTGACCGCCTGTGTTACTGGTGACCAGTGATAGAGACAGTACGAATGAGGCCTGATACGAGCCCGTCAAGTAGCTATGCATGGGTCAGCTCGGATAAACGATACTCGATCGGAAGGATATTTGAACTCACAAACAGATCAATCGTCCAACGTAGGCAGTATCGGGTGCCAACAAGAAGCCCAGGGCGCCGGCAATTGTTGGTAGCATGAAGAGCGCACACACGATGGTACGGCTATTCTTAGGAAGATACCTGTTTGCCATGGCTCCGAGACCAATCCAGATTACGACCAGAGCTCCCTGCGGAATACCAAGCAGTGCGGTGTGTAGAGTGTTGAATCCTAGACCCTTGATGACCAGAGTTGAGAAATTGGATAATCCGCCGTTCGGAATGTTGGCAACAAAACCAAGCAGAGTGAATAGCCATGTCTTGTAGTCGAGGTAAGCCTCCTTGATTTGATCCCAGTTGATACGCTTCTGCTCGATACCGGTCTGATTGCGGCGCATGCGTGCGATCATGATCAGCTTCTCATCACGGGAGAAGCCCTTGAAGGTCGTAGGTGAATTGGGAAGAAGCAGACAAAGCACAATGGCCCATGCTGAGCAGAATGCGCCAACAATCAAGAATTCGTAGCGCCAGGAAGCGAGGGCACCATTGATACTGCCAATACCATATCTATAAGAGTGTTAGAAGTTGAAGCCTGTCTGACTCGCTCGCAAGGATCTGACTTACCCAATCAAACCGCCACCGGCAACCCCTACACCGTTCCACACATACCATGCTGCGATACGGGATGGCTGCTCCTCGCGAGTATAGTACATGGATGTAATGAGCATGAAAGCCGGATCTGCGATCGCCTCAAAAGCTCCAGATAAGATACGCAATGCTGCCAAAGCTGGGAAGTTGTTTGCAGCAGCCTGACACATGAGCAATGCTCCCCACATAAAGATGTTGAAGGACAAGTACCATCCGGGTCGGCATCTTTGCATGATGAGATTGGAGGGTATGGCCCAGAGTAGCCAGCCAAAGTAGAATATACTCGACAACCATGAGTATTCCTCACCCGTCAGCTTCAGGTCTGTCTTGATGCCGAAAATCGCCGCGTAGGATAAGGTCGTTTTGTCAACATACNNTGTATGATAAGTCAGTTCTTGTCAATGTCTCAGTGTCAATGTCCGATGTCGACTTACGTAGAAGAAGTAGCATATACCTAGCAGCGGCAGTATACGTGTGTCTAGCTTGCGCTTCAATCTCTTCTCATCGGCTTGGTCGATTGATTCGTCATTGGGATAGCGTCGTAGAGCCTCTGCGTAAATATCTGCTTGGTCGTCGTCGAGCTCGCCAGAAATTGGTTCTTGAGGTTCTTTGTAGTCGATGTACTCTATCGCCTCCTCCTTTGCTGTGTTGTCGCGTTTGTCCATGGTTGATCATGGGATGGTCAGGAAAGTACATCCATAGTGTAGTAGAAGTCGACTAGCCTTTATAGCAACTCCACATGCAGACCTAGCCTGCTGTGATCGACTGGTAAGAAGCCCGTAGCAGTCAGGTCCAAGATCAGGACGATCATAGGGTCGGCCTCTGATGGTGGTTGCTAGGAGTGTGGGGTCTTACAAATGACTGAGATTGTTCCACCAATCATCGTTCGAGGGACCCCGAGTCGGGATCCATCCCGAGATCAACCCCAGTTTTTCGGATCATACCCACAAGCCCTCTCGAATAGGAACATCTCCTGGTGTCGACAGCTCCGCCGGATATGGAGCTTTTTAGCCCCAGATATCCCGCCTTGCATGTTCCTCTCTGCAGTAGAGTCTTTGATGTCTATCTCGAGACTCAGACCCGTAGGACCCGAATTCGGTACGAACTCCAGAGTTCTCCTGTCTAGGGTCTTTTTGGCCTCCACGAGCATATTTGCGTTATTGCACCATCCAAAGTCCCTCTATAGACAGCGATATACCAGATTTTGGCGCAGGGAATCTGTCGGGAAATGAGTTTTTGAGCGATCGAGTCGAAGTTGTAAGTTCAACAAACATGTTCGAGAAGCGGGTAATGCAGTTCTCGTTTTCTCGAGCCAAGCTAGCCATTTTAAGCTAGCGCAGGTCAGGTGCACTTGCCGCCGGAGGTTCGAATGCATGTCCACAAAAAGGTAGCTCAGCCGGGTCCCAAAATGTATGATATAGACTTCTATCAGGACTGTAGATGTACTCAAGAGTGAAGTCGCCGTACGTCATGTAGAATGGTGAAGAGCCGTGTAAAAACCAGTGGAGTAAGGAATGAACTTCATCTCTGCTGCAAGGAGACGGCCGCAAGCCTAATGCATATTCCAGTGAGGTCCATTGACATCTGAAGTAAGAGGCGGCTCTGGAGAACATATAATGAGGCTGGTGTAGCGGGCGAAACGAGACATACCTGTCTAAGGGCGGAATTTGAAAAGATGGCTCTCAGAGTACGCGTCTGTGTGGGCATCCCGAGTTGCAAGGATTCGACATGCGCCTTGAGGCAGCGAGGCCGGAAGGCTTAAAAGTCTACACGGGGAATGACCATCGACCGAAATAGTAGAGCTTTGTGGCCAGCCTAACATATCAATCCGTGAGCACACTGTGTAAATCCATAGTCGTGCGGACAAGGATGATGGATGCAAAATGTCGAAACGGTGCCGCTTTCAAAGGACTGTGTCGGAAGCTTTCTGGTTGTATCTCTTCGAAGCTAGTTTGCTAGACCTGAGACAAGAGACTGTTGTAACACGAAACAAGCTCGACCAAAGGTATTACGCCGTACGCTGAAACCCCGAATACTGTAGTCGATACTATGTGTCCTTGGTTGTTCCTAAGGAGAGACAAGAGAGCAAGCGTGCTGCATGTGCATGTGCGTCTGCCATCAATGTAGCCAAGCCTCGTTGACACGAAGCCCTCGCTGGAGAACTTCAGACCTCCGTTCACGCTCTAACTCCACCACCAGGTTTCGACCCAACACCATAGTCGTGATAAGACGACCGGATGCACCGTATACAAGGAAGACTTGGCAAAAATCCTAGGGCATACGCTGGCTGAAGGACCAATGAAATGCCACCCTTCGCGTTTGCTCAAGGCCCTTCCTACGCAATACGGTGAATACGACCGTAATTGCTATACGGTCGACAACAGTTTTGATTGCGACTTGGTACGTATTGGAGAGGCAGTGCCATGAATGTAAGGCAGACATGTAAGATGCAGCATATAACATTGATCTCTGGTTCTTCTCTCTTTTCCTGTCTTCTCATCTCATCTCTCTTGTCCTTCCCTCAACAGACACCGTCTGCAGCCCATCCTAGTCAACCTCGCCTACTTGCAAGATTCCAAAACCGCCAAATCATCCAAAATGTCTGACTCAGAGAAGGGAGAGATTAAATTCGTCCTGTATCACTACACTCCATCCATCGCAGCTGCAATCATATTCGTCGTGCTCTTCGGACTTGGTTTCGTCGGTCATGTCTACTACGTCGCCAAGCTGCGTGCTCGCTACTTCATCGCCTTCGCCATCGGTGTGCTCTGTGAGTGTCGATATCGACTTGCGAACCCGGAGATGGACTAATGCCTTATAGTTGAGTGCATAGGATACGTCGGTCGTGCTCTTTCACATAGCGACAAGGAAGCTCTCGGACCCTTCATCATGCAGAGTCTTCTGATTCTGGTCGCTCCTGCACTCTACGCTGCTTCGATCTACATGGTCCTCGGTCGTGTTATCCGTCTTCTTGATGCTGAAGAGTACTCTATCATTCGCACCAAATGGCTTACCAAGGTTTTCGTCATTGGTGATGTCTTCTCTTTTCTTGTACAGTCGTCCGGCGCCGGTCAGCAGGCTAGAGGCGATCTCGACGCATTCAATCTCGGAAAGAACCTTGTCATCGCCGGTCTCATCATACAAATTGTCATCTTTGGCTTCTTCGTTATTGTGGCCGGCCTCTTCCACATTCGCATCAACAAGCTTCCTACCGGTGCTTCTGTCGACTCGAACCTGAACTGGCGCAAGCACATGCACAACTTGTACTTCTGCAGCGCTATTATCCTGGTCCGTAATCTCATTCGTGTGATCGAGTATGCTCAAGGAAACGATGGATACATCATCACTCATGAATGGATGCTGTACATCTTCGATGCTGTCTTTATGCTCTTGGTCACTGCTGCCTTCCTTGTCTTGCACCCCAGCAAACTTCTCGGCAATGGACGTCTCCCAAGCAGGAGCGAGCCTCAACTCTATGCCATGGAAAGTGGTCAAACCCAGGTCAGATCACATAGTCAACACTCCAAGCGTAGACACACTCATACTCAAACGCATTCTAGTNCGCCCCCTCAGTCATCGTCGACACCCTTCAGCAAGATCGACAGATCCTAGATCACCCCGTAGATCAACGAATCGTTACCGTAGCAGAACTTCGCGCGGAATATGAGGGCAGATTGGTTGTGAATATGGATACTGGCGCTCTGGGCTATCGTCCCTCACGCGCGGGCGTTATCGAGGTCGAAGATACATAAATGGCGTGTCAGCATAGACGCTTATACCTTTGACAATGGTTGAGATTCATGGTTACTAGACAGGTTGCACATAGCGCGTGCAGATAATGAAAGGTTTTGAACAACATTCTACGATTTGACCGACATCACCGTAACCCACAGTATATTCGGAGTTCGACAGGTTGTCAGGAATGGCTGAGACCTCGCAAACAACGACCTTGCTGGATTGTTTGATCATGTTCATTGACACTGTAAACTGTAATGGTCATTTCAAACGTTCCTCGGCCATCGTCATCCACAGCGCAACTTTTATGCGTGCTTTGATTCACTGGATTCCAGGATTTTCTCGATCTTGCCCATCGTGTTGCAAGTTCGTTGCATTTTCACTCTCGTATCCGATTTTACTGAACCCCGCTGCCGCTCCGTCTGAATCGTTGCTATGACCTCCTGAACCTCTTTTCCAATTCCGCCACCATCTCGTCTACAACGCCATGACGAGACGACGCGAGAAGCGTATCAAGATCGATGTAGCAAGGGAAAATCTGCGCAACCTGAACGCTGAATTGAGCGCCCAGATCGAATGCCGCAAGCAGACTGAGGCTGTACATCCTGGCTCAACACCACGCATTGAGAGCGTGTGGACGAAGTCCGAAGTTCGGTAAGGGATCTTCTATACATCTCATGTCCTCGAAGCTAACTATATCTAGTNNGGTATAATTGCTACATCTGATGACTTTATTGGAGTCATCTCAAAAGACGAGGATCAAGCTGATGAGAGACCTGCTGGAAACGAAGTGCACCGCGACCTTCTCTGCTTCTTCGCACCCTACTACCGCGCCCTCTTGGGAGGACGGTTCAAGGAGGCTGCTCACAACACCGTGGTTCTAGACATGGACCCGGACTGCTGCAAGTTGTTTGTTCAATGGTTGTACACTGGTTTCTTACCACTAGACAATCCTTGGAGTCTCTGTCAGCTCTACATTCTGGCCGATCAAACCATGAACTTGACCCTGCGCAGAACAATCATGACACAGATCGTCGAATCTAGATTCCACCCCTCAATCAAGGATCCCAACACAGCAATTTTGTTAAACTCGTTGCCGAGCAACTCGTCTCTTACTCGTTATCTACTTGACAGGATGGTCCATCATCCCCAATGCAGAATTCCTCTTTCCACGGCTCTTGAGTACGTCGATGCCCTCTCCGAAGGTGTACCTGTCGAATTCGCTCGCGAACTCAAGTGGAGACTTGCGCCACACCGTAATGTGCCTCATTGTTGTCCTTGCTGTGCTAAAGCCTGCAATTATCATGAACACCGCAACACCGAGGAGCGCTTTTTGAGTCAGTTGGACTTACACGCATATGGTGGTTCAAGACAGAGTACTGACCGAGATAGGCNNTGTGGTGGTAGTTGGTATCCCGAGCCTGAGGATGGCTATTGGAGCTGATGATCGCAGCTGTTGATGGATAGCTTGAGCACGAGGACTCTGGATATGCATGGTTTTTCGGTACATCGTTCCCATGATAGATACGCAAAACTGCTGCGAGGAGATGTTTAGTCTCGAGAATTGGCGAGGGTCATTGATGTCTCTTCCTCAAGGCCTGTGGGTTCTTTTGCAGTTCCAGTCATATACAATCCCATCTCTGGCTGTTCCTTCGGGAGGCGTCAGACTACCACGTGGTCAATCATTCCAGCTTACACTTGTTCTCAATCTTGACTTCACTCTCTTGTAGATCGTGATGCATAGCTCAAGATTCGCACTGATAGTGATACTCAGATCATGTGTGTTGATCACGAGCGTTGTCACAGTTGGGATCGTGATGGTGATCGAACAAAACTACACTCGCAAGTGAACTTCCTTCACATGTTTTTGCGTAGAGAGCAGTGAACGACGGAGAGCGAGGAGACGCGAGTCGCACCAAGACGCGGTCTCACGTCAACACGTTCTTCACACAAAGTTTGTTTTTCCCTTTCTTCTTCTACAGCACATCCCCTCCATTGATCAAGTGGTCCTTCCCATCAGTCAGCATGGCACCACGCCTAGTCGCCGAGTGCGCAAAGAGTTGGAACGCATTCCAGGTCACGTATGTTCCTTGCAGAGCTGACAGACCACCATTAGGATCCTCGGATGTGCCACAGAGATGATCTAACTCACATCGAACAACGACGAAACAGAGAGAGGAGCGACAGACAAAGCCAAGTCGGAGAACGGAACCAAGAGATTTCAAGCCGCAGTCCATAAAGATCTCATCTGCTGGTTCTCAACGTACTACCGTGCAGCACTCAAAGGTGGATTCTCCGAAGCGGCCAGCAAATCACTCATTCTAGAGCTGGGCTCGGAGAGCTGCTACGCACTCATCGGCTGGCTTTACACTGGTCTTTTGGCCAAGTTGGACCCTACCAAACACGCATGGGAACTACTGTTCAGCTTGTACGTCTTCGCTGACAGGAGCGATATGCTTGCCCTCCGTCAACACATCATGACAGTCGTAAGAGATTGGCGAACCAATGCCCCTCCACCACCCTTCGAGGCCGCTGCAATTGCTCTTGGATCACTGCCTTCCTCCTCACCTTTGTACCGTTGGCTCTTGGATTTCTATACTCATCGTTGGATGCCCGACTACCCAACTCCAGAAGATGCGCTGCCCAACGCATTCCTCACGGCTTGGGTCAAGAGAGCAGNNAAGGCAGCTAAATGCGACTTCCATGAGCATGAGAGCCTTGGAGAGTGGAAATCGAGTAAGTCAACACATCGATCGCAATAGTTTTGGACTAACATCAAGCAGCATNGCGGTGCCGCTAAAAACTCTCAGGTCAAGCGACCTGACGATGCGTCCCTCAAGAACAATACCAGCCACAAGACCAGGGTTCGTCATAGATATTTTGGAGAACAAGTTGGCGGCTGCAACCTACTCCATAGGGGTAGCACACCTTCAAGCCTCATCCACTCTGATCCATGGATATCTAGGCACTGGGGATGTTCACAGCCTTCTGGATAAGGCGTTCTCAAGCAAAAGCGCAATACCACATTCTCGTAGTGATATGTCGAGGAGTCATTGAGGTCTACGCAAAAGTTTGCGCACGCATCCAGGGTGTCAATCGTCGCTCATTGAGTTTGGTCTGGTCCATAACAGCTCAAATTCATCTCATCATCTTGAAGTTTTATGTCCTGCATGAGTCTTCCGCATTAGTGTTCCACATCAGCGATGACTTCCGATATGCGTATCCAGACGCCCGAAGAAGAGTCTGTTGTCTTGATTTACATCGTATATGCTGGTTTGTATCAAAGGACATTGCCATACGACATGTTGAAGCTCGTACCTAGAAAAGCTGGTGAGGCATCTGCTGACTGCAATTAGCACATTATTCTGCTGATTGCCCTTGGCCAGCAGTAGTGCAAAGATGCGAAAGAACTCTGAAAGCAGCAGACAAAAAGCTCTTCGAATCACACAGAGTATCGAGCGGGAGAACAAGACAAAACCTCACCCCATGGACGAAGAACAGTAGAGGGAAAAAGAGCTTCGAGCCCAACCAGCTTCAAGCTTGAGCTATTCCCGTCAGCGCACAGGCCTCCGAAAAAGAAAAGAAGATGCTCTCCATCAGGGAATCGAACCCTGGTCTCCCGCGCTTGACGAAATGTGACTCTTGACAAGCGGAAATCATGACCACTAGACCAATGAAGATAAGCCAGCTGAGCTGGTATTGGTTGAATGCACAATTTTGACGCATCTGGTGGATAATAGACAGCATCGAGTTGTTCTACTGGCGTCGCGATATCATGCCGGGATCCGTTCCCGGCACGCGCGGATATATGCCGGTGCTCGTGAAGGAGACTGATGAGCTTGTCGTTGACTCGAGATGTTGATCGGAAAGTGACGCGAATTAGCATGTGGATTCTGAGGAAGGCTATGCAATCAAAATCAAGGGTCTCGGGTCATGGGAAGCGATATGTGGTGGATGTTATGGTTCATGGAGGATCAGTCGACGCGATCGAATCCGCGGAGTCGAATCACCACAAGACAAAGTTCAGAGGAGACGCGTGGTTTTGGGATTGTGTGAGTAGTAATTGTTTGACGTTGCTGCGCTGAGTGGTATAGTTCTGGTAAAATGAGCAAGTTGAAAAAGCAAGTCGAGAATAATCGTGATCGTTTGACTCCCTGGCCGTGGCCGTAAAAATGGAAAAACACCGCCAACACCTTGCTAGACAATAAACAAAAAGCTCATCCGTGAACCTAGATGGAAAAACACTGAAAGAAAATAGCCGCTAGTTCAAGCGAGCTGAGAGAAGTGGGAGTTCTGTCGCAAATCATGAGACCAGATCAAGGAGGATTATGGGTTCATGGCCTTGCAGAGCCACATCTCCCAGTAAGCTCGAAGACCCAGAACGGTAGCTCTACCGTCATTTCCGCCTTCAGTGCCGTCAGGGTCACCGATCATGGCGGCGAATACCCAGTAGATGGCGACAGCCCAGGCGCTGAGAGACACAGCCATGGCGACTAACGGCGAGAGGAAATGGACCAGTAGAAGACTCGAGACACTCTTTCCTTGAGTAATGTCAAAAGAGTAGATTGCTCGGAGTTGTACACGGTTCGAGCGGGCGAGAAGACAGCGAAGCTCGTCTGAGAGAGGTTGACGAGAGGCGGAGAAGAGTCGTAATGGATAGGTCAGAACGGTGAAGAAGGAAATGACCAGGGACCAGATACAGAGGAGAAAGGAGACCAAGACACAAGGACCAGACAGGTACAGNCTAGAACATGTAAGCACAAGAAGATGTGGAATTATACAGATGGATCAACATACCAATATCTTGATAGCCTTGGACTCGAGATACAGACGTTGATCTACCAGGTGATCGTCCTCGGCCGAAGACATGCTTGACTGATCGTACGGGGAATGTCCAAAGTACGGATTGTATCGCTCGGCCATGTCTGGAGTTCTGCGAGGCGACCTGTTGGCCTGCTTCTCGAGGTCTTGGTCGCTGCCATTCTCTCGCTTCTCGTTCAGCTCGCCTGACGAGTGTCGGACGACCGCGGGAGCCGGTGGTTTGGGCAGTATCGAGGGNGCATTTTGTGCGATGTGGAAAGTGTGTTGCGAGTCGGAATCCGAGGCATTCGAGTGCCGGTACGAGGAGCGATCGGCCATTGCCCAGCTTATATCCGGAGCGGGTACAGATGCAGATACAGGGCGGCCTCAGTGGACACGCAAAGGTCGACGGGATGGTATGGACGGCGGTCAGACAGAGGAGGGCTCATGTCAGTCTCGCATATCCGGCCGTCGTGCTTCTTTTGACATGTTTGCCAGAGAGCAAATGCCAACAGAAACGAGTAGCCGCCAAATGGGCCAAGTCTTGGGGCCTTGGCCTTTTTCCTTGGCCGATGCAGTCCCATCTGATCTGCCTGTCGTCGCCGATGCCACTGCATCTCTATTGCTTTGCCATGTCTGGCATTGCCATCATGCCAATCTGGCGTCACGAGAGGCAGTTGCTGTCCGTCTGCTTTGCTGTCCTGGTGAAGCGCTTCCTCAGCTGCTGCTGTCACGGCAGGTGCGACCCCTCGAATGCCAAGCCGCACGTTTGATCACCTCGTGCTCGCCCAGTTCTCTTTGCTCCTTGCCCGACACGCATTCGTGCTCTTCCAAGCCTGCCAATACCCTCATCATGCAGAACTTCGGTCACACTCCCCCTTTGTCCTGCGCTCGACACTTGTCGCACCAAATATACCAAGACTCATAGCATGTGCTTGGCCCGTTACTCATTGCAACACGACCGAGCAAAATAGTCTTCTCACGGAAAGCCGGCAGCCATGCCTTCTAGGCGTCGTTCAACCTACGTAAGCATCCAAGGCTCCTATAATCTAATTATTTCGTCTATTCACGCCCTGCACTTCAAAACATCTTGTCCTTCGGTTGGCATTACGCCTATACTGAGACAGCTTGAAGTAACAATGTCGATCGCATTGCTCTCTTTCTTGTTTGTAGGTCTAGTCATGGCTCTGAGCGGACGATCCACGAACGCACCATCTCTGATTTGCAGCCAAGAACTCTGCTTCGCCTTCAATACCAAGACTATTGCTCAGCTACTCTTTTCCTTGACTCGCAATAGCAAAATCATCTGTCTTTCCAAGCCTGCCTTTCCCAGCCTGGCAAAGGTTACTCTCCATCTGCCAGCCTCCAAGAAGCTTGGCTGCGGTATCAACAATCTTCGCAAGGTACAAAACTCTGATCAACACGAGCACACAAGACTCTTGTATCCGGATTACGGCCGATGAGAATGAAAATCTCCCTCGTCCATGACTTTCCAAGCTTCACGCCGGAGTTTTTGGTCGCATTTTGGTCACAATGCGATGCAACGTGACGAGAGTTGCAATGCCGTGAGGATTCTCGTTCGAACGTTGACCTGAATACTTGGCCATAATTCATCTCGACCGACTTCTTGGATAGCATCTCGCATTCGCATCTAACAACATGGCATGGTCATTTGTGCCCTAAGCATGTCCACCTCAATAATCGATTCTTTGTTTGTATATCCGTCTGGGCTTTTTGACTAAGGAGAGTCTTATGTCCATCTTGCAGAGAGCGAACCTCATCAGCACTCGATTGGGCATCCCAAATCAATAATTCGCGTTGGCTTGCACGTCGATGTTATGAGCCTATGCGCCCAGCCAGCATCAGCCACTTGGCGATTGTGTGACTGCATATGGCATCGTCTTGCGGGAGGATTCATGCTTCAGGCAGAATACAGAACCCAACGCACATGGCCTGATCGTTTTGTGCAAAGACCCTCGTGGTTGTCTCTGCCCATAGGTTGTGCAGAGTGCACTTGAGCACATTGAAGGTGAGCTGTCCTAGCTTTGAGAGCATAGGGAATGCACCCGGAATATATCATCTCGTTGCGTTGAGAGCGGCCACTTTATGTACTCCTCCCAGCGATCGGATGGTCTGTATCCCTGCGCGAGTGAAAAATATAAGAATGGAGGTTCTCAGACGCATATGCTTACACCGGACATTAACATCAGTCCGAATTGCCAATCCGTAGTGGTCAAAGGAATTGATGCACAAAGAAACTGTCACGCACTTTGAATGACTATGGGCACCGGACGGTGAGTTGTTGATTCCTGTGCCCGGGATTACTTATTCTTGGGTCATTGACAAGGTTGCAGTGGACGAGCAAGATGAAGCAGGAGATTGTAGGGACACATACTACTCGTAGTAAGCTCTGATTTTCTATTCAGCTGAGATTCAAAGTCCCATGAACCGGCTCGATCGTGTGTGAACCTCCACTTTTCACAACCTATCCAAGCTGAGGCCATCTGTGCGCTGGGTGACATACTGTATCTTCCACTCCTGACTCTTGATTGTTCTTTTCTCTCTGGTACCCTGATCATTTCTGCCTCTTCTAGCCTTTAAGTCGTTCCTTCCTCTTCTAGTCTCTACATCACTCCTTCTTCTAGGCCTTGATCATCCCTTTCTCTTCCCATCTCCCGTCCGATCCTTTCGTGTTCGAACGACAGAGTATCAATCGCTGCAACAGTCTACTGTCGTAGCTCAGCTCGGTGTTCGTCTTGATCATCTGTCCCGCGGAAGTGGTCTGAAATATGATTCCTGGACTGAATGGCATGGTAGTATGCACGCGCCAGTGTGTACCATCGTGAATACGGGCAACCTTGCTTGTCAAATCGGGCCAGTCATTGTGTTTCAGATTAATAAAGTATCCTTGTGAACCTTGGAAGCTTCATGTTATTGCTAAGCAACACAGTAGCGTTATGATATCTTGACAAACCCTAACCCTAGAATCTATGGTAGGCCACTGACCCTGTCTTTCCAGATATATAGGAGTTTGCTCGCATACTTGGGTGTCCAAAAGAGTATATGGTTTAAAACGTATTCTATCGTGATCAGATTACTCCTTAGAGGCTATGCAGTGTTATTCGTAGGTGCTTTGCGATAATGCTTTGCTCTTGTCAAAAGCTACATCGTTTACGGAGGAACTCAGACTCATGACAGTGACTGGTGCATGTCAATCCATGTTCACATCTTGCAACACCATTATCACCTTGGAAACTGCTTGGAAGCCCTTCTCATTCCCAGATATTGAGTGAGACAATCAGTAGACAAGAACTGTTGTGATACTCAGTAGACTACATGCCAGAACAGCTCACCATGCATAAGCGTAATGCATGCCTTCATAAATCTCAGCCGAGCTCAACCTGCACCCCTCTTTTCCAGCTTCATCTTTCTTTCTCTCGAGCCGTCTCTCAACTTCAAGAACCGCGCATTTAGCTCTGATTGATGCTCCCAAAATATACACATCATAAAGCTCAGTTCTGCGGTTCTCTTCACGGTTCATCTGCGATCCAGATGTGTCGTGCGATATTGTGGCGTGCACTTCCTATGCGCCAATGCCTTTGGCGGTACACACGTGTAGAGCACCCCTGTCTGTTCGCTCTGATACCGAGGATGCAGAGCCCCACGCGAGTGTGAGCCCCTCTTTCTCATTCCATGGAGCAGAGACAGATCAGGGAAAAGGTCGAGACTCATTCTCCTCGAGAAGGCCACACACTCAACCTAGATGTTATGGTCTAACCAGTCGAGGGCTGTATATTATAGGAGATCGTAGTTCCCAGAACGGGTATGCGGCAGCAAAGGTGCATCTGGATCAGCGATAAGGCTGGCTTGTGATTGTCAGCAATAGCTGAACGATACACTCGGGGACCTGGGCCCTCCCCTTGTTCCGACGATTCTTACCATGATAAGAGAATGGTTGTAGCGGAAGTAACATCTGGCATAGTGCTGTGTTCAGCCGCCTCGTGTCTGCCATCTTCTGTGTTGTTACAGAAGATCATACCGCGAGAGTGATACATATATACTGAGAAGATTGGCTGCGTCCTTTGCTCTTGCCTTCTCCCGGGATCCGGTATAGCAAGAGTGGGTACGGTCCTCCACACGTTCGAGCGGTTCGCTAACAGTAGAGGGCAGTGGGTGACTCGACGTCGCGACGTTCGCGCGTTCGCCTCAATGAACCTGTGATGGCGCACTGGCAACAGTATACCCCATCTCAGTTCGAAGAGATGATCATTCGCCCCTATGCGTTGTCCACCGAACATAGAGCGAGCACGAAACACAACGATGGCAGCGTCTCTTCTTCTGATCGCGGCTCAGTCGCAGGTACAAGAGCGTCCAGTTATCTTCAAAGCTCCACGGCGTCCGAGAACGTGCCATCGCTCGATCGATCATTTCGCACAATGTCGACTAGAACATTCGATACAGACGATTCCTTTAGATCCTCAAGGGCGAATTCATCGACATTTGGCGGCTTTGGTGTTCCGAGGCCTCAGACAGGGCTGCTCCAGTGTACCTTTGCCTTCCTAGGCTGCCAGGAAGAGTTCACATCAGCATCAATCTGGAGAACTCACTGTACCTCGCACTTCCACTCAAACTCACCGCCCACCCGATCCCAATGTCCGTTCTGCACTTCGCAATGGGAACACCCTTCAGCATGGGAGACTCGACTAGACCACATAGCTTCTCACCATAGAGGAGAAAGGATTGCTGCGGGCTACAGGGTCGATTATGATTTGTTTCGGCATTTATTGAGATGTAGAGTTGTGAGCTTTGCGCAGTATCAGGAGTTGGAGACGAGAGGACGATGTGATGGAGCGGGTGGTGTATATCTGGAGACGAGTAATTCGAGAAGGGAGAGAAGAGAAGGTGCGCCCCGTGGATGGACTTCTTATCGGGTTGCTGGGTGAGGGTGGTCGCTGCTGCGTTTTGCTCGATTCGAATTTGGTGGCGTTGGCTGCTGGAAGCTTTCTATTGGAGGCAACGACTACTGTATTTTCAAGCAGGTGGAAGCCTCTAGCTCCTTCTCATGCGAATGGTGGATGATCGATGATGTCTTGATTTACAATGTTCTTTGTTCTTCTTGCAAGGCGTACATAATGCTTTTGGTTTGTGCAAGGATGGGTTCATTTCTTTTCCAGTCGATGGTCAAGAACCAAACGAATCAGTTAGACACACCGTAAAGAAGGTATCAGTGCTCTTTATAAGAGATATCGGGTGTGCTGTTTTTAGCATCCAGTTAACCCGTGACGCTGTACGGTTGCACAGCCCCAATGTGCCGCACCTCCAACAACGCCCTCCACCACCCATGCTAATCCCATCTCCAAAGAGAACGCTTAGCAATATATGAGCCTTAACAATGCATAATGATTTCATGATTGATGATGTGTCCAGAGAGAGTAGATGAGGCTGTGGGCTCTCAATGGGCGTCGCCTTGTTTCTCAAAATTATCATGCATGCCTATAGCCACATTAATTACAGACTCCGGCATATGAGAGCAGAGTAATAGAATAAGGGGTGAGTGCCCGTTTGCCGAAGCCTGACCTGTCAAACATCCTCCCAGAGTAATATGCAGCAGTTCGGTAAGCTATAAAAAGGCAAAGTCGTATCTCAATCAAAGCTTTGTCCAGAGAGAGCCGTTGAAATGGCAGCTTTCACTGGACACTTCTCTTCTTGATGATTGAGTCGTGAATCACCATGATATACGGACAACAGGCACTTGAGTATGGGGAGATGTGATTTTTCGTGTGTCTCAAAGGAAAACTAACTATTGTACATGATTTTCTGTCTTGCTTCACTGCTCCTCAAGCTCCTCCTCAGCCTTTCTCTTGAGGCCACGGGCCTCCTTTGCCTCCTTCACGACCTCGTCCTCGCCAGTAAAAGTACTAGCAACAGCAGCAGCACGTGTCTCTAGCATGGTCTAAAGAGTGGCAACCTGCCCAGAGAGGTTCTGAGACCAGACAGAGAAGCGCAGTCTCATGTGATAGACAGGCGCAACAGCCCAGAGAAGACGGAGACGCTCCTCGACTGCAGGCAGGTTGGCAGTAACCATCAGACGGAAAACGAGAAGCTGAGTAGTCTCAAGGTCATTTTCGTTGAAAATTGCGCTCTGCTCAGGGGTAAGCGTGAGGCGGGCAGACACGCGAGTACAGAAAGTCTTCATGGTAGTGTTGATCACGGTGAGGTGGCCCATAATCACGTCAATTTCGGTCTTGTCCAAGGAAGGTTTTGCTTTCAGAAGACCAATGGCACGGTTCAGGTTCTGGAAGACCAGCACTTCAGTCTCCTGCAAGTCTCTGACAGCCTCCCATGATGCGCGTCTTGCGGCAGCCTGGAGGAAGGCACTCAGGTTGTTGAGAGTAAGCCTTTGGGCAAGCTGGGGAATCTTGGCTTCCACAGTTGGATATTCGGGTAAGTGTTCATAGTGAGAAGCAGTCTTGTCCAGCTCATAGAGGAAACTCTGGAACTTGATCTTCAGGTTCATTCTGCAGTCGGAGGCATGGCCAAAAATCTCGTTGAACATCTGGCCAAGGATGGAATGAGGAGGCTTGGGGGTCTGAATTCAGTTAGCATAGGCTCTCAATGGAGATTTGGTACACTTCGGAATGTATTCTGCAATGNNCGGCGGAGGTTTAATCATACGTACCGTAGAACGATTGTTGACCATAGTGTGTTCGACACCGGTGGGCCCAGGGGTTTCGCTGGTTGCTGCAGCGGGCTCGACCAATTCGACGTCCTTGTGCGAAGCAGTAGATTCAGGAGTTTGACCAAGATCGACGACTGGGACGATTGCCTTAGCTTGATCGGAACGAGCGGCTGACTTGGTCGACAGGATCTTCCATGACTTGATGTCAATGTCCGACTTGGGTGATGGAGCAGATGACTTGAGGTCAGTGTTCGACTTGCTTGGTGGAGCGGATGACTTCTTCGTGCGGGCCCTGGCTGATGGAGGACTTGATGAGACAACGGTGGACTAGGCCAACCTGTACCTGTTCTTGGAACGGGTGCTTGCTGCTGGTCCCTGAAGTGGAGGAGGCGAGGGAGGATGGACGGAATCAAGGTCCGAGTTGTCAGTCTCAGTGGGAGCTGAAGAAGAGGTCGACATGATCAACGGTTTCTGTCGAGGGTCAGGGAATGGACCGCAAAGTATACAGGGGGTGCCTACTGTGCTAAGACGAGTCCTTGTTGCCGAAGAAAAAGCAAGATCTTCGGAAGAAGGACACGCAAGCGAAGTGTGCACCAGATGGAACAAGCGGTGCTGCTTGAAGTGGTCTTGGAAGATGTTGTTCAGAGAAAGGGAGAAGCCAAAGGACTGGTTGTGGTTGAAGGAAGAGTCCAAGTTCAGGCCAAGGGAAGGCAAGTTATATAGTCTCTTCGCTTAGTCGTTGCCTGATAGTGATAACTGGAGGGGGTGTTCACTGGCCCTTGAGCAGGTTCAGTTTATGTGAAGTGTTCAGCCGTCGCCCGATGGTGGGAGAGGGAGATGATTCACAAAAGCTCGAGCAGGTTCAGTGTGGACGAGAGGTCGGGTGAGGAGTTGACGGGGCGATCACTTTTGTTATGAACAACGCAGTGGTCGTTCAGCCGACGCCTCTAGCCATCGATTGAAGCCGAGAATGGTGAACAAGGGACACTATCATCCTGTGACGATAGGTAACCCTCAGAATTCACATGGTAATCAGACACCACACATCTGTTGCTATAAGCATGCAATCGAGCTTTGATACTTCGCAAGCAGCTGTTCCTATTGGTGATAACGCTCTTCGATACTGGCGGGATGGTCAAATTGCATGCATGTACTAGGTATAACATCGGCTTAGAGCGAGGGCCTCGCCGCTAGGGAGTCCCCATGAAGTTTCCTGTCCTAAGTACGGCTTTGCCTTTGTATTAGCTTAGGTTGATCATGTAAGAAAGAGTCAAGCCAATGTCTCCACTCGTTAAGGTGGGCATGGGGTAGCCGTTAGGCCCATCCATTTCATTGACTTCCTAGTCAAAGATAAAGACAAAGGCAGTATAGCGAGGCCGTCTAGCCATAGCCTTGTCTCCATGAATGGTGAGTCAAGAGCCTAAGATATAGAATTGTTCAGACAGCAGAGAGATACAGAACCATGGATGCCCACGGGGACTGCTGCTTGGTTGGCAGCCTGGAATAGAAGATCGGACTGTCAACAGGCGTGCTCTGCTCACGGATGGCATCTGAGCTTGAAATCTGCCGTTGTGTCCATTGTGGAGGATATCAAGAAAGCTCCCTTGAGGCGCTGCCACAGGAGGTTGGCATGATTGCTGTTTTGGAGGCAGCATAGAGCTGTGCAAAGCAGAAAGGAACCAAGAAGAGGAGTTGGATAGTTGTATGGTATGATCTCGTCAGTTATGGAGTCCAGCTAGTCGACTTGCTTTCACAAGCGGAAGGTGATTGTGGTAAGGCGACATCCACATTCAGAAAAGGAGAAGCAGAAGCTCCTGTGGGGAAGGCCATAGTAGTACCATGCCAGGAAGGTTGATACTCGATCAGCAGTAAATCAGAAGCTTTGAAAGTTGCCTCAGTTTGCTAGCATATTGTGCATACTGCTTGCTGAAATACAACTTTAGTTGAGAAATTAAGACCTACCTTTGATCTTCAGCCATGTAGCACAGACTTGTCAAGAGCTCTGGAGAGCGTTCGGTACATATGCCAAATATTGTTCCTTGGAAATGTACGATGGACGTGAGAAGACCAGATCGAGATGTTGAGAGAACAACATGTGGAGGAAGAAAGAGAGATGTTTGGGAGGAACGAGCTGGAGACGATTTCGGCTTCGGCATCGGCAAACCTTCCAGTCTTAGGGCACGGGCGTCATTGCGATTGACCTTGATGCGACAACAGCGACGACGGGGTGCAGTAATAAGCTCTGCAATTGATTTCGACGTCGTTCAAGTCCAGACTAGGAAGCTCGTCGTCTTTGCTGTCAAACAGAACTCGGGTGCGAGGTTGCCATGTTGTCGGCGTTTCGCGCGCAGCCCATCTATGAGCTCAAACAACAAGACAAGTCCAAGATCGAGTCGGTCCTAGCATATGGTATGTTGATTGACCAGTCCTGGAAAGAGCGATACTGATCGAGGATCATCCACANNGGCGACCGACTTCTCGTAGGCCTCAGCACAGGCACACTCCGTATATACCGTGTCAACGAAGTCGCCGAAGCAGGTCAAGATGTGACAGCCTCAAAGACACGCGCTGTCGACCTGGTGCGCGAGGAAGAGAAGTTCTCCAGGAGAGCAATACAGCAACTGGCCATAATCAAGGAAGCAAACATTCTCGTGTCTCTGTCCGACGGTCATGTCTCGATCCACGACCTCCAGACCTTCCAATTGCAGGAAAAGCTGGACAAGACCAAGGGCGCAACCTCTTTCGCCGTCACCTCGAACGTCATCAAAGACCCCGTTACTGATATTCCCTCGCTCGTCTCTCGCCTCGCTGTTACCGTCAAGCGTCGCATTCTATGGTGGAGTTGGCAAGACATGGAATTATCCCCTGAGGTTCAAGAAATCACACTACCACACACCCCAAAGTCGTTGATATGGGCCACTGGTACCAAGATGCTGGTCGGTCTGGATCCTGGTTTTTCAATAGTCGACATCGACACTCTGGCTGTGACCGATGTTATCAGACAGACTCCTACCGGCAATGTCAGGTTCGGTGCCGTCACTTCTTCAGGTATGGGATATATGGGCATGGGAAGCTGGGTACCGAAACCCATGGCGACGAATCTCACAAACAACAAGATGCTCATAGCAAAGGATGTCAACACCTTGTTCATCGACACTGACGCTAAACCTGCCGACAAACGCCAAATACCTTGGGCTTTTGCACCCGAAGCTATCGGTTACTCTTACCCTTACTTACTGTCGCTGCAACAAACCGCCAAAGGAGCTCTGGATGTAAGAAGCCCTGACACTCTGAATCTACTCCAGACAATCCCTCTCCCTGGTGCTTCGATCCTCCACGTACCTCAACCCAACATCAGCTTGGCCCATGCTGGTAAAGGCTTCCTTGTTGCAAGCGACAGATGCATATGGCGTATGGTTGCTCTCAACTACGAAGCCCAGGTCAAGCAGCTTGTCGAGAAGACAAAGTTTGATGAAGCCATCAGTCTCTTGAACATGCTAGAAGACACGCTACTCAAGAACAAGCAAGGCTCCGTCAGAGAGATTAGTATGCTCAAAGCTCAGGTTCTGTTCTCACAACAAAAGTACAGACCAGCACTGGACCTGTTCACCGATGTTTCTGCACCCCCAAAGCGTGTTGTCTCATTGTACCCCAGGTCTATCGCTGGCGATCTCTCGACTGTCGAAGAGGTCCCAGAGCTTACTGACTCGGAAGAACCATCTGGCGAAACGAGTGCTGCCGAGGAGAACTCATCGCAGCCCGAGGATCATGTCAAGACGGCACAAACTCCGAGCAAGTCTGTATTGGGCAAGTTCAGGCCTGCAGCCAAGGACGACTCTGATACAGCATCAATTCGATCTTTCCGTACCACAAGCGAAGCACCTAGAGAAAAGCCAGCAAAAGACGCACCATTGACTGGCTCAGACTTGAAAGCTGCTGTTATGGCTCTCTGCTCCTACCTAGCTCAATCACGTGTGCAAGTCCAGAAGTACATGAACACAGATGGCACACTCAAGACAGAACTGACTGAAGGCTCTACACCACCATTCAGCAATCTTATCGAGCTTCCGGAAGGTGCTGAGAAGGTCGACTGGCAAGCAGAATTGCTGGAAGTTGCCAAACTGGTTGACACAACTTTATTCCGTGCTTATATGCTCGCTCTACCATCGCTCGCTGGTCCGCTCTTCCGTCTCGACAACTTCTGTGACCCGCACGTTGTTGAGGAGAAGCTTTACGAAAGTGGAAGATACAACGATCTGATCGACTTCCTATACGGCAAGAAGTTGCACCGTGAAGCATTGGAGCTGCTAGAGAAGTTCGGTCGTAATGAAGCAGCAGAAGAAGTCATGCCTGCTCTGAGAGGTCCTGACAGAACTATCAGCTATTTGCAGGGCCTACCAGCCGAGCTTATTGATATCATTCTAGAGTTCGCAGAATGGCCTATTAAAGTCAATGCACAAAAGGGTATGGAAGTCTTTGTCGCAGACACGAGAAATGCCGAGAATCTGCCCAAGGACAAAGTATTGAAGTTCTTGGTGCCGTTGGACAAGTCGCTCGCGGTGCAGTACCTGGAACATGTCATACTCGAGTTGAACGACAAGACGCCAGAGTTCCATCAAAAGCTTGTAGACTTGTACTTGGAGAAGCTGCGTGACAGAAAGGGAAGCAGCGATGAAGAGCGAAACGACGCTCGGACGAAGTTGGAAGAGTTCTTGCGTAACAGCACGCAATACCACAAACTCAAGACCTTCAATCAGTTACCCGCTGATGGTAAGCAAACATCGCACCCCCTCTTCACAACGAGCATGCTAATCTCGTCCAAACAGNATCCCGACGTGTACGAAGCGCGCGCTATCGTCCTCTGCGCAATGGGGAACCACAAACAAGCCCTCCAGATCTACGTCTTCCAGATCTGCGATCACGAAAAAGCAGAAGAATACTGCAACAAAATCTATCTTTCAACTTCAACCTCTTCCTCGACGCCCGTCGGCTCGGATCCCAACACCGGCAGCCAAACCTACGAGAAAAGTAGCATGGCCATGGATCCTGAAGACCAGCAACCAAACGTCTACACCACACTACTCTCACTATACCTCAAACCACCGAGCCCGCACAAAGTACAATGGGAACCTGCGTTACAACTGCTATCCAAACACGGTCCTAGGCTTCCTGCTGCCAATACTTTGGATCTAATGCCCAGTGACCTGCAAGTTAGCGAACTATCCTCTTACTTCCTCGGCCGCATCCGCAGCGCCAATACCGTGGTCCGCGAAGAACGCATCCTCACTTCTCTCCAAGCCGTTCTCAAGACCAGTTTGTCTTCTGATCTCGCCTTTGGGCCTGAACACATGCAACAGAAAGGCGGCAGAAGCAGAAGAGTTGTCATCAGAGAGGAAGACCATTGCAGAGTTTGTCACAAGAGGTTTGGCAATTCGGCGGTCAGGGTGTATCCCGATAATGAGGTTATTCACTACGGATGTGTGGGCAGAAGTGGAGTGCAAAGGATGAAGACGGGACAAGGTCAGGGTTTGCAAGCTTTGAGGCAGTTACCTTGGGGCTAGAGGTATGGAATGGAATGTTGAGGGGAAACCCAGAGGCGAGTAAAGAGGAAGAAGATACCCTAATGCTATGTTTTTGAATACTGTATACTTGTGTCTGCATGTGTCAAAGACTGATTCTCGGTGTGATATTGCCATGTTCATCACCTTCGATAAATAAACCCGTACACTCGAGTGGCGATCGTGTCTGAGTTCAACAGTGCCTTAGCCGATAGCAAAGGTTGGTCAAGCATTACTGTGTAATCGCTCTTTTCTGATGTTCGTGGCTGCGGCTTCCTACATGCCTCCCTACGATAAAATCTTCTAGCTCGAGTGTTATCTACTCCCCTGCCATCATCTCTTGGATCAGAGGTCAGGCCAAATCAAAGTGTTGTTCTCCTCTGCCGGAATCATGCTCACAATTTATTGTCCTGTGAAATTCGAAGTCATACTCATCGTCTTTTTCCCTTAACCTCCACATGCAGACCATCAGCAGGGCTTACCACGAATGATATAACGATACCTGTATGTGTGTGGACCTTGTAGATCATTCATAAACGTTTTCTATCCTGTGATGACCTCCAAAGCTTTTGTTGTGTGCCTACTGTATCTGGAACGCAGCTGGATGCCGTGATCACCCCTAGTAATGATCCTAGTCTGTCCGTCATGATTATGCCGAATCCTAATCTGATACACATTGACACCCAGTGTCGAGAGGTGCCCTAGAGTTATGATCGCTGTTCGGGCTGATGGTGCAGACATTCATCAGGAGGCCGGGATAGCGGTCAGGGGTTCGAAGCTCTAGGACATCGATATCACACTCTTTCCTTCCATGCAACTGATTCTAAGGAGGATGTTTACACCGCTCATCAACTGAGCAAAAATCTGAGATCATATTCTGGTGCCGAAGACGTGGATCGATTGAAGCTTTGAGCCAATAGTCTGTCATAGGAAACAAACTAGAATATACAAGTTTCTGGGTGGAAAGGTAGGTTGGCTCGAAAGAATCCGGTTGGATATCGAGCCACAGAGATTATCTTTGTATATCCAAGTCAAGAGATACCTTGTCCGCTATGGAGATATGCCAGAGCTTCGTACGTCTAGGAGGTGAGGAACCGAAAGCTCATGGCTATGCACCGAGACTCGACTTGCGATGGCGTTGGAGGAGAAGAAACAAAAAGAGGATCATATCACAAGGATCAGATGGTCATGAAAGTGACATGGCGAGGGGAGGGGACCTAGAGATGGACCGACCCTCTAGGGGCAATACGGGCGGACGATCGAGAGTTCTGATCGTGTAAGACAAGAGGAAACATGAAAATCGCACTTACGACAACAAAAAAATACTACTGTCCATCGCTTCAAACTCACATGTGTCCATAAATGCATCTGGAATAAGTAAACATTTTCTTTCGAGTTGGTAAGAATGTCATACACCACAGAGGAGAATAGTGGGCCAACTCTTGGAGACAGGGGTCTCTTTCAGCTACTCCAGGCCGAGGAACTACTCTCCGAAATGTGATGGAAAGATGAGCTGTAGGATGAGAGATGGGTAGAAAGCGGGCACGTCTTTGACCTCCTCTTTCGTTCGTGCTTCTCGACTCTCCATCGATGTCTTCTTCAGAGTTCAGCAGTCCTTGGCCCCGTGAGAGGTGTTCCAACCGTGCTTGGTGAACTGACAGAAAATCGGAGCAATCCTCGTCGGCCCAGGTAAATTATTGGTGAGAAGCACTTAGGACTTCTGATATGGTATCACTTGTTCTTATGAAAGCGACAAAAGAATCAAAAAGGAAAGTGAGATGGTAGAAAGCTTAAGTAGTCTCGGAATGTTCATGCGTTGCAGCCATCAAGAAGGGGAAGGAGATTGACGCCAGCGATGATACCTTCGACTTACAGTCGAACAGCACACATAAATAGAGAGCGCTTTCATTGGGAACGTCTCCTCTGCGCAATTCTCAATGTTTTCCTATGAAGGGATTAACCTACTTCGGTTTATCTACATTCTTCCCACGCCAGCAGAATTTCGGGGAAAATCTGTCTAGTAAGCACTGTCTTCGGGCAGATTATGACCCATAGAAATACTCTGCGTTTCTATGACTTATGGTCCTAGGCTCACACAAAGATGCGGAATGATTGATGCATCAAGTGTCATGAAGTTTTCATTAGATTCAATATGTAATTTCTTGCGTCTGTTTGCCAGAACGAAAGTTGCTAGTGAGAAGCTGAGCAACATGAGCGCTGGGTGTGTTTTGTGCATGCTTCCTGAGCAGGATAATGTGCCTACGCACCTGATAACCAATATCCAAATGACGAGTCCTCCATTGTGTCCCCTGTTGACTGGGTTCTGGAATTGACTTTCCTTGGATTATATGTCCAGAATCTGAACATGACATGGTTGCGAGGTCCGGAGGGCACTGGAGGCTCGTTTGACGATGCGATAGTCGCTCAAGGCGTGGGTACGTGTGTGCCGTTCGTGTGCCTCGGAGCACCTCACAGAATGGCCTCTCCAGAGTGCTCGCCCTCGAAACCGTAGGCGGCTAGCTTCTTGTGTCTAATCTTCTCCTGCTTCTTCTTTTGGGCCTGTTCTTGCTTGTGTAGCTCGAAAACTTGGTCGACGGTCGCTTGTTGGAAGGGATGAGGCACGTAATCGTCTCTGTCCAGATCCTGCGACGTGCTGTCAGTAGCTGATCTTCAGCAGGTTGACGAAGTCAAGCATACGATTTCGCCGAGCAGCAAGACGTTCTCTCCTCTGACTAGGAAGAGACCACGGTCGACGTCGGCATAGAGGTTTTGGGCAAAGAGTCGTTCCACGGTATCCTGGAGAACGAGGTTTCCTGGGTTTGTCAATGCCTGTCGTATACACACACATTCAATGCAGCGCTTCTTCGTACCGAACTGGTCCCAGCTCCTCAAGACACCGATCAGTTTTCTGCCGTCGCGAAGTGATACCATGAGCTTTTCTGTTCGCCAATTGAAGTGTCCCGGTCAGTCTTGTCTCTAGAGTATCACATAGTGTATGCGACGAGGCAGGGGATGCTCACTGTCGGTCAAGTCAAGCAGTTGTGCTGCCGTCGTGAACATTTGCGGCGGCAATTGGGGGATGGGTGGGGGCATTTGTTGGCCTCCACCGAGCGGCGGCGGCGGAGGAGCGTTCTGCATGTTCATATTATCCATGATATTTGACAAGTTTCGAGCTTCTTGGATGCGTATTGATCGCTGTCGACTTTCCATAGTCTGCGCGCCATTGGTTGATCGCATGACGTGGGGAGCTTCCGTGATCACATGACGAGGACGACTTCACTTTCCAGGACTTTGGAGACAACAACCATCAAGACATGCACAGACGACATCATCTACCGACTACATGAATGCGATGAACTGACGACTAGGTATCACTCATTAAGCTCCAAGAAGATATTTGAGCATAGGAGAGTCAAAAGAGTAGAGACCACACCAGCGTTTTCACAGCACATCTCAGGCAAGATATAACAAGTTTGAAGAAGAGGGTATATTCATTTTCCAGTAGTACACATTAGGTTTTCTGAGGCCAAATCGGCTATAGAATGAGCCTTCTCGTTTCCCTGCGCTATAGCCAACCTCGCTTCAATCCATAACCCCCAGGCCGATGTTAATTAGACACACTCGGCACTGCTAAAGCAAAACTTCATAACTCGTAGCGGTGCTGAGACACTTTGAAATAGCACCAACTGTTGTTTGCTTAGACCAGCAGGAGAGCGGCAAGAGCGGCGGCACCCATCATAGGGCCGACGGTCTGGATGGGGGCACCAGCAGTGGCGACAATCGACGAGGCAGCGCTGGAAGCACCACCAGCAGCAGACGAAGCGCGGGAAGCGACTGACGAAGCTCCCGAAGTGGCGGCACCGGCAACGCTGGAAGCACCGCTGGAGGCACGCGAGGTCACGGAAGAAGCACCCGAGCTGGCGGCAGAGGCGGCAGACGAGGCACCCGAGCTGGCGGCAGAGGCGGCAGACGAGGCACCGAGCTGGCGGCAGAGGCACCCGAAGAGGCACGAGACGAGGCAGAAGAGGCACCCGAAGAAGCAGCAGCTCCAGCACTGGAAGCGCCAGATGAAGCGGCAGACGAGGCACTGGAAGCAGCGTTGCTGGCAGCCGAAGAAGCACTAGAGGCAACCGAGGAGGCGCTGGATGCGGCGTTGCTGGCGACCGACGAAGCCGACGAAGCACCAGAGCTGGCGGCGGCTCCGGCGCTGGAAACACCCGATGAGGCAGCCGAGGCGGCGCTTGAAGCACCAGATGAGGCACCACCGACAATACCACCGACGATAGGAACGACGGAGTAGATCGTAGAGAAGCCAGTGGTTGTGGGGATGGTGCTACCTCCTGAGGTGATGGTTCCAACAAGGGCCGAGGTGGTGACGGCAGACGAAGTGCTGCCAGACGACTGTTGGGCGCTGGAAGACTGAGCACCAGAAGATTGGGCGCTGGTACCAAGGATACCAAGACCTTGAGAAGCAGCAGCAGCGCCGGCAGAGGTAGCTGATGCGTAATTAGAACCAGAGGCGGAGATGGTGCTCAGGATCGAGGCAACCGAGTTGCTGGCGGTGCCAACAGCGGCTGTCAAAAGTTAGTAGAGGCCAAAGTGAGGAGCTACGATCAATGGATATTGCTCACCAGCACAGTAAGCGTTGGCAAAGCCAATGGCGTCGGCGGCCTCTTGAGCGGAGCAGGCCTGGTTGGAGCAGTCGCGGACACCGTAGCCGAATTCAGGGTGGGAGCAGTAGCATGCAACGTCACCAATGTTGCAGTGGAACTGGTTCAAGGCAATGCCAACCATGTTGTTGAAGCAGTTTTGCTACAGACAAGTGTCAGCGAGTTGCGCGTTGAGCCATGTTAATAGATCGAGTTACTTACAGCGCATGAACCGAGACCCTGCTGGGCGGCGGCGAGGACAGCACCGCTGGCGACGAGAGAAAGTGCATACTTCATTGTGATGGTTGCGGGGATGGTAGATGCTGTGGTGTAGGATACCAGATAGTGATCGTTGGGGAGGACGGTTAGATGACGAGGTTGAAGAGTGGAGAATGAAACGACTATCGATGAGGGGATGGATGAGAAGATGTAGACGGGGGCGCGAGGGAGAAGTAATTCGGAGGCAGGTTGTTGATGGCTGGTCGAGGGCGCAGTGACGATGGGAGCTCTTTCTTAAATTCCCGCCGATGGAGGCTATCACGATGCGGTCACGCTGCCTTTCACTCTTTTACAACACTAAACCACCGATACCGTGCGCACATCGGCCCAGACTGCCAGCCAGTTTCCCACATTTCCACCATTTCCTGATTCACCAGCCTGCGCTATCCACAAATCCCACGTAGCTTTTGCTTGCATGATGAAGGTGACCATGATCGACGCAATCCCTCGGGCGCGCTAAAATAGCGCTTGCTTCGTTTCTTGGCAGCCCAGTGCAGGAACCGTCTGTAAATGCCAACGGCTGACCGAGGACCTCCTTCTTGCCGCGAGAGAGATGAGACCAGGACTGTTGCATTCAACCGCTTATATTGCGACTCGAAAGCCATTGGTTGACTAGCAGGTCATCGAATCCTCGTTCTGCGTCACAGCTCCTTGTTCGCTGTGGGATGCAGTCTGATAGGAGGATTCCGCGGTTCCCCAGATCCACCATCGAGCTTCCACCGCCCTTACGCCTGGCCGAAACCTTGCTCGGGTTTTCCTTTTCTGCCCAAACTCGAACGAGCCACCGGAGCCCTGACGATCATTGATATCACAATATCGATTGACATCATTTTCGTTGTTCAAGATTCGATATCCTGTCTCACTCACGAGAACTATCCACGATCTCCCACGATTGTTTCCATCATGGACGTGCAAGCTGACCTTGCCCTTCGCCAACTTCCTTGTTTTCATGCAGGTACGAGATGGCTGCTTGTGCCACAGCGCCACTTTCACCCAGCCACACCCAGCACGGTGTCGAAGGCTTGCCGCTAGAAGTTACCGCCGGTGGGATCTGAGGCAGTCCTCGTTCATGACCGACAGCGACATCCCCTGGTGCTACTGTATGACAGTTAACAGGGCAGTAAATTAAACCAGGACCCCTGCTTGTTTCTGCTCGACACCAGAACCGAAAGTTTCCATGCAATCTTCACCTCCCTCATCTCGTAAAGAGGTCCATGTCTTCTACCTTGTCGGACACGGTACAAATACACGTGCGATTATTCCCGATTTCCCGACCCTTGTGGTTGATTCATAATCGAACCATAACCATGCGAATCGTACCCCACGATCATCTGCTTGTAGAGCACACAGCCATGGCTCTGGACTCTGAGGAAGCTTGACAGCGAGATACCCAGCCACCACCTTCCTATTTCTATCGCAAATATCCTCAGATGGCGCAGTCTAAACCTCAACCGCACTCAACCGCACCGAGAAACATAGGCAAACGGCTGGGAGAATCATGTCGCACATTCGCTTGGATGACTGCGTTTGCTGTGTTGTTACAAGTCTCTCGAAAGGCTCCTCGGCGCGTTTTACCATCTTGATTTTGGAAAGTACAATTAAAGTGTCGACCAATCAGAACTTCATGTCGTTTATTGTGCCCCCAGCCACATGCATCACATGCTAGCACAACATGGTTTGCGAGATCTTGACCAAGATGAATAACCCTACTTTTCAATCTCCTGCTTTTGCATATTGATCAGAGAGTGATTTGCTCTTTCGGTTTCCCCAACAGCAGGCGGTATACACACATAAGTTGTGCGAGAGCCTCGAACATGCGTACGGCATGGCTGGATAAACATCAGAAGTTTATCCAGCTTTGCGACTGCCAAGTTTTGAGGACTAGCTGAGTGAATCGCAGTGTGGCTTGCTGCTTGTGACTTGAGACACCATCGTTGCTAAGCGGACGACCCTGATCCTAGTTTTGACCATATTGTCCTCTCACAAGCTTTCTATCTGCTGGATTGTTTCTCTTCAGCTATAGAACATGAAGACTGTCACCTTTATGTGTTGCGAAGATGTTCCATCTCCAGTCGAAGTCGTGGAGAAATTCTGGGCATGTCGCCCAAGGGGAAGTGCTCCGATATACACCAACGTTTGACGAAACAATAAAAACACATGCGGGAGAAGTCTCTAAATCGTGCAGATCATCAAGCATTATGAAGCTGTGTCGCATCTCCACATACCCGAGTACCATCTGCCTGCAAAAGATCCATCTTTCATATCAACACCAGAGCCTCGGGCAGAATCTCCTTGCCTAAGGTGAGATAGTCAACACCAACGTTGCCGATCTCGGAAAACGCGACTGAACGATCAAGAGAGTGGCATACACAAAGTCTGACTATAGTGACCTATTCAACCAGTCTACGTCTTCTTGAAACTGACGATATCGCGAAGGGAAGGTGCGATTGGCAGCTGCTACAAAACAGCTTCTGTCGACAATCATAGACATCTCATTAACCTCAACTTTCGAGATTACCGTTTGGCGACTTACAACCCGAGACCATCGTTTACTCACCACAGTCGATGCATCGAACATGATATCATTGGTGTCTTCTGTTCATCTACATCGGCTGACATTCACCGTTACTTGTCGAACACTGGAGCTACCTTGTCTATTGTCGATATCGACGGCCGTCATCTGCTTGTTGCACCAAACATCCATTATTGGCATGTCGCACCATTGACCCCCATTGAATGGCATCTCCGTCCGTTTGCAGTGACACGTAGTGCTGATGCTGCCAGCTGTGCCCGGATCTCGGGGTGCTGAGAGGAGTTGGCCAACATTTTCGAGATGTGGCGGCTCACAAGCGATTGTAAGCACTTCTTTGCTGGTAGGCGTTCTATATTTGTCAAGGACGAAGGTAAGAGACGGCAACCACTTTCTGTTGCAAAAGATATGACGATAGGCCTCAAAGGCAGGCTGACTGAACCCACGAGATCCGGCCATACCTCTGTTAGTCGAGGTTTCTGTAGATGACGGACTGCGGCTTCAAGCACAAACCTTTGTCGATATCATAGCACTGTTCCCACCATTCACCTCAACATAAAAGTAATACGCTCTGAACGATGACTTGAAGCATCACTTCATGGACATTCCTTGCCTGTGCCAGTGCTGCTACAGCAACACAATGAAGATTGGAAGAAGGTCTGGATCTTGAACCTTGTCTCGATCAGACCTCAACTCTCACATGAGGCGCGTCTCTATCCTCATATCCGGAGTGCAACACCGCCTTGAAGAAGCCATTTGGGTTTCTGGTAAGAACCCGGCAGCTTGGTCTAGCAGTAAAGATCCGTTTGCTCACCCCTCCACGCAAGTGCTTCGTTTGTTGACATCATGAAGCAGGTGACGATCAACGAAAGACCTTTTCAATGCTGCTAAGGAGACAAAGACACCCATTGATCAATCACAGGACTGTGATTTTCTCCTTTCGGCCTCGTCTTTCAAGAGCACTTCCGGTCTCAAAACCAACACTTCCTTCTTATTCTCTTCAGGCTACTAACATCCCGCTCCTTGCGAGTTCCATCGCGTCAGACAAAATGCCTCCATACTCGGTACTTCAAACCATCCGTCTTTCCTCTGTCTCCCATGGGCACTGATTACACAAGCAGGGAGCTCACTTCCAGGTCTTGCTTAGAGCACCCGATCCAGAAGCTCCCGTCAAACCCACCACCGTCACCGCCGTATGTGATGTCTCTTGCTCATCTTCTCCCTCGCTCTTGCGACTCACTAACCTCCAATACCTAGNNCGCGTATGGGAAGCTTGCATCACCAACTGCGTCCCCTCTCTCCCCTCCCACTTTGTCCTTGGTCGCATCCGCAATCTTGATGTCGAGTTGTTCAATCATTACCCTTCTCTGGAGAAAGAGCTGCTAAGTCTCGACTACACTGTTCGACCTTATGACGCAAGCAAATGCATGTCTGTTTATGCAGACACGCCAGTCAAAGACCGCAACCTCGTCCAAAAGTTGCAGGATCAGCTTTACGAAGCCTTGAAGGATGATGAGGAGGAAGTGGGTTATGGGCTGGTGGCCGAGACGCAGAGCGAGTGGATGCTGGTTGTGAAATTTGATCGTGTGAGTGACCCTCTCNTGTCAAGGCTAAAAGACAAAGCGATGGCTCTTTGACTGACATAAAGGTGCTAAAAACAGCAACGCTACACTGCTTCCAACCCCTGTCCACCTACCTTCGAATCCCATGGTGCTACCTATGCAACAATCGGCTACATTCTCGACAACGACGTCTTCATAACTGCTGCCGAACAGGACGTCAAGCGCTTCTACCTCTCCCGACCCCCTTGGGTTATCTACAAAATCCTCGACAAGACCATCGTCGCCGAATATACTATTCACCTCGCAGAACAGAAAGCAGAAAAAGTTGCCGAGCACAAGAGAGAAAAGAGAAGAGCCAGAAAGATTGCTGAGAAGAAAGAGAAAGGTACGGAGCAAGAAAGAAAAGGTGTGCTTGAAGCAGGAAAAGACACAAGAAAGGGAGGAAAGAGCTACAAGGAACAGAAGGACGAAAATACTGAGACTGGTGCTGAAGTCGAGGAAAAGACAGACATCAAGCTGCAGGATCTCACCATCAGCTCACCTGCTCAACCCTCGAAATCCACCACCTCAACCTCCAAATCAGTCTCCAAGCAATCGTCAAAGGCGCAGAAACCAAGACCCTCCGACAGCAAATCTCAGGCTGGTGAACCCAACACCCCCATCACCAAGCAAGAAGCAAAGAAGAATGGAGTTTGGGATATGCCCTGGAAGAAAGATGCAGCCATCGACTCGATCAGAAAGCCCAACTGGTTCTTCTCAGGAGAGGACGTTCTCAATGAAGGATAAAATGGAAAGACGGAAAGACCTGAGAAGGGAAAGCATGAAGAAGAAAAGGCCAGATGCCGTTTTGCAGACAAAAAACTCGCGCAGATGCCGTTTTGCACACGAAAAACTTAAATAGAGTAAGAACAAGTGATCAAGATCCAGAGGATTGAATCCAAGGATTTGGCCAAATCGACATGTCATCCCAATTCTGCAACTGTGTCTTTCAGTGAAAATGGTCGTGTAAAAAGTGTCATTATGCCATCAATGGCCAAGCCGTTGAGGGAGCTTCCCCATCCAAAACCTCTGCTTACCCAATAGGTATTGCATCCAAACCTCCTCGGCCAGCTTCTTGCTACCATACCCAATTCCTCATCAGGAGCCATGCCATCCAACCCACCACCTCCAACCTTTGCCATGTCCAAGTACCAAAAACGCCTGATGTAAAATCTCCAAGAAACAAAAGCTCAAGCACCCACAACACCCAACCCATTAACCTGCCCCTGTCCCTGTCCTAACCCNCCAGCATTCTTCCCCTTAACACCCACCCACCCCCTCCTCTGTCTCCCCGTTCTTCCTCTACCCAACCAATTATACTTCAACTCCCTCGTCAGCCTCTCCACAACAGCCTGACTCTGATCTCCAGTCTGCGCTCCCGCAACAACACTAACGCATTGTAGCATTCTAGCCACCGTTTGCGTGACCTGAGCCGGGTCCGCGAACGTGGGTGGTCTGCCCGAGGGATCAGGGGAGAATGAGGATGAAAAGGCGGGGGTAGAGGTTACGCTGTCGATGGAGGTGGTGGGGTAGTGTGATGTGGTGTGAGGCAGAGAAGTGCCAAAACTGCCGGCAGAAGTGTTGGAGGTCGCTCTGCTTCGACTGTGTTGTGTCGGTGGGCTGGAGACTATGGTCGTGTTGCCGCTGTCGAGGTAGTTGACATTACTGTTGTAGCTGCTCCCCAGACGTGGGGACAGAGAGCCGCCTGTAGATGGTCTTTCCGCGTCTCCAGCCGCTGGATTGGAAAAGCCTCGCCCACGGTTGCCAGACATGGGTGACGAAGACGATAGATTGCTGGGCACGGGAGCAGTGTTTATACTATCCAGAGATAACCGTGAAAAGATTGCAAGCAGCGTCTCATGGCGTGGGAGGAGAACTACATCGCGGAAAACGATCAGTGCAATTCGACGCACGTCCAATTCTTCTCCGAGCCCAGGCATACGGTTCGAATTCGATGTGTTGCTTGTTATAGTCGCGCATCCAGAACTACCCGGTCTCATCTCGTCGAACGACGTTGATTGTTTTCGTGAAAATGGTGGTGGCATCTCAGCGGGCACGAAAGCGCCCCAAAACTCTTGAGCTTCTCTTGCACTCATTATGTTGCCGTGACCCCTGAATTCGAGATCCAACGGTAGAAATACTGCTTGAATGAAAGGAAGGATGGAGCTGAAAGTCGTCTGCCAGATGGCGACTAGTCGTGTCACGAGTCGTTCATCGGGTACTCTATGCAGTGTTTGAGCCAGGGAAGAGAAGCCAGTTGTGAGCAGTTCCCTCAAGTCTTCAACCAATACTACAGGGGCACGTTTCTGTATACACCGTCGGATGTGTACAGAGACCAGTAAATTGAAGTCTTCGATTGGCGTCCGTAGATCTTCGCCGGAGAAGATGTTCAATAGTCTTGCTTTTAGTAACGGCCAAGCATCATCAGCCGTGATACCGTGTAGACCCATACTCTTGCCAAGACCATCGAAAGCAGCGGCGGACATGGTAGGCTGTGGCTCGTACAAGGGTAAAGAGAAGAGGGAGTTACTGCTCGGAGGACCGAGTATTGAAGCCGAATCCAGACTGCTAGGGCCCGCAAAGTCACTCCTCGAGTCGTCTCTTAGCAGGTTGCCAGAAGTGTTTGAAATCGTGGGTGTCAGGTTGGTGGCTGCAGCGGCAGCGGCCTTTTCCTCCTTTTTCTTTTCTCGTAGAGCACGCCCGCCATGTCGCAAGTCCAGACCACTGACAGATTTGGAGAAACCAGGAGATTGAGGAGTGAACGAGTATAAGGACTGTGGAGCATTTGGGTCTACAGCGGTGGAATTTGACGATGCCGACGACAGAGGAAGAGCACCGCGGTCTTTTTGTTTTTGCCTCGACAAGAAATGGTGTCTGTGTTTCTCCCCCTCTTTCTTGTCGGCCGTGGCTGTGGCAGTCGTGGTCACTGGCACTAGAGTGGATGTTGATGTATTGGCTGAGGAGTAGACGGAAGCAGCAGCCGACGAGTTTGGGTCGGTCAGACTGGTCATGCTCGCGCTTGCGAAACCGGCGCGCAGCAGGCCACGGTTGGGAGAGGGCAGAGCTGGAGCAGCCTTTTTATCCAAGTCCTTATCTTTTGTAATTCCTATACTTTTTGGCTTGTGGAACAGCTTCATCTTGGACCGCTCCTTGACCTTTGTTTCGGCAGGTATGGGCATGGGAGGGGCAGAGACAGGTTGATCGGCGGTCAGAGCGTGGGGTGAAGGCATGGGGCCAGGACTACGAGGAAAGGCGACGTTGGCGGCAGTGGTAGCGGTGATTCTGCTATCGATGTTGTTTGACGGAAGCGGAGGTGGGCTCAGAGCGGTAGGAGAGACTATGCGACGGTCTCCGCGACTGGCGGCGATGTTGATAGGCTGCAAGGGTGGATTCGGGCGTTTGCGGTCTTGATTCTGCGAGTGCATGTGGTGCATGGCAGCTTGAGCAGCGATTTGGGAAGCGGGCATATGCGAAGTATGCGGTAAGGAGGGCTCAAAGAAGCCTTGCGAATGCTGTTGTCCGCGGTGATGAATGGATGGAGGGGCAGTCGGTGGGGGCGGAGGCGGCGAGGTCATGCGCAGTTGAGCATCGATGGACTGGCGCGGTTGAGGGCGAGAGAAATTGGCAAGCGCAGAGGGCGGCGCTGTGGCAGCATGAGCAGTGCTGGGTCGAGAAGCGTATTGCTGCGAGGGAGGGTGTTGGTTGGTTGTGCTCTCATTGGGGGCTGCCGACATGCTCGAGGCGCTCCTATGCGCCCACAACGGCGGAGGGATGTAGGGGCGCCCTGCGACGGTCGAGGCCGCAACGGAGGGTGGTGTTGTTGCTGTTGGTCGTTGTTCATCGTGTTTCGTCCATGACGGCCGTCTGGTACACATGCAAATGTCTCAAAGTCCCTTGGTGAAATGCGGAGAGTCAAAGTTTGGGAGCGTCATCACCCAAGCCATCGCTCGGTGAGTTCACACCCAAAATCAACTCTAATCCTCCTGTCAGAACAAGCCTCATCCTGCCACTTCACCACATCAACCATATCAACGACGATACAGCCATCACAGTCACAATGTCCGCCCACTTGACGGCCGTCTACACGTCGCCCACGGCGACCAACACCTTTTCTTCCCCGCTCCAGTCCACCCCCACCCAACAAGCCTCGCCGTCGGAAAAGTCGCAATACCTCGGTGATCTACGCGAAAAGGTCGCCCAACTGCAAGACGACATCAACCAATTCTTGACAAAGAAGATGGACGAGGACAAGGCTGCCACCGAGGGTGCCGCATCCAAGGACGAGGACATGGAAGAGCAGATGTATGGCGAAGAGGTCGTCGATGAAGATTGAACCGACAAGCACAATAACGCACCACCTTTTCCATGCCGTCTGTGATGCAATCGTTTCGATCACGTTACTCTATCACTGTTGGTACAAAATTACACACTGCAGAGACACGACTTGGTCCCCTTCACACATCATGCAGCGCCGCAACCCCTGCTTCTGGCCACCATGGCCACGGGAGAAAGACAACAGCTATTACACGGTCAGGGACGTGGTTGCCTCGCTCAGTCCATGAGTGCTGTTGCTAGCAACGGCCCGCTTATCCATCACTCTTCGACTTCTTTGCCGTGAGTCCCCATGAACCTTGGTCCATCTCTGGAAAGGCAGAGCGGTGAACGGACGAGGGAAGAAACAGGATGAGAACACTAGAAGGCCCTTCTCTTGTAGCGAGTGTGGCATATCTTCTGTATTTTCTACACTTATTATACACATTATCGCCTTTCCTCAACATCCATGCATTAATGAATTCCTCGGCCATTCGTACCCAGTATCCGCCCAAGTCNNTGTTAATCCATTAATCAGTATATCGCTCACAATCATAGACATGTCTTCTTGACTCACCGTGTAATTAGGATTAGTATATGCCTCTGCATGGTTCTTGATATACTCTGTAGTCTCCCAGCCAGGAGGATCGCACGTCACGCTTTCTTCTCCTTCCTTTTGATAAATCCTTACATAGTCGATGCGCATGATTGCTGGAAATGACACTGCTGACCAATTGATCGCTACCCAGTTTTCCGAGATGCCTAGGTTGAGGATCATCGACATGGGCNNTGAGAGAAGACATGTTAATTAGCTTTCAAGAGTCGAGCGGCAAAAACATACCTCTTCACTGATGATTCTCTGACCAACGTTTCCATTAGGTCCGATAGCTCTGGCATCAAACTTCATCATCTCCTCTCCAGCAACCGTCCATGCGATGAAACTGTCCGATGTATTCCCAGGAACATACTCGAAAGCATAGCGTTGATATGCCTTTCCATCGTACCAGCCATTATTTAGCATAGTCGTGGTAGACACCGCTTGTTGGAAAGGTCCTCCCGTCCATGTATTTAGTGAAGAAAGACTGTAGTCCGGAATCTCCATAAAGTCGACGTTCGGGTACCACCAGGTATCGAAAGGCGCAATCTGATAACTCTGCGTTGCAACACCGAGACCCAGGCCGGAATAGTCGGCCGAAACTTCGATCACGTCGATTTCTGGTGCTCCACGTCCTTTACCTGGAGTTGGGTGATCTTGTCCTGGACAGACACAACTGGCCAGCTTCTGTCCTGGCAACTTATTCATGCCGCTGCTGTCAGATTGATTAGGCGTGATACCCGCATCGCATTCGTTGTACGTATAAGGCCATGTTCCTTCCGTAGTGGCCAGATATCCCGGCTTTCCGAGGTTTCCCAAGCTCCATACACCGGGCCAGAGAGCATGAACACCAGCAGGGCCTGGCAAGGATACGCTAACCTCCATCATTCCACCCTTGAAGCAGAGCTGATTCCACGAGTTCAACATGCCACTGCGGAATTGTAATCCATGATTTCCGAACGCGTCGAGTTGAAGATGCAACGCCCCATCCCAAGTTGTAACAGCATCTGGATCATACCACTCCAAGTCTCTAGTGGCCCCGTACCAAAAGTCTGGCGCATACCAATATGGATCATCGCCAGCGTAGAACGTCCTGTTGATGTCATTGAACTCGTCACTAAAGACCAGATTGAGTTTATCGCCATTGACACCGACTCTCGATCTTTCTGTTTTGGGTGTGTCTGGGTCGATGAGACCTCTGCGCGTGTTCTTGAGCAGTGGATACTTCCGAGTCGCGTTGACTGTTGCCCAGGTCGGTTCGTTGTCACCATATCCCCACATCTGGTCCAGTGGCGTGTCGTTGTATCCGATGATGTTTATGCCTGACCAGCTGAGCACAGGCAACATGATGAACACACAGAGAAGCCCGATTATCATAAATGCCAGACCGAGCGTGTCCAGTACATTCTTTCGTGAAAAGCGTTCTCGTAACGTAGGTTTGAGTTTCACATCATCGTCCACCATCGGTAAATGCATGTCGTCGTCCCATTCTTTCTCGTGCCAGTACAGNGGAAATGTGTAGCCTTGGTCTTCTGTACCTGGTGCACCAAGTCTGTCGTCAAGATACGGGAAGAAGGGCACGTCAATATGTTTTTCATCCAAAGCAGCATCTCCGGGAATTGTGACGGCCGCTGTCGCAGGAGTTATTGCTAGGTGATTGGAGGGGTTGCTTTCATCAGCGAAAGGGTTTGAGTTCCGTCTTGACATTTGTCCAGAAGCTTCACCTCCATGCCGACTGCTATCCATGGAACTGTGACGGGGCAGCAAAGCGGTCAAATCAGTTGTTGATTGACTGGGTGTTTCGAAGGGGTTATAGTATCGATCAAAGTCGCGTCCAAGGTCTCTGACAGATCTGGGAGTAGCCATTCTTGAGAGACTGGTAGAAGAACTGACGTTCCTCATGCTGTATGGTCGTGAACTGTGACGCGAAGCAGGAATCGGTGGTGGAGGCGGTAGTCCCTGCCCTAACGCAGTCCCAGCAGCGGTCGCGTCTCTTGTACGTATATTATGCAACGACCCAACAGATCCATCTCTTGACGACCGACCGGAGGTATTTGATTGGGTGGCACGATGGACAGTTGAAGGAGTGGAAAAGTGTTGTCGAGGTAGGTCTTCGTTACTGGTCTTTCTGCTTGGGCCCCGTGATAGTTGTGGTCGTAAAGAAGCTGCTGAAAGCTGTGCGTGTAGATTGATCGCCGAACGCCCAGCTTGTTCGCTCTGTCGTTCTTCGTCCAAGTAAGACGACTCTGGCCGTGTCAAGCGGCGTGACGATGGCGGTCGATTAGGTGGAGACATTATACTGTTGTTCACCCGATCGAACGATGTGGGTTGTATAGGTCTTCTGCTCAAGGACGTCCAGCTTTCCGGCACAGCGCTAACGCGAACAAAGGTCGAGGATGGAGGCGTCCCCAGAGACACAACAATCAGAAGCAATACCTATTATATTTACCAGGATGGTGCCCGGTGCACGGATGGCGTTCCCAAGGGTCTGGGGTCAAAATGCGGAGCTGAACCTTGGTTGCAAGCTCAAGAGTAACGCTTTCGCCAAACGATATCTTAGTGTCAGTTCTGAGGGAGTTTCGAGGAAAATAGTAAGGAACTTGGAGGATGATGGAGGGAAACACAGAATGAAAACAAGAAAATTTACCCAGGTACGGGTCAATATGTTGCCCAGCTCATGCCCCTGGTACGATACTGCCACTGCCATGCGGCGCGGCATTTCCTGTCGAGTTGGCGCATTTGGCTGAACTAAAATCGTTAAGACTTCTGAGGCTTGGTGAGGGGTCCAATCATCGTTGCAGAAATAGATTGGCTCACAGGCACACAGCAGATAACCATCCGGTTCCTTCTGCAACTCCTTTGGCGCTCCTGCAGAATACATAGTGACGCAAGCATGAGCGTCGAAACTGTGGTATAGGTAGCAACGGTTGACTTCATTCACCGAACTCACCATCTCGAACACACATTCACAAGTACCATCTCTTTCATATCACTCGGCGACAACGTTGTCCGCAACAACCAATGATCTCATCGCATGACTTGAGATACCGTAATATCAGAAGTCAGATGAGACTTCGCAGCATCGTTGATACCAGGAGTTTTGCTCTCGAAGGTCTCGTTGTTATACCAAGCCAGCCAGTGCTTGGAGTCTGCCACAGAGACCGCTTGGCCGGCCTTCACGGTCGTGGCATCGACTCGACGTATCTCTTGCACGCAGGAGATTCGGATGTACGGCCTTCATTGGCATGCCCAGCTGAGAGCGTTGACGATACGATCGAATATGAAGAACGTTGCCGCTGATCCAGGAGACTCCTTGGACGCGTCAACCCAGCTGTCACACCATCGATAAAGTCGATATCGCAACTTGCGATGCAGTGCACCTTTTCGTATGATGGAGACAGCGATAGTTAGTTCAAAGGAACAGATGTCCAAACAATGAAGGTGATGAAAGTGTAGTGGATGACGCCGATGTCCTTTGGGATTGCGACACCAATTCTGACGGCAGTCGGAAGTCTCGGCCTAGACCTAGGGCAAGAATATGCCTATTTCACCATCCTGCTTTCTCCAAAACAAATCTCCTCTGGACAACATTACCGAGATGCCAACACATATTGTGTCGACGACACAAAAGAAGAGACGTCGCCCGCATGTCAAGAGCAAAACGGGTTGTTCGACTTGCAAGAGGCGGCAGGTGCGATGCGACGAACACAAGCCCAAGTGCCTCAACTGCAACCGTCTGAATCTATCATGTGGATATCCGAATGAGTTGGACACGAGTATGACATATCAAGCCATTCAGCCCTCACTGAACGAGCACCCTGGCTGGCTCGATCGCGATAAATACTTTTTCAATCATCTTTCCTGCTTGATCGTGGACCTCCAACAAAGCAAGACGCAACAACTCGTGTTCGGAGGGATTGTATTACACGAGTCTGCGACAACGAACACTCTACTGCTTTGTGTATTGCCTCTGACTTGATTGTGCTAGGNNACCTTCAAAATAGCGATGCAGAAGGACTTTGTCCGACATGCTATCTGCGCTTTATCTGCTTCTCATCTGGCATCTTTAACGAAGACCACCACTATGGCGCATGCTAGTTTTGAGTACAGATACCTAGCAATTCGCGGTCTGCGACAAAACCTGGAAAACACAGAGGCTCAGAATCTTGTTGGAGTTTTGGCTGCCTCACTCGTACTTTCCTGGCAAGCTCCCTCAAGTGACGAGTACTCGCACACTATGCAAGGTGTCAAGACTGTGCTTGAGTTCATGAATGCCAACGAGCACCATTCTGATTTGCGATCACTGCTTGTATCATCGGAAGATCTTCATCCTTCAGGAGATCTTAGCTTCAGCTTTCCAGATCGTCCCTTGGTGAAAGCCAGCGAGGTCTTGAAGACAATTCTCAAGAAACTACAAAGCTTTCAAGTCGATGACGAGTTCAAGCGAAGCATGCGAGAACTTTCAAGTTATGTCTCCAGCTTAGCCATGCGTCCACTCACGAATACTCCTGCCGAGTATCAGTTGCAAGCACTCTATCCCATCAGAAACTGGATGTATTGGATACCCAGCGCCTTTCAACGCCTCGCTCAAGGTGATCCGGTTGTCATGTTGTTTTTTGCATGCTACGAGATGACTCATCTCGCCATCGCTCCGGTGCTTCCTGCGACGAATACTCCATTGAGCATTTTGAAACGAGCCAGAATTATTGAGAATTTGGATAGGCAGATCACAGATCTGGAACGACGATCACATATACCAGCATTTAACCTGGCTGGACAGACGCAAACTCTTGGCATGTTGAAGGCTTTGATGGCTGGGCCTCGCTCTTGGATATACACACATACAAATACATGATGTCGTTTGTATCAAGTCTATGGTACTATTACAAATCCTGTAAAGGCATTGGTCTTGTCCTCGAACATCTTCGACTTGACGCCCCCNTGGACTTTCCACAATGTACCACCAAGGTCGGCGACATAGATACTACCGTTTGCGCTATCCAACCTGAGTCCAATGGCCTCGTCGAAATTCTGTGCGATGATTTCGTGTTTGGGAAACAAACCAGATGTTATCGGACGTGCATGACCGTTTGCATCGAGTTCTGCTCTATTCAAGCTGTTGCCGTATGGAACTTCTCCTCGATCAGTCCAGTAAAGCACATTGGTGTCGTTGTCGAATTCAAGATCGATCGGCTCTGGTAGCTTATCCAAGACACACTCAATGTCCGATCTGGTCGTAGCCGTCTGACCGGCGGGCATGTTGATGTTGACACTGAAGATGCGACCTTTGCCACTCTTGGGTGAGCCCTTTTGTGTCCAGAATAACTTGCCGAGCTTGGGAGCAAGTGTGATTCCAACACACCACTTTGTTTGGTCTGCGATGTCTTCTGGCTTTTGCCAATCGCCGGTCTGTACCAGTGTCTGCAGATTGTGGCCATCGAGATCGCAACACATGACGCGGAGGCCTTCTCTATCGCAGAAGTACAACTTTGCGTGTGGTTCGTCAATCACTGTCTGCTTTGGAGTATGCACACTGCCACGCGGCACGATCTCCTTGACATTGCTACCATCGAGCTTGCAGGAGAACACCCGTCCATCGTTGTTTCCGAATGTGCCCATGTCAGTGACATACAGACGTTTGTCGGCTTTGCAGTACTCGACACCGTCAGGCAGACCAGCTTTTTCCAGGAGAGACGACGGCTTGCTGCCATCTTTGGAAACCTGGAACAAACGTCCGTTGCTGAGTACTTGCTCGGTTGTTGTCTTTCCTTTCAATGACTTTGAGACACCAAGCTCGCAGAGGACAATCTTCGAGGTATCAGGCGCCGAAGGAGGGTATAAACCACCGTTCTGACACTTGTCGCCAAGCTTCCCCTGCTTGATGTAATTCTCCTCCAGGAAGCCGACAGTCTTTTCTTTGGAGAGGCCTCTTTCTTTGACGTAATGTTCTTCGATGAACTGAACAGTATCTAGTCCGACCTCNTATTTTACACTGTCAGCGATTGTTCGGCAATTCATTAACCGAGTAGACTTACGGTCCATAATACGACAAGGAGTCTGTTTAGAGCCCCAGAACAAGGTCCACATCTGATCCAACTCCTCCGGTGTCGACACGCCCTCGGCCAGAATGGTTAAGAATTCGCGCTTGATAGCAGCCCACGTTCGGTTGAAGATGAAGCCAGTCGACTCTTTGCGTGCGATGAAGGGGACAAGGCCTGCCTCCTTGTGGCGTGCTGCTAAGAAGGAAAAGATCTCCGAATGCGTGTAGCCGTCAGTCATAAGTTCCACCATCATAATAGCTGGTGGCATGAAGTAGTGCGTGTTGAGAATCCGGCATTTCGTTTCGTCGCTGACCTTCTCGATCATCTCGCTGGACTTGTAAGATGACGAGTTGGACGCAAGTATGCAATCTCTCGGAGCNCTTGAGGACGAGGTATGGTTAGCTTCCCATGGCCATACCCTGGTTGCTTCGGACGAGCTACTTACCAGTTTCTCAAGCTCGGCAAATGTCTCGATCTTGATGTTGAGCTTCTCGGGAACGACTTCGAACACGAGCCATGCGTTCTTGACCGCAGACTCCAAGTCGTCGTAAACGGTAACATTACCGGGAGCCTTTCCTGTTGCTTCGGCGTAAGATGCTACGTTGGCGTTGAAATACTCAACAGCATCTTGGCGTTGTTGTTCACTAGGATCTCTGATTTGAATGTTGTATCCAGCAGAAGCCCAACAGCAAGCTATNAACACAAGATTGTCAGCTCGATGTAATCTGCCACGGGCAAGCCTGTTGGCTCACTCACCAATACGTCTTCCCAGAACGCCACCACCGAGCACAGCTACTGGTCTGTTGATATAATCCTGAGGAGGTGTCCACATAGTTGCGAATGATGGCAAGGTTTGATTTGAAGAGGTGCAGAAATGTGAATTCATTCATTCAACACAGAAAGTGCCTACCGTATATATGTGTGCTGCTCAAATGCCTCTACGTACATCATCTCATCAGGTTGCCTATGTTTTCTTACTAACGTCCATCAATACGACCGGAGTTGTCGCAACGACGAATGACGTGGTATTCCAGCAGATCCAGACACGACCGGCAGACACGAGCCGTAGAGGTCGAAGTTCGGGAAACAATGTCCGACTGCAAGCACGTCCATACATGAACCCACGGCTGAATCGTGTCCTCCAGAATAAGGACTCCAGAGGCAGGCATGAAGTCGAGGTTGAGGCAAGAGCGGCCAGTCGGGCAATCACACCCGGCTCGAGCGCGCACGGACCCTTTCCAATTCACTTCCTATCCACTATCGGTTTCGGACCGAACCTGATCTCCAGCCTGACATGGCCCTGAGAACCCTCATTTCGCTATGTTCGCCTCCTTGCGACATTGCGGACTCCAGTGACTAGTCAAGAGCCTATCAGAAACACTTTGTTTACGCATGTATTGCCGCTTGTGCTCCACTCATTGAGTACGACCGTGCTGGTCCAGAGCAGGTGAGTATGCCTCGGCCATCGTGTTCAGGCAAGCACATGCCAGCAAGGTATTATCGTTGTCGGTGACAGGTAATATAAGAAAACTTGTGCGCCTAGAAGCTCCGTTTGAGACCCTGTCTAATCCCTCTCTGTTCGTCCGAAGCACTTTCCCACACTGTCTTCTTCAAAAATCGTCTATCAATCATGGCAGAAGTCACAGAGTACACCTTGAAAGAGGTGACCGAGCACAACACTGAGAAAGACCTCTGGATCATCATCGATGGCAACGTTTACGACGTCACAAGATATACTCTGGATCACCCTGGCGGTGTGGAATCACTGGTAGAGGTAGCTGGACAAGACGCTACCACAGCATTCGAAGACGTTGGCCACTCAGATGAAGCCAGAGAAATTATGGCTCCCTTCCTGATCGGAAGACTGGCAGGATTCACAAAGACAGCTCGCAGACAAGCTGTTCAGATCGTACGCAAGGACACGACTCCCAGCCAAAGCAACATCCCCAGCATGAAGACCTTAAGTACGGTCGGAGCTGCAAGTCTGCTTGCTGGTACAGCTACTGCCGTTGCATACAAATTGCATGGCCGCATCCACATTCCTGGAGCTCACAAATACTTGCAAAAGCTCAACCTCGACAAGCTCAGCTTCCTGCAATCCGACAATGGCTTCCTCAAGGGGTTTCTTCTGGCTAGTGTGTTCTCGGCAGCATTCGGTGCAGGATTCGCCAACTACATTTCGAAAATCACAACCATCCCTGGTGGATTCGGAAGAAGCCCGATGTACAAGAGAGTTCCAAAGTTGCCGCTCAGACATTACGTCGGTTTCTTGAAGAGCACAGAGTTCCAGCCATTGCCCTTAAAATCAAAGCAAATTCTTCGCGGAACTGGACTTGTTCGCTTGACCTTCGAACTTCCTACTCCGACAACTAGACTCGGATTGCCGATTGGCCAGCACGTTGCTATCCAGGCAAAAATCGGCGAGCAAACAGTCACACGTTCGTACACACCGACTTCGAACGACACCGATCTCGGCGAGCTGGTTCTTCTTATCCGACTTTACGATGAAGGTCTCTTGACTGGCAAATACCTTGCACAACTCAAGGTCGGTGATCAAGTTCTTTTCCGTGGCCCTAAGGGTGCCATGAAGTACAAGAAGGGCTATGCCAAGAAGATTGGCATGGTGGCAGGTGGCACTGGAATCACTCCTCACTACCAACTCATCAGAAGTATTTGCGAGGACAGAACCGACACCACCGAAGTCTCGCTAGTGTATGCAAACCGCACTGAGGACGACATCTTGCTCAGGTCAGAATTGGATGCCTGGGCCAAGGCATACCCTAAGAACCTCAAGTTACACTACATGCTCGACAACCCACCTGAGGGTTGGCAATACGGTAGTGGCTTTGTCACAAGAGATATTCTCGAGCAATACATGCCCGCTCCCTCATCTGATGGATCTTCCAAGATTCTGCTTTGTGGACCTCCTGGCATGATCAATGCTACGAAGAAGAACTTGGTTGAGCTGGGCTGGCAGAAGCCTGGCTCAGTCGGCAAGATGACCGATGACATTTTCACTTTCTAATTCAATAATATCTCACAATCAGATTTCAATATCACAAAGTTACTCAATGTTTTGTTCGTGATTTTGCACCCCGTACTGCATCTCGATCTTCTAATTCAGCCATTGGCCTCTCTAATTGACACCAATAATCTGGAGGGCCCTTGAGTGAAGCATGCTGTGGTAGTGACTATGCAAAGCCAGGGTCACCTGGAAGCAAAGCACGTAGCAAAGCACTCACGTGACCTAGCAATCTAAATTTAACGCTAGCAGATGTCAACACGACCGGAACTTGAAGCTCTGACCAACTCGGGGATCGCACACATCTGGATATCTTTGCGACTCGCAATTGCGCTTCCTGAAACTTTTCGAGAAGTTCTCTCCGGGCCGTTCTCGCACAAAACGCGACACTCGAACTCGTCAGGTCGGCCGCCTCGTCCAATGCTTTGATAGCGAGCAAGGCAAGAGCCGTGAGCCGATCGTATGCCCTATCTCGAGGAGTCCTTGAAACGTGTTGTAAGCCTAAATCGTTGTCGCAAAGATGCGAGCACTTACTCGCGGCGGTGTATTGTCGCGGCCGAGGTCTCAACACTCTCGCCTACTTCGACCCGCTCGTAATAATATTTTGATGAAGGCCAGTCGCGAACCCCGGCAAAGTGCTTGATGGTCCGTGATGTATTATGGGTCAGCAAGTAGGCCATCCGTTCGGAGTGTGTATGTACAATATATAACATAGTCTCCCTCAATCTTCAAAGGCAGCAAAGACCATATTGGTAAACCAAAACGAACATGCCTTCTGTACAGTTCTACCTCCTGGGACAAGACCCTAGCACAGGGCACAAGATCGAAGTCAACTCCAGCGAAGTTTCTGACTATGATTCGCTCCGTCTGTTGGTAGCAGGGCACTTTGCCATCTTGGAACCGAGTGGTAAGACAAATGCTCGCGAGGGAGAACCAGTCACTGAAATTCAGTAGNGAATCGACTTTTCAGTAGATAACGACACATTGACCGAAGTATCCGAGGTCATCAACAGTCAACAACCAGTTGCGATCACAATTGATGGCAAGCAAGTCAGAGACGTGCCGGGTCCTAAAGGCTTCCCTTACATCGGCAACTACTACGAGATCTACCCAGACCATCTCGGAAACCACCAGAGACTGTTCGACACATACGGCCCGGTCTTCAAGACAACCAACTTCGGAAGTGTTGTCTACCAAACCAACGATCCTGTGATTGCCAACCACGTATTCAACGAGAATGGATTCTTCACCAAGCAAATCACTCCTGAACATCCGCTCTTTGGTATCATGGATCAAGAAGCAGGCTTGTTCCTTGCCGACACAGACACCGAAGCCTGGAGATTGACACACAAATTCCTTCCGCCAGCATTCTCGCCGAAGGCAGTCCGTCACTACAGCCCCAAGATGCAACAGACTGTGGAATCAGCGTACAAGGTCTTTGATCAACTGGATGAGCAAGGCGATGCGTTCAACGTCTACCTCTACATGTTGAAGCTGGGATCGCAAGCTGTCGGTCAACTTACACTCGGCCTCGACTTCAATCATTTCTCGTCTGTTTACGCACCGCTTCACAAAATGGTGCGCGACATTGCTGAGCTTCTTGAGTTGAACAAGAAGGTTTCAACTATGGGAGCATGGTACTCGTACCTGCCTTTCGGCGATCCCGCAAAGCTGAGACACGTCAGAAACGGTCTTGAAGAGCAGATGACAGCAGCCATCGCTGCAGTTACGCCTAATGGTGTTGAGGATCTTGAGTTACAAGATGCAGCACTCAAGGCATCATGTATCGCAGACTATGCAGTTCGTGCTGTTGACAACCAAGGCGAGAAGCTACCTGAGCGTTACAGAAATCACTCGATCATGGTAGCAACTGCAGCCGGCTTCACAACCACCTCATCGCTACTCTCATGGCTCCTCTACGGCCTAGTAACGTACGAAGGTATGCAGGAGCGCCTGCTGCAGGAGCTCATCGACAATGACATCGACGATGACACAGTACTAGATGCCGACATCATCGGCAAACTCCCTTTCCTGGACAAATATGTTAAGGAGATGCAGCGCAAACACAACCCATCCTACCAGCCTGGACGTACCGCTCAACACGATCTGATTCTGCCAGGCGGTTACAAAATTCCCAAAGGTGGCATCGTCATTCCCGCACTTCACCATATCCACAACAACCCCAAGCTGTGGGACAACCCTGCAAGATTCAACCCCGATCGTTGGGACACCGAGGAGGTCAAGAACCGTCACCGCTCCACATATGTCCCCTTCGCTCAAGGTCCTCGTGGTTGCATCGGATTCAACTTTGCACTACTCGAAGTCAAGATCTTTNTGCCCAAGTTGGTGTATCGTTACCACTGGTCAAAGGTTGACGAGGAGGCTGTTGAGTATGATCCTTTCTTCCAGCTCATCAGACCCACCAACTTCATGGCACGAGCAGAAAGAAGAGTCAAGTGGCCTGCAAAGTCTACTTAATAGTGATATGACCTAGAAAAATACTTAATCTTTGCACCACTCATCAATGCGTATATACAATCATGGTAGAACGTGATTGTCTCAATTGAGAGTATCTCTATATCATTTACGCCGCCACATGCCTGGGGACTATTACAAACTAGCTCGAAGATTCGATATTTATCGACAATTGAATCATTATGACTCCGTCACATCCAATGTGACAGCCACAATTGTTAAGTAACGATAGTTTACATTCCGATATTGGATATAAGCTACATAGCGTACATATACTTTGATTGTTACCTTGAAGCAAGTATGAGCACTTTTGTCCTCCTCCACGACATGATTAGGTGGACCTTGCTTGGTCTGTAAGATGTAAAGCCCTGAACGATGTCGATCTTGTGCGGTGATCTTTAGCGAGCAACATGTAACCCCCAATCCTCAGCATAGAGGAAGTTGTAGCATACGTGACAGAGCATACTTTCCAGAGACTTGGAAACCACATACCTATGTTCCTGGTCTGCGTCGATGTCTTCCTCAACTTCGCAAACAGCACAGACAGGAAGATACCCTTGGTCGCGCAAGTCCTGAACGCTGTGTCTGAACTCCAGCCTGACTTGGTCTTCCAATGGTCGATGGAGTCCGGGCTTCTCGACGGTGAAGTGTGTATAGCACCTGTTACAAAGAAGATGGCCTTGCTTAGTCGTCTTGAATCAACCCTTGGAGCAAGCGGAAGTGCCATCGACTGCACCACAGTTGTCACAAATCTGTGTAACGCCGGCTTCTCTCAAGTCCATGGCCCACAACTTGATCAAGTAGAGTCTGACTTCCTCGGCGGTCTTTTCCCGTCCAGTTCTTCGGATGTACATTGAACAACTTACACAGTAAGCTTTGCCATTGATCACTCTCTCTCCCTTGTTGCGTTGAACTTGGTCTTGTGTGCGCTTACAGGAGGAATACTGATTGCCGCTGGCAGTGAAGAGAGCCACTCTTTCTCTGTAGACTCGGTGATATTCACAGAGTACTTCTGCTTGTGCTTTGGTTGGAAGTCTTCCACCGCGGCGGTTTCTCCATTCCGCACAGTATGAGCGCACGTGGCTTAGAGATGGATAAAGGCTGTCGAAAAGCACTCGATTACCCTTTTTGGCGATTTCGGTACATCCCACAACCCTACAATGAAGAACCAACCCCAAGCTGAGACACCATGGATACCTTCCACCGTGGTAAGGATTGCTGCCGCGAGGAGACCAGAGAAGATGTTACACGCAATGTTTCCTGCATACCAGATCGCCATACGGAAGGGAGCCTCCTCTTTTGTGTACCACGAAGAACTCATCAAGCTGACCATTGGTAAGAAAGGACCTTCTGCCACACCAACTGAATCGGCCACGAATTAGTATATGTTGAGGACCGACAGACGATCTGACACACCTAAGAAACGGCAGAGGATGAACGACCATTCACTGCTCATGGCAGCCATACATGCCGTGATGACTGACCAGATGATGACGTGAACAGGCATCTGGATTTGAGGTCTGCCTCGAGCTAGATAGACGGTGGCAGGGAGCTGAGAAATGATGTAACCTGCTACTTGTCAGCACAGGTCCTGCGTCTTCTGAACGAAAGTCTTACCAATGTAGAAGGCACTGATTCCAAGACTGTACATCGTGTCGTCCATTCCGAGATCGTCTTGCATACCAGCTAAACGTGCGTTGCCAACATTGATGCGATCAAGGTACCCCATCAACAGCATGAGCGTAACCTTAGGATAGTCAGTTATGTGTCATGCAATCTCCAACATCCGAGGACGGCATACCACAGGCAAGAATATCCAACCGAGCTTGCGAAGCAGTCCTCTTTCGATCTTGCGAAGCTCTTCGGGAGACTTGTCGGCAATGAGTGGGTATCAGGCTAGCCACTCAATGTTATGTTCGCTCTGAACACCAACGATCTCGAGATGTTCTGCGGAAAGGTTCTTCTTCTCAAGCCCTTCGAGAGCACCAGCCTGGTGTGATGCAGTCATCGTTTGAGAGGTTACATAGTGTAGAAAGAAAAGCTCGGTCGGAATGATCGGGCTTGTTGGGACGCTATGTCGATAATAGAGGAAGGAGTCTTATATACCGGGCACTCTGGAACTGCCCGCAACTCAATACCCCATGGGGTGTTCTCCACACCAAGCCAGTGAGAAGGTTGTTGAGGAACAGAGAATGTTGCAAAGGCATTTCGGCGTCTCGGCGTTGGGTACTTAGCCAGGTATATCCGAAGGTACTCGCTCGCTCATGACCACAGGCTCTTCCTAGGGAAACCACAGCAATGCCGACCTCACTCAAGGCCTTCCTCAGAGACATTGAGTTTGAGAAACTCTGACATCGCCACGGCGGAACAAACAGAAGACGATTTGGCCGGTCGGGGTTTGCATTGCACGATGAGGCTTCATTACAGAGTACCTCCATGACCCATACCACAAAGATTGTAACGGGCTGAAGTGTCCGGTAGTAATGATTGGTGCTCCGAGGTGTTTGCTGCCTGAGAATGAAGCTTTCAATGCCTGTCTGTGCCCAGATATCTGCACGCTCGCGATGAGGGGAGGGGAGGTATCTTCATTGTATGGACCTTCCGGCGCGTTCATGGCAAGCTTGCGCCTTGATTAAGCGCTACTACAGCCTCATTAGACGCTCTGATCATTTTGTCCTACGTGATTGCGATCTTGATCAGTATACTCATCTTATGTGTAAAGCTGGCAAGTTTGAGGCTCAAAGAATTAACAAGCACGACACTGACATGGGCAATGGACACGGCGAGAGTATCTTGCACTATATCTGCGGTGATGAAGCGATGGTTTCCTGGGCTCTCGAGAACGGTGCTAAACCTGATGATTCCGTCCCTATCGATCCATATCGCTGCCCTTCATTGCTTGACACCGTGGCCCGCAGAGGAACCGTGGCCTCGTTCAAGCTACTCGCGTCGCAAGGAGCAAAACATAGTTTGCGGACTCTACATTCTGCTGTAGATGTCGCCTTTGATGACAGTGAGTTGCGGCTGGAGATGGTCAAATACCTTGCTGATGATCTCAGGTTCGACGTGAATGCCCTCGATGCTGCAGAAGAGCNNTTCCAAACCACTGGGGTGCCCCACTCTATTATGCTGCGAGATGGTCTGGTGGTAACGAGAATATCGTCCGCTTCTTGTTAGAGAGAGGTGCAGATCCAACACTCCGAAGGACAGGTCATCGCAGCGCAATAGAGACGGCCGAGTACCAACACAATCAAGGAGTATCAGCGTTGTTGAAAGAGTGGGAAGCGAAGCATCAGATCACAGTACAACATGATTGATCTCCGCGACTGAAGCTCTCCGGTCGATAATCGTCAGGACGTAACAGGTGGTTCGCGATGTTAGCCAACATGATCTAGAAGTAACTCTTTGCGAGAAATCAAAATCTGCCTGCATTATTGGCAGCTATTGAGAAACATGTGATAGGTATTTGCTCAAGAAGGCTGTTTTGTGTGACCAACAAGTAGGCGGTGCATACAACAGTCACCTGATAATTAGACAATCCGTCAGGATTCACTGCGCCACATGGATCAGCAGGCAGCCTGATTCGGTTGCCTGCGACAATCCCATTAGAATTTGGGCGCCAGGCTGAGCAGGACGAAGGAATGCTTGGCTGCGCGCCTAAAGCAGGCAGTCGCAGTTGCCAATGCTTGTCTGAATTTATTTCCGTACTTGCACCTCGTCACGCATATAAGAACTCTGACCCTCCAGAGCGAAAGACCAACACTTGCGTGCAACAATCTGATCAATCTTGAAAAAACATTGTCAACTTTGGCTCACACAAGGACAAGAACTCTGCACCACCGTTCCTAGACCCCAAGAACAACCAAGCCGAACCCATCAGCGAAGAGCATTCCATCGAAACAGCAACATCTCATCAGCCTCAAGTTGAACAACCAAACATTCAAGACTTCAACACCGTCGACCATGTCTAAAACAGAGATCCCGCCTCCATACCCGGCAGCAGCCACTCCCAGCGTCCAGCACGTCACACCACTCGGTTCTCTCTCAAGCACACCAGCAAAAGTCGATTGCCCTGTTTGTCAAGCACCAACAACAACAAGGATATCCAAAGAGGTTGGAGNNAGAGCCTACATCTGGGGCGCTGTCTTGTGTGTTCTGACCGGATGCCTGTGCTGGATTCCATGTGTTATGGACGATTGTAAGGATACGCATCATACTTGCAGCCACTGTGGACGTCCATTAGCCACTGTTGCTGCGAACGGAGGTGTCAAGATTTCGCCCAACGCTGCTGCTGTGCCGTCGCAGTACGAAAGACGAAACGAGACCATGACAGCCGCACCATGAGACTCGCAATAGCTCTTGACAGAAATCGATATGCACGCAACACGGAACGCGCATTGCTGAGTGTTCTCTCTGGTTGACTTTGCTAGCAGAATGGGAGTGCGAAAGGACACGGCGTTAGGTCAAGCATATGATTGCTTCAGTGTGGCTCATACAAATTGACAAGCCAGAGGGCTAGTTAGCCTTGAATTGAATTTCGGAAGGCTGGGAGTGTCAATTCACTCTGCAAGTGCAATATTCAGTTCAACCTCATTCGATAGCGCCCATCTTCTCGTGATCGTGATCATGTTTCTTCAACATTGCATTCTGACATGGCGCCAGCACCATCGATACCGATTGAGATTCGCTAATGATGTCTGAGAGCCTCTGTAAGATTCTTTGTCAGGTCCGAGCATTCTCGTTGTGAGGCGGAGGCTGTCAACTCCCTCCCTGTGTACCGAAGCATGCAACGCGTATAGCTATGGAGATGCACAATAGTCTTGAGAAGCAGGGCAGCACCCACTAAGAGATAAGATTTTATCAGCTTTCTGTGGCTATAGCCTCGATGTTGGAAAACACTGTGCCTTTCTATAGTCCAAAAGTGCCTCTGTGTTGCAGTGGGAGCAGGCAAGGTTACAAACCTTTGTACACGGGGAGGTCGTGGTTGTGTTGTGCTTCGCCTTTCCCTAATTTTCGACTTACTAATCTGAGCGGCCCGTGCCATGTGTCGATCTAGTACCTGTCGGTAGTTTTTAAGGAACGTTCGGAATAGCCTCTCCTCTTCGCAAAGCATGACAAACTATTCTCTCTTCACAATTCACCAGAGTAACAACCATGTCAACAAAAGAAGCACAAGATCAGTTGAAGCGTGAAGGCGAAGGCGCTCTGTCTACTTCGGAATATTGGGATAAGCGCTACGCGCAAGCCGATGGCGAAAATGCAACACACGAATGGTTCCGCTCTTTTTCTGCCTTGCTGCCGTTCTTGCAAACCAATCTCTTCGATGCGCGACCCGTAGAACAGAAACCCAAGATTCTACATTTGGGTAGTGGCGATAGTGTGAGTAATTCGTACAAGGAAGATGTAAGTCGGAGCGATGCTGATGGATGAATAGNNACGATTCCTTATGATCTTTCTGCACGAGGATATAAGGACCAGCTATGTGTGGACTTCTCGCATAAAGTTGTTGAAGTCATGTCAGCCAAAGAAGACGATGGTGTAACATGGGATTGGGCCGATATTCGCGATATGCCTCAACACAGCAGCAACAGTATCGATGTTGCTTTCGACAAGGGCACAATGGATGCCATGATTCACGGCAGTCCTTGGTCTCCTCCTGATGATGTAAAGGACAATACATCACGTTACTTGACAGAGGCAGGTGGCAGCCACAATGCGAGTGAAAAAAAAATGATGTTTCTAACCAATGACAGGNTGCATCGCATTTTGAAAGACGACGGAGTATTTCTCTACATCACGTTCCGACAGCCGCATTTCATCCGTCCGCTACTGAGTGTCGAACATCTCTGGAGTCTCAAGATGGAAACTCTGTCGGCTGGCGAAAGCTCTTTTGACTACTATGGCTGGATACTTACTAAAAATACTGCTGCAACCGCATAAATCTGGACAGGGTGGTCGATATGCAGCAGATGTTATCAAAACTTGGCACTTTTCATATGTGAGTTGCAGCTCACCAAAAACAATGGTCGCTCCTTCCAGACTTCCTAAAAAAGACAACATCACACTTCATTATTGGCTTTTGTGTTTGTCCTGTCACCTTTCACCTTTCGTCGTTTTTCTGTTGCTTGTGTGTCTTTCTCAAACACTTCACTTTCCGATGTTCTGGATCGGCATGCACATGAAGCCACCATCTCAGCCCCCTTGATGCGTTGTCGAATCCTTCCAGATGCGGCGCTAATCGGATTTGCTTCTTCGCCGATAACACTTTTTTTTTAGCAATTGGTGCAGCATCTTGCAGGAGGTTTTGGACTTTCATGTGCGCACCATTGCTGATTTGATGATTCCACGATGCGAAACCGAATTTTGATTATGGCATAAAGCAGCGGGTATTTGCAGCCACAAGGCTATAAGGAGAGTCACCTTTGCCTGAAGTCTTGCCTTGCGTTTAAAGTACAAGTCACCACACCATAGAATCAACCTTGCTTTCTCGAGATCACCAAAGAGTCACATACTGAGCTACCCGACCAGAAGTACTCTAATGCTTCTACAGAACCAGCAAAAGTTTGGATCACCATGTTCACCGTCTTCGGCAATCATACCGACCTCGTGTCATGGACTGCAGAGCCACATCGAAGAGGATCCTTCCAGATCATGTCCTCTTGTATCATTACCATCTCTCTCTGCGTCTGGACAGCGCTCCACCTCAATATCCTTCACTATTCTGATGCGAACCGCCGCTGGTACACCAAAAGACTCATGTGGCGCAAACTAGGCTGGCTTTGCTTGGGACTGTTGGCACCAGAGATGATCGCTTATACAGCGTGGGATCAGTATCGCAGATCAAGGAGACACGTGAACAAAATGAGTACACAAGACGCGACGCGAGACTGGGGCATGGTGCAAGCCTTCTACGTCGTGATGGGAGGGTTCGTTGTAGATCTGGACAACAAGGCTTCACTGTACCCTAAACACTCTGGACGAGAAAGGTTGACATTGACACCTATCGGTGTCGATTACATCGCAAAATACCATCCCCTCCTTCTTCCACAGGTCAACGAAGAAGGAATAAGAGACAAAAGCAAGGCCAACGCTTTGGCAAAGTTCCTGGTCTGTGTCCAGGCAGGATGGTTCATCTTTCAGTGCATAACACGTATGGCATTGTCACTTCCGATCACACTATTAGAGGCAAGAAGCAAGCATTAACCAAAACTTGCATACAAGTGCTGACATACGATGTCTAGTNTGAACACCCTCGATCACTCCGCCTGCGCCTTAATCGTTTACTTGTTTTGGTGGAGCAAGCCACTAGACATTGAACAGCCAACATCGATCGAAGCCCACAGAATAGAAGACTTGATTGCCGTCCTGTGCATGACTTCAAAGGATCTTCGACCTCTGTATAGGGGCAACAGATCGAACAAAGAAGAAATGTTTTACCTGGACATCGTGACAGAGGTAGAAGAGTCACTGCTAGGTTCGAAAGATCAGATACCTTCAATGGTGAAAACAAAGGAAAGCACAAAATTCGAGCGAACGGCTCTTTCACAGACGCTTGAGCGAATACTCGAACTCATCCCCAGCTTTGGAAAGAGCAAATCCAACTCTGATCTTGAATCCGCCGCCGCGCGCACGAGGAAGACAGTCGAGTTGAAGAAAGATCAACTACACGGCGAGAGTTCAATCCGCAATCAACACGGAACCATCCTTCTCCAAGAAGAAGATGTACGTCGGTGGACAATGGCTGCAGATATGTTCAGAACCACTCGGCATGGCGACAAACCCAAGGACAGTCTTGTCAGACGAAGTCGCAACTGGCCATCCATGGACATCCAACCAGGGAACCTCCCTTGGACTCTGTTGATTGCTCTCAATGTGTCCAGCATTATGTATGGAGGCCTGCATGCTCTAGCCTGGAATGCTGATTTTGTCAACACCGTACAACAAAAACTATGGCGGCTGGCCTCACTCTTCGTCATGACCTTTGTTCCAGCATCGACGTTCGTATTGCTGATTGAAAATCTCTTGACGGTTGGAGGAGAGTACAAGTTCGAAATTTTGACCAAGGTCAATAAATTCATGTACTATCTTCAGATATGGCAGATCTCCTTCGGACTCAGTCTGTTGGCGTATGTATGGGCGAGGATCTTCTTGGTGGTAGAGAGTTTCATTAGTCTGGGTCATTCTCTGGCTGGGGTTTATGATCTTCCCGTTTGGAGTGTTTATGTACCACATATCACCTGAGCTTTGATATACAAGAGACCGCTTCCTAGATCTCTCAACGTCTTCTTTCGTTCTTGTCTCCTCTGCATCAAGACGGTCTTTCGAACGTTATCACTCATCACGTTTCGCATGTTTGAACCATAACAAGGCCTAACCGTTGTGTGAACCAACGTCTCGATGAACTTGTCTGGTCGCCTTTGCAACTTTGGGAAAGGCATATATTGGATTGTTCCACTCGTGTACTGGAACCAGACAATTGTTAATAGATACATCACAATCACAAGCAGACAAAGAGTCACGAGATTTCATACTGCAAGAGAAGAAAAGAAAACATCAATACTGTGATGCATACATACATCGGGTCCACAAACACCTTTCTATATCAACACATTCTCTCCAAGCCTCTCATATCCAGAACCAGAAATGATCAAGAGAACACCAATGAACCCAGCTATATCGCAAACACCACCAACAGGACCAAAAGAATGACTGAAATAAACACAAGAGATGGTTTTCGAGATCGAGACGATGAGGATAATCTAGAGCATGAAAGCCTGGTTGAAAGTGATGGAAGACATGGTTTGTTGTGTTCGTGTAGAGAAGCTCGATGTGGATGATGGACTGGAATTGATAGTGTCGAGAAGGTGGCATTATATCGACATACAAAGTCGACTTGACGACAAAGAAGAAACGGAAGAGAACAATGAGACCTCCTAGTGGTTAAAGAACATCAAAGGAGCAAGAATGGCCGTTGTACAATGAACAAAGACCAAGGTCAAAGAATCGCGGCCACAGAGGCTTTCCAGGGAACATGTGCTAAATTGTAGAGAACATGTGGTCAACTTTGATCGGTGGCCCCTCTTCCCTGTCAGCAGATGGTGCTATAGTATGCTATAGAAATACATAATTGTCCATAGGATTAAACGTGTGGCCATGGAAGCAGCCTCAAATCATTCACTTACATAACTCCCTCACTCTCACTTACTCACCCCAACAATCATAGAGAAGTAAATTTGTCTCTTATCTCAGAGTTCGGTTCTGTGGCTCACACAGCAAACCACTCGATGAAAAACCGGGCATAAATAGAATCCAGAGGTGGCGAGTTCGACTCTTATGCAAAGTCTTGGTTGGTCGCAACTGCTTTCCCCCAAGTTGATGCTTGGTTTTTTTGCCTCTCCTCGGGTGAGAATTATTTTCAAACTGGGAGAGGGATATGTTAGATGAGGGTGGGCAAACCCATACGTAGGGGAAGCTAGTAAGATCTTGGTTTTGTACATGAGTTCGGCTCTACTTTTGCTGGTCTAATCTTTCCCATCGTCGAAGTCTTTTACGCAAGACTCAGGTCAGACTTCTAGACCATCGGTCTCGGCTTCTTGCCTGTCGATTTCTGTGCCAGTGACACCGTACACTCGTATAGGCATAGCGACCTCGAAAGTCTCGGCGACAAGTCGCTCCTTCGCGATCTTCACGACACCTCTCTCATCCCTGCCCACCTCTTCCAAAAANTCATCTGCTTTGGCTTCTGCCAGTGCAAGTTCTTCTTCGCTACCGCCAGCACCAACCTCGTCGTCTTCAATGCCCAATCCACGAGCTGCTTTTGGTCGTACTCGAGCTGTCACAAACTCAATCCTAACCTTCCAGTCTAGTTGCACGCCTGTGGTCTCAAAGGTAGGTGTAGCTGCGGTAGGGATCTCAAGTCTGAAAGACACCTTGCGAGCGAAGAGTACATTCTCACTAACGTGAGCATGTATTTTTCTCGTTGCTCGCTGTACGGAAGACGATGATCGCAGTGCTAGACTTGGGTCTACGCGTTCGGTTGTTTCCAGCCATACATTGATTCCATAGCTCGGGATCTGGTCTGTAACTGACTCGGTTTCAGGCGTGGGTGGACTGAAGTCGATAATGCCGGTGATGGTTTCGCCCAGGCGATAGGCTGGCCGTACGATAGTTACTATAGCGACAAGTTGGCCGCCTCGAGCAATGGTGAAGCGATTGCTAGATTGTGTAAGCTGGTCTGATGACCCGGAAGAGGTGTTGGACCTCAGGATGGCCATGTCTATCGCTTCTTTCATATTGTTTGGTGTGATATCTTCCAAGGAGGATCGTCGGCGTGATGGTTTCTCGGCGGTGGGTGATAACAGTGCACCAGATTGGGATTCAGGTTGTGCTAATAATCGATCCGTATATGAGAGGAAATCATCCAGCAGAGTAGATGATACTCTTCTTTCCGATGGTGACTTTGCTGAAGGAAATTGTGGCTTCGAGCCGCTGAGAGCGATGCTTTGGCTTCTAGCCTTGTCGCTCAGCAGTATATAAGGAGACATCAAGTCATGGCCCAGGGTCTCTCCTCGATCTNNAGGCTCGTCAGAACAATTAAAAATATAGCGAGGTAAACACAACTTACTGTTGACACTTCCAAGCACACGGAACGGGATCTCTATGTGCTTGACCTGTTGTTTCCCTCCAGGCCTCTGGATGCCGAGGGTCAGATGATACTGCACCTTGATAGCACGTCCTTTGTGAGAGGGTGGTAGCCCCCGTGGCAGACGGAATCGGTACGAGTAACTCTTAGTCTCGCCCGGAGCAAGCCGCAAATCAACAAAGAGAATAGATTGAGGCGTGCTGAGCAGTGGGATGGTCTTCGAGCTTGCAACACTTCGCATCTCTTTGATACTGCTCATCTCACCACCACTCAGGAGACCGCCTAGACTCTCGCCTATGTTGCCCCAGCCAAAACCAAACATACCACTCTCACGCTTTGACTTTTCCACACCTACGACGCCACCACCGCCTTGGCCACCAACGACACCTTTCCGTTTGACATCCTCGAATGGGGCTTGATTTACTAGTGAGCCATCAAGCACGAACGAGCCCATAGTCTGAATGTAACCCATCATCAACGTCTCAGGGTCTTTGTTTCTAGGCATGCTGGTCGGTGGGACTTGTTGATTGCGTCCATTCATTGGTTTTGGGAGTGTTCTACTCGTTGCGGGCAGGGCAGCATCCGAAGAGACAGTCTCGGATGAGTGGTTTGTTAGAGAGTAGAAGTCGCTGCTGGTACGGGGAGTATCGTTGGCACCAGACTCGGATATGATGCGCGAGAGCGGGTTGGCGTACGAGGGCGCGTCCGGAAGTTTGGGAGATGGGAGATGGTGTGGTCTCTGCGGCGGAGCAGGACTTCTTATCGGAAACTGGAACTCGGGCATGGGAGAGCGATCGAGAGCGGGAGAGCCCCTTCTCGAGGCGCCAGGAGATTCCGGAGGAAAGGAGAAGTTGGGAGGAGGAAACGAGGCAGAAGAGGCGGAGGGATGTCGCGGCGGAGGCATCATGTGGGAGGTCGAAGGAGGTCTCTGGGGAGAGGTATTCGTTGCATGGGGAGGTTGAGCAGTGATGGGCGAAGGGAAGTTGAAGGCAGGAGTGCCAGGGGCGGTACGGATGCCCGAAGTACGGCGCGTCAGCGGTGGGTGGTGTTCTTGTAGCGGCGATGGATTCCTGTAGGAGCTAAAGGACAAGGATGGAGCTTGGTATGAAGGCGTGCGTGACAAGACCTGCATGCTAGCCGAACGACCGTGGCCACGAGCAGGAGGACGACGTGGGCTCATGGGGTTGGTCATGGCAGCCTTGTCGCTGCCCATGGATATGATGGACAGCGAGCGTCCATGGGTGGGAGCATGGCGTGTGCTTGGAGCGGTCGCATTGCTGGCGGCATGGCTGGGAACTCTTTGATGGGCGCTTGACGACGGAGGGTAGACAGACAAGGAGAGAGTGGGTCGATGTGACGGCGCCCGGGAGCCAGCTACGGATGGAGCGACGGACGGGGCAGTCGACAGCTGCTGTGTAGAGTGCGTTACGGTGCGCTGTCTGTTCTTCGCCCTCGTCGTGTGGTCGTCAGGAGCTTGCTGGTCGCCGTCGTCGCATGTGTTCCTGAAGCTGATGATGCATTCAATCTCCTCGCCGGCAAACACGCTGCTGTCCTTCCACTGCACGTACGCGCGCACTTTGCTCCGGGTCGCCATGCCTCATGCTGCTAAGCTGTCAAGACCAAGAGCCATGTGTTGATGCCTTTGTTTAATTTAGCTCCATCATGACATGTTGATCATCTCTCCACATTCACCATCTTGACCCCCTTATCTCCGTGTCTTCTCCGTCATCTATAACAGCAACGTTATTTGTCGTGATTATTGATGGCTACGAACGACTACTATAGCCTTGTACACCAGTCCCGGCCATGTACCACTTGCCATCCGCACAAGCCTGTCTCGACCGCCATTCCCAAGAAGCCTGCGATACATATTCCGCCCGAATCCGACACTGACGTTGCGCCCAAGCTGAACTCCCTATCACTCTCTGGCACTTCTTCTCCAATTCTGCGGAAGGTGCTGACATAGACGATTCCTCCGAGTAATCCTTCCCAGAAGGTAATGGCAAAGACAAACCAGATGTTTGGCAAAAATGGAAACATGGCATGCGTCGCCAATATGGCCAGATTGAGGCACTGTAGGAACGAAGGAAGGTACAATGCATGGATCCTAACGAAGGGCAACGAAGAGCGCGATATGAAGACGCCCAATTGGTAGATGGCATTGTAAGTTGGGTAGAAGGAGCGGTAGTGTTTGAAGGGTGTCTGGTCAAGGGGNAACAGCAGTGTAGGCGCGACACCTTGGTTGATGGTATACTCGGCCACGTATACGAGAAGCAGAGGCAGCATGCTACGAGAGAGAAACAGTGTTCAGCTTACCGTTCTTGGTGATGACTACTGGATGGTTGCAACTCACTATGGAAGGAAGAGGCTTCTGGCTCGTAAGAATCTAACTTTGAGACTGTGCCATGTATCGGTGGATCGGAGCCCCTGGCTGAGTTTTGGCGAAGAGGGTGGATGGGTATCGTCGACAGCACCATTCAGTAGTGACTCGGTGTCTGGGTCTAGGTCGTCCTGGGCTGCTGCGGTATAGTCGTGACTCTTGGGCTTGGCTGGGAGCAGAACAAAGAAGCTGAACAGCATGATGACTGGCAGGAAGGAGAAAGCTAGCAAACTGGTTCGGACACTGAGGCCTAGAGCAGTAGTAGCCAGAACGTATGCGCCCGAGCCGACCAAGCCTGCGCCGCCAGTTCCAGAGCCCCAAGCAGCCAGACTGAAAGGGCCGTAGAAGTGGGTGAGGCCCAGGAAGCTGAGTTCACCTCCTCCACTGCTGATAGAAGCCAGTATTACTCCCAGCATCTTGATAGTGATCGAGGCATTGTCTTGATTCGGGTCGGCTGAGGAGGGGCTTAGCGCAACGAGCAGCATGCCGCATGAAGAGAGGACGACGAATGCCAGGATGCGCAGATTGTAGGGAATCAGGTGAATGTAGTACGGAGCGGTCAGCTTGACCAGGAAGGAGGGGACAACATCGAAGAGGAGGACGAGCGACTTTGGCACGGAGGGACCGACGAGGTCGAGGGCACTGCTAAGGATGATCACGTATAGGACATTGTTGATGAGGCCTNNGAGCAGTGGTGTTAGCTGGAAAATGCGAGGTATGAGTTGAGTATTCCCACCGAACAACCAGAATGAGCCAACGACGCGTTTGTCGACGCCCTCAAACATGGTAGACAGCCTTTGGCGGAAGAGAGCCCAGGACGACGACGGAGCACCTGGCAGAGGGAGCATGTTTTGGAGAGACAGAGTGTGGGGACGTTGGTTTCGCGGTGACGCATCAAGAATTTAGTCTCACGTAGCGGCGGCCCTAAGGGCCCTTGGCTAAAGCGTGAACAGGGAAGAGCAGCGAGCGTCTTGAATGGCCGATCTTGTTCTTCCTCACCTTCTCGTTGCACCGGATTCAATCAAAGACTTGATCACGTCTGGACTGCGCAGTTCATCCTGAAACACGCCCGTGCCAGCATGTGCAAGCCCTGCAGCCGGCCATGGTAACCTCTTCGAATTGCCATATGTCTCCGACCACTCTAACATTCACGTCAGATGGATAATCGACTGCCACAACCCTCGACTCAGCCCTTTGCGGCCGCCCATCCTGCCACATCGCAACCCTCGTCGTCGTCGTCGCATACCCCTACCACACCCAAACGGCGCAACCACCAGTGCAGATGCCCTTCTCGGATCCATTTCACACGCGCGACCCATTCATGCCCTCGTCGACGCAGCACACGAGACGTGACAGCTACAGCATTGGCCCCGCTACGCCAGCCATGGGCACGCCGTACGAAAGAGCTTGGAGCACACAGCCACAACCCCCAGGTACGACGACCTGATCTTTGTCTTGCACGGGAGCGCGTCTGCTGGCCCTGTCGCTGTCGCCGTGACAGCTTGAATCGCAGCGGCAGGGTTCAGCCAGCAGCCACGCGACCGTGCTTTTTCCCAAACCCGCCGATCGCTCGGGAAGCCCAAACTTTAATCAATCAGAATTTCTGACCACCCCGGATTCTTAGCTCCCCAAACAGCTCAACACCAACATCTCTCTCAGAACCCGACTCCATCCACCCAAGCCTCAGCTCCCACCCCTGCCCACATGTCGAGTGGTCCTTTTCCCTACGACTCTGCGCGACGCCGCTCCGTAGGCAGCGAGCGCTATCCGGGAGGCATGTCTCGCGCTTTTGTCTAACGAACGTGGGCTGACTTTGTCGCAGCGCCGCTCGATCCCCCTCCACCACCGCCTCTCTCTTACTCAAACCGTAACATGCCGCCACCCTCGCCCACCTCTGGTCCGAATCCTTCTGCATTTTCCATGCCTGCGCCACGTCACACTCCCTCCGCATCACCTTACGTCGGCTCGAGAGAGCTGCCGCCCTTCAACTCTAGACCCGGCACAACCATGTCCATCTCGTCCTTGATCGGCGGCGACTCTTCGCGCCATGGGAACCACTCTCCAAAGACTGTCGCGACTGCGCCATCGCCTCCCATGAAGCCTATACATACCTCGTCCCCGCAAAGAGCTCGTTCAGCCAGCACAAGAGCCCCAAATGGCCACTTCCCCAGACCACACAGTCCTACTAGCATCATGCAGGCCCAAAGACAAGCAGATTCCATGTCTCAGCCATTCCATCAATCCGGCCCTCATCAGCCTCCGCACATGTCTCAACACAACGCCGCGCCAGGCTTCCGTCCGTTCCAGTCATCTCCACAGTCCGCTCAAGAAGAGCATCAGCCATACTCCGGCCATGCGCCATCACGTCCTAACAGTCAACCCATGCACGCTCACCTCGATCAGGAGTTGCGAAATCGTCAAGACATGCACGACCGACCTCCACCGCGCCATCCCTCCGCTTTCCCACCATACGTCGACCACATGGGTAGACCTGGCCCTTCGTCGCAGCCACCTTCGAGACCTGACCTCGAGCGTCAGGAGCTCAACGGACACGGACACAATCAGTTCGCCCAAACCATGTCGCATACCGCCCGCTCCACGCCTGTACCCCCACCTCCACCTCAGTCGTTCAGCCGTCTCAACTTTGGTTCTGCGCGAGAAGAGTATCCTGGTCTGTTCCGACCCGCAGTACAGATGCCGAGCAGGGAAGAGATGGAACAACGCGGCCCGCATAACGAGATGCTTGGTCGACCGGAACACCGACATACGCCCACCATGAACGGTATGGATGACCGGCAACGGCCAAATGCTGCACACTACGCCATGTACGGTCCGCCAGGTTATGAAGCCCGAGAAGGAGAAGAACACCCATTGCAACGAGCCTTCTTGGGCGTGGCATCTGAGATTAGACACAAGAATGGACGTGCATCGCCGCTACCGCAGGCAGTCCATGGAGCACAACCACGTCATACCGGTCCTGGAGCAGATCCTGGTGTCAAAAGTGAGTTTGGTCGAATGTTTTCGGGTCTCGGCAGCGGTGTTGGTAGTAATACTCCCACAGCCGGCATCGCAACCCCTTCACGCGGCAGTCCAGCCAGGCAAGTCGATGCCAACGACGATGCCGATAGCAGAAAGGCTCGAAGCAGGTTGAGAGAAGACAATCGGGAAGACAGCGACAGTGTGGACGGTAGAAATACTCCGACAGCCAGCCAGAGGAGCAGCAAGCGACCAAAGACGGCGCATCCACCACCGCATCACCACCACCATCACGCCCACGCTCATCAGTAAGTTTCCCTAGAATCTTTCTCTTCTAAGNCGACCACGCTGATGCTGACAAGACCCTCTAGCCATCACCACCATCATCACGGCTTGCCAGAAGAGCAAATGCCTCACGCCTCTGCTCCCTTCCATCCTCTTCGCTTCCCATCTAATGCTAGTACACCACAACAAACTGCCGCCGCCGCTGCTCCTCATCACCACCACCATCACCACCATCACGCCGTTCATGCCCATCCAGCTCATCACCACCATCACGGCGTGCGACCTCCGCCTATGCCTTCGACACGCAAACCTCAAACGACCATCTCCAATCAGGAGTTACTTGCATCCGTCTCGGCGTTGCCCCAAAAACATCTCGGTAGTCAAGTTTACTCCACCAAGCTCAGCCTGCCTCCAAGAGAATCTACTCCACTTGACTTCAAGTATCACTTCAAGAGCTCTGTCAAGCCAATTCCACGCTTCGAAGACAAGGCGAATTGCACTTTTACCGTGCGTGTACCGCGCGCTTACCTTGGTGCCTCTAATGACATCGAGGAAGACAGTGATACTGTCGCTGGCGGTCTCGAGGAGATATGCAAGACTCGCGCAGTCTGGGGATCAGATGTGTATTCAGATGACTCTGACCCCGTTGCTGCCGCTGTTCACTCGGGCTGGCTCCGTGGTGACTTTGGCGAATACAACGATGATCTCCGCGAGCTGTTCAAAGAGGGACAGGCTGACGACGCCTCAGAGACTCCAGATCTAGGCAAGCTGTACACGGAGAAGCCTACAAAGCCACTGCGCGCAATGTCAAAGGCAGACTTGCACATTACGCTTCTGATTCTGCCAGCGCTCACACACTACACAGCCTCGACGCAGAACTTCTTGCGCTCTAGGGAGTGGNGGTCAGATCACGATGGTGTCAGCTACATGATCCACTCGATCGAATTTGTAAAGGAAAGCACATCCAACAGATTCGCCGAGCGCAGCGCAGCGGCTAAACACCAACGTATCAAGGATGATTTGGCACGTAGAAGAGAAGCAGCGGAAAGTCTGCTCGGCTTGCTGCAAGGATCGAGAGGCATCATGACGCCCGCGAGCTCAAATGTCTCTGTTGGCGCATGAAAGTATTGTAGTAGTCTTATGACCGAAAAGTAATGTCATTATACCAATTCCAATTCCTTCTTTGCAAGAATAGTTTTCTGATCATTAGACGTTCCTTGGTCTCTCTGCGACGAGAAGTATTCTGCAAGCACACGTATGATATTAGCTGCTTTCAGTTAGCGTGTGAAAAACTATCACGTGCGGAAGAGGTGCCTTGCTCAGCATTGTCCGATCTACGTTGCACTGTAGAAGGAATGTCGAAGATTGAATCGATTGAGGAGTGAGATGGTAGATAATGTATCACCTAAGATATGTCAGATCGCCATGCACGTTGGACCGTATAACTTCGAAGTATCAAAGATCACACACGTTGATCCAAGAGGTTTCGACTTGATGGTTGTGATGAATGCCATGGGTAAGATATGTACGCACGTCATGCTTCAGTGATGGGCTGGTCAGAGAGATCTCATATGTTTCCGTAGCAGTCCTGTTGCCGAGGAAGACGAGGGAGCTTGGTACAAAGGATATTTAGTGAGAAACCCGGCAATGTACGGAGGTTTGGAAGAGGAAGAGTCTGGGTGGCCGTTCATGATGTTGGAACCTCAAGGCTGAAAGTGATATCGGAAGAATCTGTTGGTTTGGTTTGATGTGATGAAAATTGCGGTACGGGAGATCTTTCTGGAGAGGAAAGCATGAAGAAAACACAAGAAATATTAATACCATGGGTCAGATGCGTCGATTGGCAGACGAGCGTATCTGTCTGATACAGCGGTAAGGTGTAAATGCCATACTGAATCCTTGAGGGGAGCTTGACATGAACACGCGGAGAGGAAAATCGGATCTCAGTGTCAAATGTGGCATTAAATTTCTACATAAGGGAGGCACAAAAGAAAGGGAGGAGAGAATAATTATTTCTTGCCAGCTTAGGTAACAGCTTTCTGCTCTCCTCCCCAAACAACTGGATCCAGGACCTTNGTTTGCCANACACCGACCTCTGAATCCAGGTTCAACTCCTCCTTCACGAAACAANNGAAAGACAACACCAATAAAACGCCAAAGAATAGCCGCAGAGGCGGTTGCNNATTGGCTCTTAGAAAGAGCAATGCAAGCGACTTATGAAAACCAACCCAAAATCCAGAGGACAAGGATATTGCTTTTCTGTAAAGTGGNACAGCCGCACTCAAGCCATAATATATCAAATTCTCATGAGCATTTATAAAAATGTTCNNATGATCATAACGCTCGTTAGCAGTCAGCAAAAAACTGCATCCAGTCCTCCTCGTTTTTCCCACAGAGTAATTCGGTCTAAGGGGTATTCGCGGGAGTGTCTGGAGCAGGCGAATGAGCGCCATACCCACATATGTCCGGTCCGTATCCGGTTTCCAATAAAGTTGCTGCAAAACACAACACAGTGCTTCGGTGTGTAGGTGATGATCTGGGTTCTCTCTTTTCTGAGAGATGTCTTCTCGGTGTACGCGTGTGCGAAATTCGTCTTCCAGGCATCTCGTGTTGGCGTCTTGTGGAATGTGCTTCATCTCGTTTGGCGGTCCAGGCAGAGCCACATGACGGGCAAACGAGCACCAAAGTGCAAGCCAAAGAACGGCAAGACGAGGACAAGAAGGCCAAGCCAGACGTTGCGTAAGCAGCAAGAAGCAATGTCGCAGAACAAAGAAAGAAGCGAGAAAGCATACCTACACGGCGGTATCTGAGAGGGCAGCGGGTANTTTGGAATCGTCGGNTAGAGGGGCGGGATGGATGGGGCTTCGAGTACCGGAACATTACCAATGTCGAAACTACGACTCTCATCCTTATATTGTCTCTCCTTCTCAACCAGCCTTCAGCTCAACTGCCAATTTGTATGGGCGGGCGAAGCACCAAGAAACAAGAGGGAGGGCGAGGCATGGGAGGAGTGGCAGAAGCCACTACCGGAGAAGACGGATGTGAGGAATTTCGACAACGCAAAAGTCGAGCGCGCCAAAGCTGCAGCTCGAGACACACATCAAGAGAGAGCACAACACAGTGGCGACTCCGATCAATAAAAACAGTTTTTTTGTTAACATCAGTTTGTAACGTGCACCGATCTGTCCGAAAACAGATCATCACGCTTCTTTTCTCCTGCGGAGGAGCGGCAGCTGATTGATGTGATCAAAAACAGAGCAGCATCAACTCGGGAGGAGGAAGAGAATGGGACTCTGGAACACCAAGCCAGGTCTGAGCATATTTAAAGTCTCCCTATATGCAGGTGTCGACAATACCCGTAGCCCACGGGTGACTCAGAAGATCTCACGCGGCCAACGGAGTTCAAAAGGTCATATGTGGGCCGATAGCAAGCTATCACCGGGCATGATCGGCGAATGGATCTTGTGGTTGCAAATGAGTGTTACTCCTTTGCGGACTGGTGGGAGAGACGGGAGATGGATCTTCTGCAAAGTTGCCATGACTGCTGGCACGAATGTGTGTAGGTCGTCGTGTTGCAGCTTCGACATTCTGAGCGCCAACAAACCCAACCTTTTCGCTCGGGCTAAAGCCAGAACTCAAGATGGGTGACGTGACGCCGGGATAGTCGGAGAGTTGGAATTTGCGAGGCGAAAGGGTGTATGATTGGCCATTAAGACGATTTGCTGAATTGTCGCTCGTTTCTACAGTCGTAGCGCTGGTTGCTTGTTCGTAGGTGGGCACTCGCGAGGAGATCGAAGAACTTCTGCGAGAGAAGCTGGTGCGTGAAGCATGTGTCGCAGAGAAGCTCTGCGGCGGCATGCTCTTGAGCTCTCGAGGGTACTGATCGGCTGGTGCTGTTTCCTTGCCAGCGTGAGCCAGCATGTAACCAGCTCTGATGAGTCCGATGAGCACAATCAGCACCCAGATGATCAACACGCAGGTTGAAATGATGGCTTCTTGTCTCACAGCCTTTTCCAGGTTACGAACAACAAACAGGACAGCGCGAGAAATCTGGTCGCCTGCATTGATAGTGTCTGGTTCAGCAAGCATTGAGCTGTTGCCCGAAGATGTGTCGTTGATCTTGTCCATGGTTCCAAGAGAGAAAGTGTCGTTTCTGACCATTGGGAAGTCAACATGAGCATGATCACTGACCCAGGTCAAGGCTTTTTGAATGCCTTCGATCTTGAGTGTGATCAAGCAATTCACCACTTCTTGAACAGGATTTTCAAGGATCGTGCCACCAAAAGTAGCGTTGATCGCATCATTCATCCCATCGACAAAAAGGTTGAGAGTGTTGTTGACTGCCCCAGTCGTGGTATTGACCCAGCCAAAGATGTCTTCGTTGATTTTGGTGTTTGTCGTATTGATGACGTGGTTGGTCTCAACAGCCCACGCTAGGGAAGCATTGTTGAGTGACCATTGCACCTTGTCAGCGAAAGCATCCACTTTCTGGGTAAGCTCTGGGACTTCTTTNTTGATCGCCTGGAGTAATATGTATTGACAGAGGCAACCAAGAAGTCCGGCAATTGCAAGGCAAAGAACGAACAACGCTGGTGTGGTTGTAGCATATGCAACTGACCACCTCACAAGTGTCCGCGCACGGATTGATGAAAAGTTGTTCGAAACTTTGACACCAAAGTCGGCCGTGTATGGACGTGAGACAATGTAGACAGCGTCCATGGGGTCGTTGATATGCTTGATAGCTCTTGCTCGTTCTTCTTGTAAACGCCAGCGACGGATCTCTCGGTAGGCCATGGGGACACAGGCGAGAATTGCAGCAATGATGAGGACTGAAAGGAAACCCTTCTTGGCAAGCGTTATGACGTCCGCGAGGTCATCAAAGAAATCGTTGATGCCATCGTCGTCGGAGCAGAACGTGAGCTTTTCCTTTGGTGGGACACGAAACAATGATCGATCCATGGTGTACTTGCCCATAGATTCATTGAGCAGTTGCTTGACCCCTTCGAAGGGGAAGCGAAGTGCCGTGTTTGTTGCATTGTGGACTTCAGCAAATGTCGGAATGGAGTCGTTCAGTTTATCCAGCCCTTTGTCGTATCCAGAAGGAAGTTGCAGTGAGTCTAGTTTGGCGATTGATGAGTTCAGGTCGATGTCCGGAACGTTGACATTTTTTCCAGTGAAAAAGCCGCCAACATCCTCAATCGCGCCAGTAAACTTGTTCATGGCTTTNTGAAAGTCTTCGACAGCATCACCGAGTTCGGTGCCTACACCCTTGGCGGTGGAGCTCAGAAAATCTCTAACGTCTTCTGCAACATTAATGGCAACGTGTAAGCTGCCACCAACGGCAAAGGTGAATAGACAGATGTAGGTAGAGGTGAGGAGGTTGATGTAGAATACAAACACCTCCTCGAGGACGGTGACACTGAGAAGAAGCATTGACATCAGCCCGTTGATGGCCTTCTCGATTCCAGATGCGGTGAGTTCATTCACCCCAGACGACATGTAATGAGGCATGCTCGCCATAGCGCTTCCGACATTTTCCACGCCAGTGCAAGCAGAGAGAGCTTCTCTTTTTGCGGAAGTTAAGTTGGTGTTTACACTTCCGATGGCGAGTAGTGCCCGTATCAGGACGAGAAGGATCAGAATTGTCCAGCGGTTGATCCAAACCTGCGAGAGCCTAGCTCGAGGACCAAGGTATGGTGTTAGGTATGATGTTTGATCGGAGGACGGTCGTGGTACATCTTGCGTAGCGTAGTAGTTCCGCATCTCATGGTCGCCAGCGGATAGAGAAGGAGGCGCAGCCGGAAAAGCATGCTGTTGGTTCTCTGCGGAGGACATGGTTGGGGGAATGAGGCGTGAATATCTGACCAGCAAGATAGGCGTTAGTGGATGGTAGAGCACGAAGAGTGCGGCGCGAATGTTCAAGTCTGGATTGCTAGAAAGTTTGTATGTACAATACAATCAAAAGTGATTGTCGGCAGAAGTGAAGATATGAGGATGAAAGGAAGACAATAGCGAAGTCGATTGCGGAGCGCACGAGAATAAAGACAATGACTGTTTTTGAATGACAACAAAGAGACACATGCATTGGCTTACCTGGTTGTCGGTCATGGCCCAGTCGTGCGGCCACAGACCTCGCTGTCTGAGACTTAGAGCATGGCTCCAAGTCAGCAGTTTCACGCGCCATTCCACTCAATCCAGTCTCTATTCTGGGATATGGGAGTTGTTTCCTGCTAGAGCGCTTAGCGCCCTGTAAAGGAAAAGTTGACGGATTCGTGAAGCTGCAAGTCAGGTCTTTGATTGGGCGGTTAGAGCAACGCGCATGCGCGAACAAAGAACCACCCAACCCAAAGCCCTCACGTTTTGCCTATTTCAATACACCGAGGCATATCTAGCAGGCAAAACATGTTGACTCAGTTGTCGTTAGCAGGGCGATTCCGTATCTCGCCCTGGGAGACTTCCCGTTCACGCACGACGGCGGGTTTGAAGACGAGAAGCCCGAGAGAAAAACATCAGCGCCTCGCTGCCGCTTTATCGAAATACACGCTGACGTTTTGTGGCTGGGCAAGGCAAGGAAGCCTGCTTGTACGCCACAAGTCGCGCACGTGCCAACGACTCGACTTCTTCCATCTCCCAGAAGCTTGCCCTCCAAAACCATCCTATCAAATTGCACAAACTTTTCCTGAAATTCATACTGCCCAGTGAGAGGCTCTGCCATGCTGGACTTTCAATGGAACACGCAAGAACCAAGAGAGATTCATGACTTTTGATGGTAGGCTGATACACTTACTATTGCTCAGGAAGTCAAGCACGTATCTGCTTTGCTCAGCAGCCTGATGGACGTCTCTCCTGGACCCCTAGTCAGACTCTCGGCTTCGCGAACTGCTCAGAAATGACTGTCGAAACTCAGGAAATTTTCCAATCGGTTAGCCTGTCCGTGGAGACCCTTTTTTTAACGCCTCCAGGCTCATCAATCGTTCCTGGATCTCAATATGGCGACAATGTTCTTGACCTCCGTATAGACACACAATAGTGTTCGAATTGCTTCTCTGATATTGGAAGCTATATGGATCTACCCCTGACTGCTCCGGGCTCATCACTCTGTCGTCGAACTCCTAGTTTGCCGATGATGTCACCAGACTCAGTCGAATTGCACGATTCTATTTGAGTGAAGACAGTGAGAACTGGAATTTGAATTTCCTCAAGATTTTCTTACCATCCCTCAAGATAAGTCATGGAAAAACACGATACGGGTGATGGCGAAATGCGACATCAGTGACAGAAACAGTGAACAGAAAGTGACAGCCAAGTGAATGGCATGTGCAAGCTCAGTGAACGCCTAATACTGATCAACAATGAATTAAGTGAGCAACCGAACAATAGACATCACATGGCATTCGAATCGCTGCCTGGTCGTCGCTGCCTCATGTGACCTCATATAAAAACCCGCGTTCGAACCTCGATCAAACCATTTCTTTTACACTGACGTCCACCATGCATTCCTCCACCAAAAAGTGGAAGGCTCCCCGGGTCAAGGCCCGCGAGGAGGGCCAACGCAAGCTCAAAGCCAGAAAGCACATATGTCCTGAATCGCCCTTCTTCACGGAGCATTTCAATTTCCAACAGCACGATACAAAGATGCTCAAGGAGAAGGAGATGTATCTTGAGCGACTTGTACCCGTCCACATCCCAGTCGAGCCTNTTCAGGGGATGATCTTCGCCCCCGTTGTGCTTGAGGTCTTCGACGAAGACTATCAATACAACGATCCTTCATCTCTCGAGGGCAAGTTCTTGCAGACTTCGTGCAGTCCGGTACTCTGTATGCCCACCGTCTGGCAGAGAGACTTCGATCAGAACAAATACTTCGTGTACCCGGCCAACGCTCACACAACCTCCACCGTCGCCCTCTTCCCTTCCACTCAGGAGCTGAAGTTCGAAGGCAATGACAGAATCGCAACCAGCATCGATCACCGCCGTTACTTCCCTGCACCTCGTCATCCATGCAACCAAACCGTTAATTGGACTGTCCGCCCATATCTGAAGCCTCATCAGTTTGACCAGATCCTGGAGAGCCACGCTCCCACTGAGGAGGAGATCTTCACATACGATTGGGAGATTGGTCTCCCCAACGATGAAGATCTTCAGGTCGGTCGTCCAGTTCCAGTCAACAAGGAGAATGGCAATTCTGGCGATGAAGACGTCAACAATGACGATCCTTACGATGGTATCAAAGCTACTCGCCTGCTTGGTCACGACCTCCTCGCAGCTCTCGACCCCAAGAACGTCTATTTCTGACAGACGTCGACTTAAAAACCTCGTCGTTCACGACCACCAGACTTGAATCACATCTCTACACCTTGAGTCCGACTTCTCAGGTCTCGACCTGCATCTACATCCTCGTCCCTACCAAGATTCTCTGCAGACTCAACACATCATTGGTCTCGCCATCTATCCCATCTACCCTCGACCTTTCCCCTCATACCCATCAACATTTTACTACATCTCGAATTGTCATTAGACTCAACGTTCATGGCCCCAGGACTCACGACTTACGATTTACGACTTATGACTTACGACTTGCGATCTCATGCTCTTGTCATTTCAGTTCCTTTCCCGTTACACAACGCGTTGTTTTTGCATCTGGCGCACGCTTCGAACGCGAAGCTCGCCCATTTGAATGCTCGAATGCGAGCATATCTCTGGTTTTTTCTGCTTTCCATTTCATGATTCTTATTCTCGGTACTATGATACCCATCTAGCGCAAATCGAAGAAACGTCTTCATATTTTCAGTATTTACATTCTCTCGTCATCATCAGTACATTTATGACGTTTTCCAGTGACTGTAGACATTCAAGATCACGTCTCTCAGTGGATGTTACTCCGCTCGCAAAAGCATTGTGCATTTTTATAGGACACAACATAGCTATGCACTAACAGGAAGAGGCAGACACGGCTTGTTCATAAATATTCTCCGGTCCGGCTCTCACATGCAAACATATGATGAGATGGTGCACCGTCGAGATTTACGATAATATTCGAATCGAAGCATCGTCCATGGAAACCATTGCGGAGGAACGCCTCTTAGTGGAGACAGTCCCATCACCAAGCCTACCGTGCATTTTTATAGAGCTACATACTTCCGACGTACGAGGAGGGGAGTTAAGTAATAGATGGTGGAAATAAAGACAGGGTGCTAGAAGCAACAAGCTCAACCTGATGACGAGGCGTGGCATGTGAAACGTACGTCATCAAGACCATGAAACTCCACTTCCCCCTCTCCAGATCTTCACGTTTTGATTAACCTTTCCTACCTTGATCTATATGCTCTAGACAATCTATACATCAATATGAGCATGTTCTCAAAACTTCCGTGGAGCTCAGGCGGCGAGCAACAACAACAGCATGAAGAAGAGCAATCCCTCACGTCAGTGCTGCCGACGCCGCAAGCACGCAGCGATCTCACCTTGCTGGTCGCCAATTGCACCGAGACTATGAGAAAGAACATCACCGACACCTTTGATCCCGACCAGGTTGGCAAGATGGAAGACATGATGTCGAAGCTCAAGATGGACGAGAGCGCTCAACAATCCGACAACGCTACAGACGCCGCAGCAACTGGAGACTCGACTGAAAAGACAGACGAAGAAAAGAAACGAGCAGAAGAAGACAAAAAACGAGCAGAGGAGAAGGCCAAGAAAGAGCAGGCAGAAAGAGAAAAGGAATTGAGTGGACCTAAGATGCAAGAACTGCAAAAGGCAGCACTACAACACTTTGACGACTGGCGTGATTCTGTACTGCTACGTATTGGAGAAGTCGTCAACCAGCGTGAGGAGGCAGTTTCTCAGAAGAAGGAAGCACATGCACAAACAACCCATGTGCCACCCAAGAAAGCACCAGAACCGTCCAAGTACGACGAAGGGGTTAGTAAGGCACTCAAGGAGTTATGTCCACCCACAAAGACTCCACTTGCAGAACTCGAAGAACAGCATCGTGCTTTGATCCTCCATTCGGTTCTACTATTGCTGCTGAGTCTGGAACACTACTCGGCTCATTCACGCGTATTGCTTCTGCATCTGACGAGTAGCTTGAATCTGTCCATCAGCTTCTTGGCTGGCGATGAGAGCAAGATTGCTCGGGGATTGCTCTCTGCAGTCGAGATGAAGGCCGATGATGAGACAAAGAAAAAGCAGGAAGACAACCAGAACTCGAGAAAATGGAAGGTTGGTCTAGCTTCAGTAGCTGGTGCAGCTTTGATCGGAGTCACTGGTGGTCTTGCAGCACCTCTAGTTGCTGCTGGTATCGGTTCGGTTATGGGCGGTCTCGGTGAGTTCAGTCTGTCGCGTCTANCCCTTCGAGTTGCTTATCATCATCCAGGTCTTGGAGCTACTGCAGCGGCAGGCTATCTCGGCGCCGTCGCTAGCAGTTCCGTCATTGTCGGTGGCCTCTTCGGTGCTTACGGTGGTCGTATGACTGGACAGATGATGGATGCATACGCCAAAGAGGTCGAAGATTTCTCCTTCGTCCCTGTCCGCACCTACCACAAACCTCGCAAGATCGACAAGGAATATCGTCGTCTGCGTGTCGCCATCGGTATCTCTGGCTGGTTGACCGAGAAGGACGAAGTCGTCGAACCTTGGAAAGTCATCGGCCCAGAGATGGAAGCCTTTGCCCTTCGATTCGAACTACAGGCTCTACTCAATCTTGGAAACTCACTTACGACTATGATTCGCTCAGCAGCATGGGGATATGCAAAGAGCGAGATCATCAAACGCACAGTCTTCGCATCTCTCACCGCAGCACTCTGGCCACTGGGCCTTCTAAAGGTCAGCAGAATAATCGACAATCCTTTCAGCGTGGCCAAATCGCGTGCAGATAAGGCCGGAGAAGTTCTCGCAGACGCACTCATCAACCGCGCTCAAGGAGAGCGTCCAGTAACACTCATCGGCTACTCTCTCGGTGCTCGTGTCATCTTTACTTGTTTGAGATCTCTGGCAGCAAGAAAAGCATTTGGGCTTGTTGAGAATGTTGTTTTGCTTGGTGCACCCACTCCTTCTACCGCAGCTGACTGGCGTCTCATTCGTGCTGTAACCACAGGAAGGGTTGTCAACGTCTACTCTACCTCCGACTACATCCTCGGCTTCCTCTACCGCTCGTCAAGTATCCAATACGGTGTCGCAGGTCTGGAACCAGTCTCTTACGTTCCTGGCGTACAAAATGTCGATGTCACAGATCTCGTTGCCGGAAACCACACTTCGTACCGCTACCTCTGCGGTCGTATCCTCCGTAAGATTGGCTTCGAGGATGTCGACCTCGCTGCTGTTGAGCAAGAGGAGAAGGCACTTGAACAAGCAACCAGGGCAGAAGAACAAGAACGGAAGCAGAACGAAGCCAGTACTAAGGAGGGAGCAAGTTCAGAAGCGGAAGTCAAGGAGATGGAAGGCAAAGTGCAGCAAAAGAACGAGGCATCCATGATGGACTGGGCGAGCGAGAAGTTCAAAGCTGGTGGCGCTTCAGCATCGAGCGCGGCAAACCAAGCAAGAGAATGGGTACAGAGGACTGCCAGTCCAAGAAGTGCAAACCAGGGTGCAAGCAAGGATGTCGGCGGTGCAGCTGGGGCTGTTGGGAGCAGTTTGATCTGAGTAGTGTCTAGTCATTCGATTTTTTTGAATGAAGAATGTCTTGATGACTTCCGCTCACTGGTCGGGGAGGGAACGCGTCACTTGATAGGAAACGCCAAGCTATTCGGTATGTCCACCACACTTTGGTCAAGCGCAAACATTCTTTCCTCTTCTCTCCTCTCGAGACTTTGAGTGTTGCAACCTCGCTCCGCTTGGTTGGACCTCTTGGTTCTTCACTCCCTTTTCCTCCTCTTCAAGCGTTAGGTGTGCCTTCCTGCTCGTACTGGTTGGACCTTATAGCTTCCTACTCTCTCGCCCTCTCTACCAAGACGCGCTCAACAAAATGTCCTTGCCTCAGCCACCCCAGACCCCTCAGGCCCTCAGGCCCCTCGTGGTCAGCGTCGTCCCATGTTCCCTCCCTGGAACCCTGACCTTGCGAAGGAGACATTGAAGGCGCCTATGCCTTAGTCGCACCGACCCCGAGAACGCCGCCGTTATCCACAAGATTGACCAGCATCCTGCTCTGGCTACAATGCCTCCTGGTCCTCATGCACAGTCCTTCGTTCGCGTGCGCGCTTCCAATCAGCTGGTCCCCGGCCCTTACAAGAACCAGTACGTTGTTACATTGCCATCTCCATCAGGTCTTCCCTGCTAACCGTCCAAAAGGCTCATGGGTTACTATTGGGGTGGCAACCGTAACATATCTGTAGGCGACAAGAGTGAATATGCACTCCACAGACCCGATTTTACCAAGATCCAGAATGTATGCAAGATAAAGAAGTCCTGGACTGACCTCAAGCTCAACGGATCTCTCCTGGTTGCCATCGAGAACATGGGCTACGCAAGACCCCTCCCTCTGGAGAAGGTTCTCATTACAGCTGTGCAGGAAGGTGTTTCAGCATTCATTTCTGGCAGTTCTGGTAAGTTTTACATCTTGCGCTTTGAGATTCGACTCCTGATACTATTGCCTTAGGTCGTGCCAAGACGACTGCCGCATCGATTGCCTCCATTAATGTCGTTATGAAGAACCTTTTCTTGATGCCTCTGCCCCACCAGACAATTACTTACAGAGGTTGCGCACCGATCGTCCTCATGGTCGTCCCCTCACACGATCTTGCTGAGGCTGCATATGCAAACATTGTCAGCTTCCTCATCAAATCGGAGGCTGGCCTCAACCATTATGTCAATCCCGTCGCTGTTCATGGAGGCATCAACCACGCCACGAACATGAACCTGCTCCGCGAGTGCACGAATGCCAGCATTGTTGTTGGCATGCCTGGTAGACTTGTAGACATGGTGAAGAGAAACCTTATCAGCTCGGGCAACCTTCGCTTGTTTGTCGTTGACCAGGCCTTCACCTTGGCTGGTGGCTCCTTCTCTCATGATAGAGATTACATCAAGCAGTGGGCTACCGACCCATCCGCTGCCCCGACCCAGGAGACGTGGTCTCACTACACAGCTCCAGCTTCCACAACCGCGACTGGCCCTCACCGCGGCACTAATGTCGTTCATCGTCTTGCTCCCGCCGACTTCAAGCCCGAACCTGTCAACCCCAGACCTAGAGCTCAGGTTCCTTGCATCATCCTCTCCCCGATGCTTGATCTTAGATCGCCCAGAGATGCCGCCCTGCTCCATCACTACCACAAGAAGATGTCTTGACCAGACAGATGATGATCATCCGTTTCAACGGCGATCCTCTTCACGACTTCCATCCCGCCGCTCCTGAGACTGTTGAGCCTGCTCCTGAGACTACTGAGCCTGGTCCTGATACTGTGGATGCCGCTCCTGCCACTGCCGAGTCTGGCGCTTCTGACACTACTGCTCACGTTCTCGTCCCTGCTCACGTTGGCACTGTCTCTCCTGGCGCTGCTACTTCAGTCCCTGCTCGCAAAGGCTCCGGCACTGTCCCTCCTGGCAATATCACTACTTCAGTTGCTGCTCGCAAAGGCTCTGGTGCTGCCGCTTCTGGCGGTGTCGTCTTGGGCTCAGCCCCTCGCAAGTGGACCCACGAGGAGCTTATCCAGATCATGGACGAACGCCTTGCTCGCAATTAAGATCAAAGCGGCTGAAATCAGGTAGTCATGCTAGAAGAAAAGCCTCTCTCAGTGCTTTCAGTGTAGTCGTTCATAGCAATAAGACCTCCTGCATCTACCCTTTTCGTGTTTTTCTCTCGCTATAAAGACAACATTTATGGACATAGTGGCGAAGAGATCGGTGCCGCTGTGACATTGAGTGAGATGGGTTTAGTAGCGTTCACAGGCGCTGCTTTCCATGATTTGCATTACTTACTTCGAGAGCGACATAAAATTATCACATTGAATGTGAAAAATTTAGTATGGGAACAACACTGTTTGCTCTAAGCTTTTTATCGGCAACCATTGATGGTTGTCACATTGAGTGTGACACCTTTCTCATTGGTCCTCTCCGTTTACAAAAGGCTGTGGGAAAAGCAGCTGTATAAATACACAACACTTCGTAGAAGGTGGCGAGACCCATTGAGAGTCGAAATCTCACGGTGTCTCTGTGGCCACGGTTCTGAGTCAGCAGCATTTGTGCATTTCTATAGCTTCACCACTTTCGGGTTTCTATTGTGAGAGAGACACCGATCATGAGATGGTGATGATATGGCACACTAGGAAGGTGCATATCAAGTCCTCAACACACAAGTCACGAGCAAAAATCATTTTGGGGTAATATCCATATTGTTGAACTGTTCTACACTGCTAAAATCCATGCATGCTTCTTGCTCCAATATCGATACAAGGTCGATCTCTAGCTAAACGTCGATGGTAACTTCGCGAGCACCTGAGCTGGTGAGGTCGAGCGTGGCAGGACCGACCACAGGGCTAGGTCTGGCGGTGCGGTTGACGGCGGCAGGAACGACAGGAGCGGAGAGCTGGCGATGAGGTGCTTCATTCATTTTGTTGTGGACTCCATCAACAAAGGAGGTCTCCACACGAGGGGCAGGGACGGAAGCGGCGAGGCCCTCATACTCGTTGTCATGCTGAACAGTAGACGAGACGGAGGCAGGACGAACACGTGGTAGAAACAGAGCTTCGTCGACAGACTGAGCAGTGGATGAGACGGAGGCAGAACGAACGCGTGGTGAAAGGAGAGCGTCATCGCCAAGCTGCTGGGAGTCGAGAGAGGGCGTGGCCCAAAGTTATACTGAGCGCCGAGGTCAGACTGCTAGAAGCCGGAAGAGTGTGCAAAACCATGCTGATCGTCGAGGCCAGACTGCTGGTAACCGGAGGTCTGTAAAAAGCCCTGCTGAGCGCCGATGACGGGTTGATGAGGGCCGAAAGGATGTGCAAAGCCATGCTGAGCGTGAGGGTTGGCGAAGTTCAAGATGTTGGGGATCTGACCAAAGCCGTAGATGAATGGCATGGAAGGACCTTGGCTGCGATCTTGACCTGCGCCGGCGGCCTCAGCGTCGACGATGCGAACGATTAAGTCATGAAGGCATTCTTGTGAGCGCTCGTACACGTTGAGCGCGTGGATGATGACCTGCGAGGTGGCCATGATGGAGAAACTCGGACGTGACGCAGGATGAACGATGCGCAAAGTCAAGATGAAGAGACTTGAATGAGACGCAGGGTGAACGAGCGCAAAGCCAAAGTGGAGGAAAGAAGAAAAAGCAAAAGGAAAAAAGGACGCAAAAGAAAGTGTGAATGAAGTACAAGGGTAGAGATGCTAGAAGGGTGAAAAAGCGAGGATAAAGTGGGAGGTGGAAGGAAAAGTCAACAATGAAGACGCGGCAACAAGTCAAGACCAACAAACTCACAAAACCGAACCTGCTCCCTCCGTACGTCGAATTGCAGTGAGCACAGCTGCTTTCCTTTTATTCGTTTTCTAGACATTGACAATGCCTCAATGCTAATGTACTCTGATGGTATACTGTTTCCCCAGTCACCAGTATGGAAGTGAGATTGGGTGCAAGTTAACCCTGCCCCTGCCCCTTTGGTTACCTTGTTTCTCCCCGCATACTAAGCATGATGATAGGATACTATAGAAACACACGATACTTTCCAACTCAATGTGACCCCCAAGGAGATATATCAGTTTCAAGCTGTCTCTGTGGCATGAGTCTGATGCGGTAAGCAATCGTGTGTTTTCATAGTATATTGTAACACTACTCAATAAGTATGAAGCTATCCGTATCTGCTTGGCCCGATTTCTTCTGGTCGTTCATCCCACGGTAGCTCTAGCATCTCAAGCAACTTCAACGTCTCTAAATACAGCTATGGAAAGTCACAGTACCTTCCAGAATTGCGATCTGGCCACCGAGAGGCCACCATTAACCATCTTCGCCTGCCATCTTGCACTCTGCCGAGCAGTAATGACCCCATTGACCTCCTTGAACTTTCGTGTTGTCGCAACTTTTGCGGGTACAGGTCAAAACCTTACCGGGGTTCTTAGTGTTTCGCTTGGATTTGGCCTTCATGATGGCCTTCTTCCTCTCATCGTCTGCAGTTTTGCATGTCTTCGAACAATACTTGCCGTACTTCCCACCCTTAGGATAGTGGCCCTGGCATGGCGGATTATCACACTTCCTGTAATTTGGGACGTCAGGGGTTCCCGGTGTTCCCCATCATCGGATCCTTGTAAGAATGCCTGTCTTGCTGTTCGCTTCGCTTCTCGCTCTGGGACGGTCGCCTCCTTGCATTTTTTTAGAACAGTAAAAGCCGTACTTGGTACCCTGTGCAGCATGGTTATGGCACCCTTCCATTCTACACTCTGTAGCCNNAATCTCGCCCGGTTTCGGTACCGCAATAATCGATTGAAGAGTGCGACGAATAGTGTGCGGCTCCTGTTCCTAAAGGAGTCGGCAGATCTTGGAACAACACAAAGATGCACCCGACGGATCGTTGTGGCATTCTGCACGCATGCATTGGTGGTGATATTCATCATGCTTCAATGCTGTTTCATCCACTGCGAGAACGGGTGCCAGTGACTGGAGGCCGACCTTCGTGTTGTTTTTGCAGGACACCGAACAGAAACCGGGAGAGTTTGGTACGTGTGGTACCATTTTTTGACATCCTTCGCGGCGGCAAGGCAATGCAAGCAACTTCCCGACCGCAGTTTTGAGGCTTGCCGAGCTCCGCTTGCAGAAAGCCGAGCAAAAATAACCATGAGGACGACCCACAGGGATATCATTGATACATTCCTCACGGTTGCATGTCTGGTCGTTGAGTGTCTGGTATGGTAGTTCACCTTGTTCAAGTAGCTCGACTGCTTTTTCCGTATTCTCGTTGAAGATCTGGCGGCGGTGATCCTTCTCGACTAATACGCTATACTGCCTTTCGTGGTCGACGCAGAGTCGTTCCATGCCGTATTGACCGTCGGCTGAAGCATCGCAATCTGGAAATGCGCAGTTGATAGTCAAAGTTTCAACTTTGTGGCAGACGGTACAACGACAATTGCATATATCCGGGCAGATGCACGCCATTAGCTCCACACATGGGCAAGAAAGACACGACAAGCAATGCTTGCACGAGCACGCACAGTCGGCATCGTGACCACTCTCTGAACATCCACATGTATGTTTGTCCGCACATTGTACCTCAACCTGCACACTGACCTGACTGTTCAAGAATTCGTCCCATTGCTCGGTGTGAGTCTTGTCGAACGGCCTGGTTGGTACTTTGGTCAATGCAGCGGGAATATGTGCTGACGGTTCACCTTGGAATCTCAAAGCAGACGCACAGGCGTAACTCTCGGCTGCGGAAACTTTGGAGTCGACATAGTCTTGAAGATTTGGTGCACACGGAATCCATAAGACAGGCTTCACAACCGGACAGTTGCGATTGGATGGTGGGCTTCGCCTTTGTTGTTCCAGGACCTGATCAGCAGCGACAAGATTGGGATGGGCCAAAGATCCAGAAAGGTACAAAGCATCTTCGAGAGGCAGTTCAGTGTCATCACTCCAAAGGAAGGACATGAACATATGACCGTAGGTCTCGTGAACGATCCTGAGCAACTCGCATGATTTCGAATTCCGTGAGATCCGGTCAACGGATGTTGAGAGGACGATGGCCTTGGGGATGGATGCCAGTTCCGTCGAGAGGACTTCCAAGAAATCTTCTTTATATGCTGAAATTTCCTTGGCTTTGACGTAAGAGACTGGGATTCCATCTGGCACCAAACTTTCGATGAATCTCTGCTGGCGTAGCAAAGAGGGTTTCACACCATCTCGCTCAGTAGTACCACGAGCAGGCGGTGAAACTCTGCAAACAATAACTGCGACACTAATATCATGTAGCCGAAAAGCTTCGGCGACAATGTATCGCAGGGCATGATACTGCGAATCGTCCTTCTCTGCCGCTGACATTGTGCGTATGATTGCTCGTTTCATGAGGCTATACTTGCCGACCTCAGATGCGGTGTGGCGTCCTATTCTTCGAGTTAGAAGAGATGTCGATACCATTGGCACACCAAACTCACCAATCATGATCTGCTGTTCGATCAGACTTTGCTGTTTCGACACATCGACCCATTCTCTGGACTGATTGCCGACACCTCTCGTCCACCATTGACCCCTTTTCAAGATGATGGCGACCTTATCGGATCTTCTCGTAAGGCGGTCAGGATTCGCAGTCAGGAATACAATTGGAAGGTCGCTGGGGATGCCTGCGAAAACGTTTCTGTCTCGGATCGGATGTTTGTTGGATGAGCATAACTCTATCACAACTGAAATCTTGTCACCAACGGCGGGAGTCTTGAACGGTGCATCGTTGCTGCACAGCATGGTCCAGATTTGTCTCGGAATGGAAGTTCTTGGTGGGGTGCCATCCTCTGTGGATTGGCGGAGGACGAAAACCCATCTGACTGGTATCCTAGTCTTGACCGAAACTGCCAATTTTGGCCCCTGATAGATATCGGAGGTGATCTTGAGAGCTGTTCGGAGTGCTGCCGAAAGCTGTCGAGAAGATTTGCCTCGATACTGCATGCCCGTTACCCTGAACAGATGTTGGCCATCCTGGAGCCTTTGAGGTTGCGTCGTGACCACACGGCTCACCATGGCTACTCCGATGTTCTTGCGTAAGATCTTGATCGATGTGCTTCGCTCAGGTGTGCTAGGCTCATGTTAGATTGACAACAACAGGCAGAACCTCTTGCTGGCAATGTTTTCCATGACATGTACATGCTGTCCGTTGGCCAGAAAGAAGGACGGAGCCAGTGTGCGGACCGAATTTAGGAAACAGGTGCCAGAAAACCATACCCCAATCAAGGCTTGACGCTGCTGTTGCATCTGAACGGTGGTGCAGTATCCAGAGTTTTCGAGCCTGAGAGCATGATTTACATCGTAAACGGCATCGGAACCATTCGTCGAGTGGGGAGATGCAAGGTATAGTTTGAGCGCGGCGACAGTTGTCTGTAGAACAGGGTCTGTAGGTAGNTTGGAGAGCTACCAAAATCAAAAGAGTTAGCATGTAAAGCACCAGACACTTGCTGCGGCCTTACCACTGATATCCTGCCATCTGACACGGTTTCTGGCAAGAAACTTGAGCGTTTGGGAGACATCATGGTGGTTGAGTCGTAAATCTGCCTTCAGGATGTTGGCGATGTCCTGGTACTCGGCTGTAGCGGCTTCGTCATTCCATGCAAGCGGTGTGCACTGGTGGGATGTGGTGGTCAGAAGACAGATCTGTGCATTGCCTTCGTCTGCGACAGCGTATCTGTCGGCTGAATAGGCAGCTAGCGGGTTAATTGTCATGATGATGTTGATATCTCCATCTGGGGTTAACCATGAGCCGACCATGAATCGAGAGCTCATGACCGCGTCTCGAGTCTGTGCTTGAAGGTTGCACCAGTCCACATCAACAGGCAGGATCTGTAGCTCAAAACGAATTTCCGAATTCAGCGTTCGGCAACATGCTCCAGGCTTCTTGAAGTCGATTGTTCGGCCGAGTACTCTTGTGAAGCTTGAATTCAAGTCCTCATGGAAACAATCGATGACTTGACTTTGCGGAGGTATGAGCTCTGCCAGCGTGAACTCTTCCGGGGCGAACTCTTCCTTGATAAAGCATTCTGGGCCAGGCTCGAAAATATCATCGAATTCATCTTCTTCATCGTCAGAGATGATTACTTCAGCGTCTGATTCGGCGGTAACGAAGGTGGCAATGTATTCTTCGTCAAATTCGGATTTGATGCGAGGCGGATCAGGTAGGATTGCTTCCTCGAAAGAAGCCATCTTGGGCACTCATACAGGCGGTAAGGATCAAGTGTGGAAGCTGAGAATGCAGAGGACGACAGATAGGAGAGCTCTCGAGAATTTGGAAACGACAGCCATGACGACTGCGGGCTGCATTGCTTGGTTGGCAATGCGAAAGTAGAAGGCCGTGGGAAGGAGCGATTGTGGAAGGAGCGACGTACCTCAACTTCGAGCGAAAACGACCCTCCAAAAATCTGAGTTCAGATTGCCACGCTGCCCTCGAAAAATTGCTGATCTTGTTCTCAGTGGAAATCAGATGGTCGCGCATTTGAGGTATTAATGATGTGAAGGTGACCTATCAGAAATCCGAATTTGGATGACCATACTGCCTTCAAACAGTTTTGCGCAATTTGTATATCGTTTCGGGCAGAGACGGCGCTTCCAGCAACTAAATCTAGTTAACTAGGCTGCTTTTGAAAGGTTCTTGCGCAATTAGTATATTGTTTTGTGCAGAGATGACCCTTCAGGCATCTAAATTTAGATGAACATGCTGCCAATTGAGTTGCGTTGCGCTTTTGCCATGTCGATTTTGGCGGAGACGGCCCTTTAGGCAACTGAATCTAGTTGCCTCCAAGAAGTTGTTGCGTTCATATATCAATCTCGAGTAGAGACGATGCTTCCAGCAACTAAATCTAGTTGCCTTCAAGAAGTTGTTGCGCTGATATGGCGATTTTGGTGAAGACGATACCTCCAAAATCCAAATCTGAATTACCATGCTGCTTTCGAAGTGTTGTTGCGCTTTTACTATGTCAATCCTGGTGAAGACGGCCCTGTAGGCAACTAAATTTAGTTGCCTTCAGTTGATAAATCAATTTCGAGCAGAGACCATGCTTCTAGCATCTAAACTTAGATGATTGGCCTTCGTTTCAAGTGTGGTTAAGCAATTGCCATGTCAATTTTGGCCAAACGATGCTTCCGAAATCTAAATTTGGATGGCCGTGCTGCCTGTGGAATATGGTCAAGCAATTGCTATGTCAATTTGAGCAAAGACGATACCTCTAGAATCCGAATTTGGATATTTGAACAAATGCCATGTCGATTTAAGCAAAGACGATGCTTCCAGAATCCAAATTTGAATGGCCATACTGTCGTCGAGAATCATCGGTCTTCCTTTCGAGAGCAATTTGATGGTTGCGCAATTGCCAATGTAGATTTTAGCGGAGACGATGCTTCCAGCAACTAAACTTAGATGGCCATGCCGTCATTAAAGGTTATTGGTCTTGTTCTCGAGAAAAGTTCGATGGTTGGAAAGATTTCGAGTGCTTTTTACCGACCCTATGTTTAGAAAAGAAATCAAGTGCTTTTGGCCGACCCTAGGGTTAGAAGGTATCGAGTGAGATGTAGCGGAGAGGGTTACGTTGATAAGAAAACCAAAAAGAAAGAAAAAAAGAGGGAAAAATACGAACAGCCTACATCGCTAAGCAAGCCAATATTCGTTAACCCGGGGTTAAGAGTGCCTCTAAGATATTCTACACAATCATCTGGCGAGTATTCCTTAACCCGGGGTAAGAAATCAGACACCGGCTGCCCAGTTAGTAGTGACCATCTGGATTTAGTTAGATCAGTCATCTTCTTTGCTAGACCAGTTCCCTTGTTTGGACATGTAGCGGGAGTAGAGTTGGTCGTCTTCTTCAGGGTTGCGAACCTCTTCTCACGCAGAAATCTCACGGATGCATGACTTCCCTGGGCAGATGGTTGACGGCATCGCTTGTTTTCAAGTTCGAGTGGTATTAGCGTTTATACAAAAGTTTTCCATATCTCTGGTATTCGTTTCGTAGAGCATGCCAATGCAAAAACCGGGAGAGTCCCGGTTTGTAGGAGTGTGAGTGTTCTACTTGTATGTCACGCCGTGAAGGAAAGTCGTGCACTGGTTATAGGGGTTATGCAAGCTTCACAAATTGAGGGGCTGCTTCGGCATGGTCACGTGCAGTGTTGCCACAGCCGGAATGAGAGAAAATCTCACGCGAACGGCAAAATCAAGCAATCAAAAGTCAATAAAATCCTAAGCCATTTCTCGAAGAAGGGTATGTATTGTTTGAAATTATGCCGAAGCCGCATTCATGTTACATGGTCATCATACAGTATTGCTCCGCTCGGATTCGATGTGCAAGATTCACAGTAGACTATATATTGTTAAATAATACCTCGAATAATTGGGCCTAAAAACCCATTAGTCAATTTGAAACTATACAGAGAAGATTAGCATGGCCCCTGCACTAAGGATGGTGAGTTCGAATCTCTACGACACCAAAACTTTGGCATTTGCTAACTCAGCTCGCAGACACATGCAAACAAGATGACTTACAAATTTTTTGCTCTTCTCCATGCCAGGAAAACGTGAAGAGTGTTCGACGTGTTGTCAGAAAAGAGCAGAGGCAAACGCTGAAGAGTGAAATTATATTTGTATGGGTGGTGAATGGTTTTGGTTCACCAAAATCTAGTCTAGCACGTGGAACGTCTTGGCCAAGCTGGATGCCCAGTCGAGCCAGTTCTGGCTTTTGTCTTCTCCTTGTATAATTATCAAATTGACATGTTCCGAAGAACAGTGTATGATTCAATTTCAGTGATATATGACTGCCAGATTTTGGTCGCCGCTGCACGCTTCGCTACGAGGTCTCCAGTGGTATTACGCGAGGTGCTGTAGTAGGGCCCAGATGTCGCTCGCCTTTCACGACGTCTCGCTCCTTCGTCCCTCTCAGACTCACTTGCTCGTACCTCGCTCGCTCGCTTCTCGAGGCCCTCGTCCGCTCGTTGTCGGTTCAAGGCTCAAGAAAGCCACAAAACCAGATAGCCGCCGCTTCGCGGCTTCGGTCTGAGGTCTTCAGGGGTTACCGCTGAAGACTCTGACCAGACCGTCCCTCATAGTGGCCACGATAACCAAGCATGAACAGATATACTCGAGTCATGACGAAGCCAGCCCTGAATCGCGAATATGATCTGGAGACATCGACACCAGCCCGCTGTTCTGTTCGGTGATCGAGTTGGTTGAAAGCCTCTACTATCAAACAACAAGTGACGGAGCTATCGACCGGTATACCTTCTTGTTTATGTCTGTTTCAGAATGGAAGTTGAGTTTTTGTTGTGGTAGACAGGTCAGTTGACCATATCAATAGTCCACAACTTCATTCCTCTTTCCTGCTACCAGAGGCATACTATGACCTATAGGTCAAGAGCAATCGACAATAGAATTACTACAACTCCAGAGCCACATGGAGATATTTCTCTAAAGGTTCATCCTCCTTGATCAAGTCTTGGCTTCTAAAACATTGCCCACGTGGCTCGTTTCGTTCTTGAGGGACGTATTGTCAAGTTGCTTGACCTTAGAGTCCATGCCGGCACCGCATGTTGCTTGACGTTAGACACCATCCGGTCTGTCAGAGTCTTCAGCTCCAACTTTACGGCATGCTATCTAATATTAGAGTCAATACTTTGAAGTTTCTTTGTCGACTCACTGGATAATCAACCTCCAAGGCTGACGTGATCGTGCCAGTTACAAGGGTTGATTTTGCAGCATGAACACTTAATGCAATCTAGCCTTTTCTTCATTGGGCATTCTCTGACGACCTCTTCCTTGACCCAGTCCATCAGAAACTCTTTTGGCAGAACACAGGTTGAATACATGTGCTCGGGTTCCACGTGGTGGATTGACATTTTCAAGAGCCAGCGGTACAGAGGGGCAGTCGCTGGCAAAGATTTTAGAGCTGCCGCAGCTAGGTCAAGAGGTGGAATACCTGGCATCTTTGATAGTTTTGTCATAATTTCACGGCGAAGTGCAAGCATGCCAGTCTGGTTGGAAAAGGAATACAAGCTGAATAGTTGATCATACTCAACAGCGTAGTATAGTGTCCCGGTATAGAGCCAGCCGACAAACATACGGCAGTTCGTGGGATTCAGCTTCACCGCCACATTGTTTACAGCATCGGAGACACTGCCCCANAGAACCTTAAGGTAGTATGGCGAGAAATAGTAACAGAGTTCTTTGTGAACCGTGGATTTATATGGCTTGCTGTCTTGCTTTGATGCATCTCCATTAGTGTCGGTTTCAGTTGGTATAAGATAGATCATCTCTGTAGCCCTACCAATGATATCGCTACCAATCTGTCAGCTTCGGCCAAATGTTGTGAAGTCAAGCGATTAACTTGCGCGACTTCATGAGCGTTCCAGAGCTTTGCACTCTCAGCGACTGGAGACCTAGCGAAACCTATAGCGACGAATGGAACGTTGTTCTTCGATGGGAATGGGAATGGGAATGGGAATGGGAATGTATGTACTGTGTTGTTATGAGAGATTTAGGAGGACACCCTGCAAGAGGAAGTGTTGTAATACGTGGCAAGAAAAATCAAGCCTGCAGAAAGGAGTGCTTTGATAGCATCTGGAGTGTTGGCGTGAGTCATGTCTTTGCAGTCAGCTATTCACAGCCCATCGTACTCTCGATATCGGTATGAGTCATGTTGTGAGCGAACCACCACACTGGAGGATCTCAAGCTTGAGATGATGCGAAGGTATGCGTTTATTAAGAAGTAGGATACTCGAAGATATGTCAGCATGTGGCCTCACAGATTCACCTCACTCTCTCGAATGAACATCCACGTCAAGGCCAATAAGTCTTCAACCACTCCCTTCCCTCGACAACCCAATCTGTCTCCAGTCCAACACTATCATTATCAAATCCATGCTCTGCTCCAGGGATTATTGTCTCTTTTACGCCTTCCCGAGCTTCCTGCACAAACTTCAGTGTCCCATCTATTGGTATAATCGTATCCTTTTCCCCGTGGAACATCCAAATTGGAGTCAAAGCTCCNCCTTTCTCTTTCATGACTTCCAAATTCTCAAGAGGGAAGAGCTTGGAATCAGTACCAAGAATCTCTGTATACTTTCCTTCCAACAACGAAGCGACGAACAGGTCTGGCTCTCCTTCCACGGGGATCCTCTCGGTGATCGGCTTTGCAGATCTTGCAGCTGCGAGTTGCTGATCAAGCCATCCATCTGGAAACGATGGTGGTGGTTGGCCCCAGATAACTTTTTGGCCGGGTTCACGGTACCATGCATCTTTGAGGTCAATCATGGGGTAATGTGCGATGACTGCTTTGACTCCTTTGGTTTCTCCAAGAAGTACGGATTGAACGGCCATGTATCCGCCTGCCGATTCTCCTGTGATGAGAATGTTGGAGAGATCGGCTGATGGTGTTTGCTGGGGGAATGAAGCAGTCAGGAAGGAGCCAAGATTGGTATGGAGCCAGGCGTAGAAGTTGTGTAAGTCGAACAATATATCAAGGCCAGATGATTCGGGTAACAGACGGTAGTCCGGAGATACAATGATTGCACTATGGAAGGCCGCGAGGTCGATGATCCTGAAAATTGAAGGATGACGTTAATAGACTTTCTTCGCAATGCAGTTCCAAAAACAACAGTAGCGGGCTCGGTCAATCCTCTGTATGATCGCATTGAGGGTAGAACGTTTGCTCGCGCTTGGTCGATTCATCCGTCTCGTGAGAAAACGTACNCATTTTGGAAACCAAGGTTCATACACTCTACCACCGTTGATCAATGCTCCGCCATGCCATCTCACTAATATGGGTAACTTTTGTTCCTTTCCAGCACTCTTGGGTACGAATACACTGACTCCGATTGAAAGGTTGTCCGAGGCGTATGCTGTATCTTTGCGGTGGAACGCGTGGAGTTTGGTAGTGGTCTCGGGGCCAGCCATTGGTGAATATCTCGTGCGAGTAAAGGGATGTTGTTCAAACAGTACGAGGAGGAAAACAACAATGTCGTTGGACGTGTACGTGTTTAGCCTAAGGTTCGTCGTTGGCGGGGTATCTCGGTACGATCTTGTACCGGGTGATATGAGGGATGCAACCGTACAAGCAAAGTGACACAAAAGGAGAAGTATAAAGATGGTAAGATATATCATTCATCATTGCTAGCTAAAACTTCCAAGGGCTGGGTACCAATACAATAGACATGTATAGACATCAATCATAAAAAGGCGTCAAGGTCGGCTTCTTACTCGCAATAAGCAGTGTGCAAGAACAGACCGTCGGCAGCATCAATCTCAAGCTCAGTACCTTGAGCAATGAAGAAGACATTACCCTCGGACACGTCGTAAGACTTGCCCTCGGCGGTGAACTTGCCCTTGCCCTCAGTGGCGAGCACGATGCTGGGACCGTTGACAGCACCAAGCGTCTCCTTCTCGCCCTTGCCGAGTCTAGACACAAGCATGTTGAACTCGCTCATAGGAGGTCTGTAAACCTGAGTCTTGCCGTTCTTGCTGCGATCGTAGGATTCGCCGCGCAGCATGCAAGCCTCGGGGTCGTGGGGCTTGAAGGTCAGGGTAGAGGTGAAGAGATCGGCAGAGTTGCGCTCGGCTTGAGGGCAGAAACCAGTGTTGAGAACGTTGTTACTACGGGCCATGCACTCAATGATATCACCAGCGAGGTAGGCGTGGATACCATCGGCGGGGATGTAGATGCCTTCACCGGCTTGGAGAACAAGGTAGTTCATGGTAACGAGAGCCACCAGGATACCATTGTCGGTCTTGTCGTATTGCTCAGCCAGGCGAGGGATGAGTTCAGGAATGTATGTGTCCTGACCAAACACAGACTTGTCGAGCTTTGTCAAAGCATCAACAACAGAGCCGACAGTCTTCTCATCAGCCTTGAGCATAGTATTGACAGTCTTCTTGAGGACCTCATCATCGAACTTGCTGTGTTCCGGGACGAATTGCTTCAAGGGGTCGATCTTGAAGAGAGGTTCGATGCGACCGAGGGGCTTGAAACCGCAGAAAGCTTCAAACTTGGATAGGGCAAGAGCAATCTCGGGCTTGTGGTTGGGGTCTGTGAAGTTCTGAGGGTCCTCCTTGTGTAGCTTGGCAGCGAGTTCCTTGTTGGGATGTAGTTGGAGAGGAAGGGCTTTTGCGATGGACAAGACCTTGGGCAGGAAAGGAAGGTTGGTGTGGCCGAACTTGTCAATGACGTTCTTGCCGATGAGCTGTTCTGCGTTGTTGTCGATAACTTGTTGCAGGTCCTCCATTGACGACTTTACGTATGAGGGAAGGACTGGGTAGGTGCCCATCCACNNCTGGTAGTCTTGTCAGAACGGTATCTCGTATGGAAAGCAACGAAGAACATACATCTCTGCGTATGACTTGTTGTCATCAATCTTGAATTCCTTGTCGGCCTTTTCACCATCCCAACCAGGAGTCTTTTCGCAGAGACGTGCTGAGATGGAGTCATGACCTTGCTTTCCCCAAGGGTATTGGTTGCAGCTGCAGCTGAGTTGAAGAACGGAATCGACAGGCATTTTGTGTCTTGTTGAGTGTGTAGTGAGGCGAAGAGGACGTGTGAGTGAAAAGTAGAAGAAAGAGGCTCAACCAGAGGTTTTGAAGGTGTCGATCGAGTGGGATGTTTTATTATGGAATTGCGCGGAGACGTGACGGCTATCTACGTCACGCTCACTCACCTACTCGGCGAACCTACCTTGTGTTGTCATTTGTGTGGGACCTGAGGTCTTGGGAGTTGCTTTGAAATACAAACACAGATGCAAGTCCACACGCATCGTGATGGGGGTTGACCATATGTTTTCAGAAGGCAGACGCAGCGAGATGATGTTTGTATTCTGGCGATAGTCCGGGAGTCTTCTCCGAAGCTTTGCTCGGGAGTCTCAACTACTCAAGCGCTTGCTTATACATCTTGTTAGCAGGAATACGGACTGGTCACGCCCAAGGATTCGGTCTCGTCAACTCAGTTGAACAATTGTGGACTCCTCGACGTCCTGAGTGAGCATTGCAGGATGCGAAATTAGGTGTCAGCAGAAGGATTCGAGCATATACGGCGCCAAGCAATAGCCCTGTAGCGCTCGAGGCAGAACGGAAGTCCGAGAGAAGGAGGCCGTTGAACAGACAGAAGACATGTCGGCAGTGAACCGTCTTGCATACGCCAGATTTTACTGATGCTCGAGGTGAGCATGTGAATGACTTGTCTTGTAAGATAGCGACGAACAGAGTTTGCACAGAGTAGAAGCCAGGGGCTCTTGTTGAGAGTAGAAAGGTAACCGTCGAAGCGCCAAGGAGATAATAGAAGGCGCAACTGGACACTTTATTGTTCCAGCCCTTTTTGTAGAAACACCCATCACCATCAACACATTCCCATCCGACACGTTCACGTCCTGATACGACTCCTTGTCGTCGTTTCGGTCGTCTTGCAAACTCCTCATTGCGAATTGTATCATCGAGCGACCACACAATGCAGCCATAAGAGCAGAGATACTGCCACCATTCGTTCCTTAATCCGGCTGCTGCTCCTTTTCCACCATCTCCATCCTCGACAAAGCCCGACGAGGCATACCACAGCACACGACCTCGGACGACCTTGGCGAAACACGATACATCACATAAAACATATTCAAGATGCATTTCGCTTTTCCACCACGCAAAACATCACATCCCCCGCCATATGCTGCGCGCTCAACTCGCTCAGGCTTCTTGCGCTACAGCCAGCTTCGGAATATCCTCATCCTAGCTGTTGGCGCTCTTGTAACATTATATCTGCTTTCCGGACTCTTCTCTGGCTCGAGCACTGTCTCAATACCTGCAGGAACACCCAAGGCTGTCGTCGTCACCACACTCGACCCTTCGCTGAGCGAATCTTACAAAGCTGCCATCAAGGCCAATCGAAAGCACTATGCTGCTAAGCACGGTAAGCAGCCATGCGACCATCTCAGTCTACGTTCTTTTACTGACAAGCTTCGGACTCAGNGCTACGTAGCTTTCTTCCCCAACACGACCGACTACCCTCTCGGTGACAACCCGAGCTCATGGTCGCTCATACCTGCCATGCGCCACGCCATGGCCCTATATCCCCACACCCCCTACATCTTCTACCTCACCAGCACAGCCTTGATCATGAACCCTTCATTGTCAGTCGAAGACCACATCATGGAGCCCCGTCGTCTCGAATCCCTCATGCTTGTCGACAAGCCAGTCGTCCCTCCGGATTCCGTCATCAAGACTTTCTCGCACCTCAAGGGCGATCGCATCGACTTCGTCCTGTCGCAAGATAACGAGGGCTTGGCAGGTGGTAGCATGGTTATTAGATCTGGAGAGTGGGCCAAGTTCTTCCTTGACTCTTGGTTCGACCCTCTATACCGCAGCTACAACTTCCAGAAGGCTGAAGCTCATGCCCTTGAACACATTGTTCAGTGCGTATTCCCTGCATCTTCTCACATGTTCGTCCCAGCCAGCTAACAAAGCTTTCACAGATGGCATGGTACAATCCTAGCCAAACTCGCGCTCGTACCTCAACGCATCTTGAACTCGTATACCCAGGGCCCCGCAGAAGGCATCTACAATGAAGGCGATTTCGTCGCAAACTTCCACGGCTGCATCCGCGACTCGAAACGCAACTGTGAGGCAGAAATGCAACCTCTCCTCACCAGATGGAGGGAAATTACCGACCGCGAGCGATGAGCAAGAGAGAGGAAATAGCGTGTATACGAGACAAGACTTGTTTATGGCGTAGGGGTGGGAGTCAAAGAGATTTTCTGAAAGAGAAGGATAGATATTTACAAGAGGGAATGGAGCAAAACATATATCAGCTCTGTATGTCGGGAAAGGATCGCAGATGTTCGGAATTGATTTTGTTTCGAATCATGTAATTGAAGAAGCGGCTGTCTAAGTGCTTGTCCATGTCCATATCTGCAAGAAGAAAGACAAAAATATGAACCTTTACGTATCAGTACAAAAAAAGATTTCATCAAAGGCTTCGTGGTAGGCGACAAAAGGCCAAGGAGAGGCCTTCAAAGCGTCATCCTCCCACTGGCTTCATGTGATCGAACAATCTTATAGCTATCTATACGTCAAGATCGCTCAACTCCAGAGCATCCGTCGAGTTCATGTAAGAGTATTGTGACTCGACTACAGGAAGAACGTCAGTCGAGATCGGCAAAAGAGGCGCATTCATTCTGCTTCCATCCGAAGACCAGTCAGCCGCATTCGGTTCGGTAATCGCGACTCGAGAAGAGGAGACGACAAAGTGATTCAGAAGGTGATCAATCGTGAAACTTAGCGGTACTCTTTTGTGGGACAGACCAAGCCGCTAGATAGATATGAGAGATCAGAGGTGTATCGAGTCGGAAGAGGAAGAAAGGAGATGTTTTACTTGACCCTAGGAATTATCCATGGTCCGACCACGCCCACCAAGCGTATGGCAGGGCAGATATCAAAGTTTGGGCTCAAATCTTGCCGTCGGTATTGTTGAAGTGTTCACCAACGTCGCCTCTCGCTCGAGTACAAGGTTTAGAAAAGGGGAGAGCAAGAGCTAATGGCATGATGAGGAACATCGCAGAGATCGAGTGGGATGTCTGATGTGAAGATGATCGTACATTGAAAATTCGGGAAACAGCAAAAAGCAATGAACAGCAGAAGAAGAGATGACTGGGTAAAACGGATTAATAGTGAGAAAGGAAAATCGGAGCTATGGGTCTATTCATCTTGTTTGTTCCACTGAACCTGTCGACACGACAATAGAGGAAACATAAAGAGCCGTTGCTCAAGAAAAACTCGGCTACGCAAAAGGGAGGAGGTGGTATGCAAAGCAGAAAGGAGAGCGGCCAAGCAAAGGAAGAAAAGGACGGCGGAAGCGATAAAGGAAGATAAAGGTGTATGAAGTTCCAGGAAAAGGGACTGTACATGTTTGGCCGATCATGTCTCTTGTGCTTCTCGAATGGATGCGTGTGGTATTGGAATCATGACTTTTTGTCTCATTGATGTGTAGTTTCTTCCTCTGTTTGCCTCTTTGCTCCCATCTACTCGGCATCGTCGTGGTAGAATCTCTTCAGTAGACGCTCGACAACCTTGAACTCTTTCTTTGCTTGTGCGATGGACACCTTGAGGTTGTCGAGGCAGACTTCGACGTCGGGCTCGTCGCGTGTGCCGGTCTCGTCCTTGTGTGCGCCGTAGTGCTGGATCTTTTCGCAGTGGTCCTTGACTTTTGTCAGGCCAAGTGTTGCACTACTACCCTTGAGGAAGTGGCCGAGGGCGCTGAGTTGGGCGAGATCCTTCTTTTCANNCTGTTGTTTGAGCAGCCGCATCAGCTTGAATTCTTGTCATTGTTTCGCCGCTTGGCAGGTAGAGGGTTTGAAAGATACGCACATGTTCTCGTCCATCTTGTCGAATGTGCTGTCGGCTTGCTGGAAGAAGTCGAAGACGATACTCCTGCTGAAGTCTCTCTCATCTTCATCATCGTCCATCTCGAGAATCTGCTCAAAGGTTGCGACGTCGATGTTGTCGCCAAAGTCGGAAAGTCCGATGGGACCGTCCTCGTTCTGTTCGTGTTTACGTTAGCTCCAAGGTTCGCGAAAGACGAGTGCTGGCCGTATGTACCTTGATGTCAGCTGCAGGCATTTTGACGTGGTTTTGTTGGAGATTCGAAAGTCAAAGAGGTGAAGTGGAAGCGTTCGCGGAGTTGAGATTATGATGTTCGGGCAAGTCGCGTGGCGAGGTTGTTGACCTGTTGGCTTTGTTGATCGCCTGACGGAAGTTGAGTGGTCCAAAAACAAGGACTCTTTGAGACGGCAGGGTCACGAGGAAGCTGAGCAGACGATGCTGTTCGAAGAGCGGCCGAGGCGTTCGTTTCCTCTTCAAATTCTGCACGGACGAATGACGTTTGGGAGGGGTGCGTGTAGAGCTCGTAGCTGATATGGAGTACCAAAGAAGTCGTGAGTCGTCAAGAAGTCAAGACACACGAGACGTTGGAGTCGAGGGGATGTCAGGATTGGAAAAGGAATGGAGACGAGGAGTCTGTGTATTAGGTTGTTCGGAAAGAAGAGACGTCGAAGCCGTGCCCATGCCAGGTCAACGCATCGAACCCAGTAGTGCCATGGTGGGGTTTCCTCGGCCAACTATAGAAAGAATTAACGACCTACCTAATCTCTGCACGCACGCTGAACTCCCGGCACTGCCGTTTGTGCTACCATATCCCTGATTTCCCGATCCACATGCCCTGTAGCCGGTGGCCTCACCGAACAATACAAACAGCAAATCTCAATAAGGACTCCACATCTTTTGATTGCTGGACCCTGTCCTACACTCCCTCCTAGGTCCTTACTCTGCTAGGACATCAAAGGTCATACGAGTCTCTCGACGATGCTCATCTCTGTAATCAAAGAACCCAGCATGTCCTTCCAGTCCACTCTCTTCAACCCGGAGGATTATGACGTCCTCGTGTTCTCATGCTTGAGAACCCCGAGTCTCTTCATCCTTCAACGTTCAGCTGTCTTCTCATAACTTACCATCCCCTCTATCTATTCATGTCCAGCCTTGACCAGGGACAGAGAAGACATCAAGGGCCCAGGGGCAGCTTGTCTGCTCTTGTACCATGCACAAAAGACCCGTCTTCCCAGCATCTTCTCGGCAGATTGTCCCAAAGAGAGAAAGTGAAGCGTCAAATTTCAAGCCACAATGCTGCCACTTTAGCGCCTATGATGTAACTGTTTCCGTCTGACGACGACCCTGTCGCGCTGTATCTGAGGCTCTTCAACCATTCACCCTCTTCTCCGTACTCGGAGTTGAAGGCCGATAGGTGTTCATGCTTCCAACTCCTGAAACCTGTCCTTCTTCGTTCCTCAAGACATCTTCGAGAAAATGGTTTCTTTCCACGTTCCGATCAAACGGTGTTTCTTGTTTTTCTCTTTTGCGAGACAGAAATTGTCCTCTGCTCCACCGTTGAGCAAATCGCGGTGTGCAAAGCGAAACCAGAAAACAGCTTTCCCTTTAGCGCGCCGCATTCGGGACCACTTCTGCGCCACAGCTGCCACGCGATCCTGCTCTATCCACATTCCGACATCTGACGATCGCAAGAGTGCATTTCAAAGGCTGTTTGGACAAGAGCCTCGTAGATCGTATGTTGCGACAGCGTGCGTGCGTGCGTGCGTGCATATGCTTCGACTGCATGCTGTCATGAGACAGATTGACACTTGGGGTAAATAGATATAACGTGCTTTAGAAACAAGCTATTTTCGTAACCTGATTGAGACTTTTTAAATTCTAAATCTTGTTCTACAACTTGCGTGTTCCATATCCTACATTACATACTTCGTCAAAAGGCAGATATCGGGCTCCTGCTTTAACCAGTGACCTTGTAGATGGACTCGGCAAGACGCTTGACGTTGGCAGAGGTGATACCAGCGACGGAGATTCTGCCGTCCTTGGTGGCATAGACGCTGTGCTCCTTGGCCAAGGCGTCCATCTGCTCAGGCTTGAGACCGGTGTAGGCAAACATGCCGATTTGGCTGGTGATGTGGCTCCAGTCGTGCTTGCTACCAAGCTTCTCGAGGTTCTCCTTGAGAAGAGCACGCATGGTGATGATGCGGTCGGCCATACCCTTGACCTCACCCAACCATTGCTTGTTAAGCTCAGGGTCGTTCAGGATAGTGGAGGCGACACGGGCACCGTGGACGGGAGGGTTGGAGTAGAGAGGGCGGACCAGGATCTTGATCTGAGAGTCGACACGCTTCTTCTCCTCGGCATCGGCGCAGACGATGGAGAAGGCACCAACACGCTCGCCGTAGAGACCCNNTGAGTAATGTTAGCATGCGCGCATGAAACAAAGCTGTTCAAGAAGACTGACCATGTTCTTGGCGAAACTCTGGCAGAGGGAGATCTGATGGCCCTCCTTGATGAAGTGGCGAATGGGGAAGGCATCCTTGTCAGTGTTTCCACTGGCAAAGCCCTGGTAGGCCATGTCGAAGAAGGGGTAGTGGCCGTTCTCCTTGACAACATCGCTCAGAGCGCGCCACTGGTCCTCAGTAGGGTCGACACCAGTGGGGTTGTGGGCGCAAGCGTGGAGAAGGACAATGCTGCCCTTGGGCATGTTCTTGATGTCCTCGACCATACCCTCAAAGTCAAGACCGATGGTGTCCTTGTTGTAGTAGCGGTACTTCTCAACCTTGAGGCCTGAATCCTTGAAGACGGCATTGTGGTTGGCCCAGCTGGGGTTGGGGATGTAGATGGTCTTGTCGCCAGGGTAGAAGCGCTCGAGGAAAGCACCACCGATTCTGAGAGCACCGGTACCAGAGATGGACTGGGTGATGACGATTCTGCCCTCGTTGAGAGGTGCCGAGTCAGGACCGTATGCGAGGACAGCGGCGGCCTTGGTGAAGTCGGGCACACCAGTAATGCCAGCGTATTCCTTGTCAAGGTTCTTCTTGACAACTCTTTGCTCGGCCTCCTTCACTGAGGGCAGGACGTAGGGCTTGCCCTGGTCGTCACGGTATGCGCCGACACCNTTGGGATGGTCAGATATTGTCTTTGCTTGATGGCGCAGGTGGATCATACCAAGGTTGATCTTCTCGGGGTGGCTGTCAGCCTTGAAGGCCTCGGTGATACCAAGGATGGCCTGAGGGNNGTCAGTTTGTTGTCATTCGTCTGGTCTTTGAAAAGCGCTTACATCCTACATTGCTGTCAGTATGAGTCGCCTGAGCGCATGCAAGCTGTTGTTACTCACAGGAGGTCCTTGGGGCACTTGCGACCAGGCGGAGGCGGCTCTGATGCTGGACTGCAATTGCAGGCGAAGCTTGAAAGCTTGAGCAGAAGCCCTCAAAGCAGTTCTGGATCCTGAAAGCATCTTGTCTTGTGAGGGAGGGCTAGAATGTTAATAATGAGAAAAAGAAGAGAGAGTGACTCCAAAAGTTAAACACGCCAGCAATGGTCGTTCTGAATCCTGGAGACAAGAGCTGGGGCAATGACGGCCTCCGGTCTTGGCCGCGGTATCGGCCCTATCCGTGTGGCATGGTTAAGAACGCGTGAGAACCGACTTTAACCGATCCAAAGGGATACCACTCGTCTTGAGACTTTCGCATATCAACATCTCTCATATCCATTTGAAGCACATCACTGCCAGAATCACAGGTATTGAGTTGTGGTTCTGTTGCATAAGACGATGATGACCGCTGATCCAATGTATGGCATTCTTTCTTGAGAGAGCTTGCAGTTCAAAAGTCAAGTAAATTGGTGAGTTGTCGCCATTGTGCATTACGACGATTGTCAGATGAATAGGTATATGGCTGAAGCGTCAGAGCCTCAGGCTTGATAAATCTCATCCATGAGATGCTTTCCCGGATGCTGAATCATGTGAAGCGTACAGCTATAGAAATGCACGGTACTATTGAGAAACAGCAGAGTATCCACTGAGAGCCAACATCCCAGCGGCTCTCTTTGGCTGATCCTCTGCTTTGGTAAAGAACTGGGCCTTTTTATAGTGTTTCTTTGAGTAGCTACCACGCAGGAAGGCGCGTTCAGCAGACACGTTTTGGCAACAAACCAAACATTTCCATTTCAGCACTCTTCTTCTTCCTCCATCATCCTCATCACTCGTCCCCTGAATTATAAACTTGAATCCACCGCGAACATGGTCTGCAGCTGCAATCCAGGTGTCATCATGTGGCTGCTTCTCTTCGTGCCTCTCAGGGCACCCTGCTGGCCCGATTGTCCAGCATCCTACTTTCATCTCATCGCATGGCGCAGTGTTCTTCGTGGTGTCGTGCAAGGCTGGGCGAGCAACTCGATCCTGAAGTATTGCTGGAACTTCCGCGGCTCGTCAAAATCCAGCATCTTATGGCTCGTTGCTATGGTTGCTGTCCATACTGTGTTCAACGCAGCAGCTCTCGCAGAAGGTAAACAGACTATCGCGCTTTGGAACCTAAAGATCTACCATGATGTCTTGCTCGACATCTTCATCCAACAGATCTTACTCGTGCTTTCGTTGCGCATAATCCTCAGCATCTTCATCAGGGTCCCAGGTCCAGCTCTTGCGAAACTCACCTTCTTCTGGGAGGTCTGGCATCTTGCCAAGAAAACTTATGAACAAGCTGTTTTTCAAGCTCATATAACATACGGTAAGATCGCAAGCCATAAATCAATTTTATATTCCAGGTCGTGTGTCAATTCTTGTTCCANNGGTATAATCGTACGCCTTGCTCCTTTTACGTACTCAGTCGCCAAGGCCCAGTTCCCGCCGGAACTCCAAGACCATCTCGAACTTAGATACTCCCATCCATTTCTCGCCCTGGCTCAGGTTTTCAAAGACGCATACCAGCGCCCTGCCCTAACGGAGCATCTCATGAGTGAAGCCCTCAGCAACGAATCAACCATCGATGCTTGTACCGACAATCTACTCGACAAATTCGCCGAATGCTCCGACAAAGATGGTATTCATATAACGAAGCTGCTCGCTTGCTTTTGCTGGGAGATGATGGGTGCTGCCACTACTGGTCACCGTTTCAGGTTCTCGGACAGTGCAGAAGGCCATCTTCTTGCTGAAAAATTGNCAAACTTCAGGAGCAAGTCCATTCGCAACGGGTCGTTCTTCTNNGTTTTCTACCCATGGATCGCCAAGATAATAGCTTGGTTTTCTTCCCAGGATAGCATTGCGGCCTGGTTCTCGTCGACCAAAAATACAATGATTCAGAGCTGCTCTTTGACTGAGGNNAGTGCTTTGGAGGCAGGTTCACAAGATGTGCAAGATTGTCTCCTCAGCGACGAGTTCGAGTCTTTCTATACCAAGTTTGGCATTCATGCCTGCCCGAGAGACTACTGTCATAGCGTCTTGTCATTTTTCATCGGAACAGCCGACCCTATCGCTACACATCTCCAGACTGTCATGGCATACCTCGCAACTCATCCTGAATCACAAACCCTGATCAATGAAGAGGTGCAGTCATCTTTTAGGGAAACCGCGTTGACCATGGAGAACCTGCTGGATTTGGGCTCGCAACTTCCGTATCTGGACGCAGTCTTACGTGAATCAGACAGACTGGTGGCTTCAGATGGACTCGTTCTGAACTACATCGCCAAAGAGGCAGTCGTCTTTGATGGATGTCGCATCCCTGCAGACGTGAGTAACGTGAGCGGGACTGTGTTTGGGTTGTACTAATAGTTCTTAGNNTCTACCATTCGCCTGACAAAACTTGCCGCTGGCCTTGACCAATCTCGATCTAGCGAAGGTGCCAAATGGGATTCTCAAAGATGGCTCAACAAGGAAAACATGGTTGTGAGTTGAATTTCGTCACTTTTCCATTCTTTGCTTTTTTTCGTCTTCACGTCTCACCGCTTCGCGTTTTCACAACATCAGGATTGATCTTCCTCCTCCTACAATAGCCAACAGTGCTATAGCATGCTACAAAAATGCACAATAATTTCTGAGATGAGGAAATGTCCAAGGAGATGTTTCTCCCAGAGTCATTTCTATGGTCACTCATCCAATCGGTAGGATATTGTGCATTTTGATAGCATAATATAGCACTGTTGGTTATCGTAGGGATGGCAGAGCGATTGTCAAAAGCGCAGGGAATATGGTAAGACCCTGAGTTGAGCACATATTTTTCAAGGCTCACTTTCGCTTCTCACTCCTTGGAACTTTCACTTCCACCTTCACACGCCCAAAAGCCCTTCACAGCCAGCCACACGAAATCTTCACTGCTATTGTCAGCTAGTGTCGTCTTTGCAAGCTATTCACTAGCTATTGTAGACTAGTGACAATAGCAGGTGGCTGGTCATGCAACATAAAACTCTACCCCAAGTCACCCTCTTCCTTTCCTTTTTACCCAACTGTCGAATTTCTTTTCTTGATTGCTTTCAACTCGATTTGACCTTCTACACTTTCTTGCTTCCACATTTGGCACCCCATCCATACACCATCCTACACTCGGTACACATGATATGTTCTGTATCCACCTTGCATCGACTAACACATACAAGTCTCACAGTAAAACTCTTCCTTACGGCAATCACATATCAAGAGCAATCGTTGCAAAAGTTGTCCTTAGACTCGTCCAAAGTTATCAATTCAACACAAACATGCCTTCTACTACGCCCACCATCGTCTTCTTGTCTGCTGAAGACCTTGATCAGCTCCGCGTCTGCATCAAGTCCCGTGGCCTACAGGAAAAGCTCTCTGCTATGAATAACCCTCACGGCGCCACCCTCATGACCGTCACTCTCAATACTACTCAACGTCTCCTCTCCATGTTCGAGGGCGATGCAAGAAAGAAGCTTCAACTCTATCTCAACGATCCCACTCCATCCGCTACGTTTACCACCATCCAGTCCGTTCCTCTGAGACGTGACCAACGCAGAGAGGTTCACAATCTCATTCGTCAACTCTCGAACAGCAAACTCGACTCCGGTCTTGACAACCAGACTTCTCGCATCGATGTCTTTGTCAGAAACACTATATCTCAATACCACAAGCAAGAGAACCAGCGTCCTCGCGTCCCTCGCCAGCAAAACACTCAACAACAGCGTGCTCCTACTAGGGCATTTCCTTACCATAACACCAATGCCACACGCAACGCTCCTCGCAACAAGTTGGCCACAAGAGGTACCGCCCCTCGCGCAGCTCCTTCCGTCCCGCTCACTGCTGAACAACAGGCAAAGGTGGATGTCTGGATCGAGACGCCTGCTCAAATCGCTGCACGGGAGGAGGCTGCCGCCGAAGCTCGTGCTAAGCGTCGCAATGCACCTCCCACCAAATTCAAGTCCGTTGATTGGGTGTCGCTCGTCGATGCGACTTTCAAGAGCACTGCCAAGGAGACAGGACCTGAGTTGACTCCCGAAGAGCTTGCTCAACGTGCAGAGCGCAGAAAGAAGGCACTTCCACCTCACATGCGTGGTGCCGCATTCCAGGCCCAGAACGATGAGTAAGAGGAAGTGGATGGTGTTGAGGAATGATGGCGTATGCATGATGGCTCATTCGGTTTTCATATCAGGGGTAGAGTTTACTTTGCCGGTCTTTTCTTTTGTTCATATCAGGGGCGGGTTTTGCTTTGCTTCGTTCTCTTGCTCGATACCCATGAATTGCAGTCATTTTACTTTCTCAAAGCCTTCTTTCAGTACCTGTATCTCACGCATTGTGATTCTGTCTCAGACTTTTCCATGACTTGTATAGACATGAGAAAGCCTTTTTTGACGAGTAGTCCAACTCATATTCGGAGAGACATAGTCTGGAGCAAGAAGTCAAGAGCTTCGAAGGACAACCAATTTTGCAAGTTACTATGAAAGTCAGAATGGTAGCAAGGACTCTTCTCAGAGCCACGGAGTGTTTGCACATCGTCCATATCTCAATGCATTGACCATTGTCGGAGTTTGTTCATGCTTTCTTGTGTACATGCAACAACCGTCGCATTGAATCAAGCCTGACGACCTTCCATACGGATGCCGTATACATTCATCTCAGAGTAATGCTCTGTGAAACGTCTCATGAATGCTGTTCTCCCGCTAGCTTCATCAGCTCTAGTAGGATCTCGTCTCTGGTCTGGAAATAATTGCGCATTCCTATAGCTACACTGTGATGGTCCTTGACCCACGAAGATGTTGTAGCCAAGTAACAATCATGCCTCTGAGATCTCTCTGAGAGCCACCTCCTTGTAAGCTTCCCCAACGACTTCTCCGGTCGAGGAAAGCTGCTTCTTGACACCCATTTCACAGATGGCGATCTTCGGGATAGGGATCCCAGAAGCCCAGATGTGAGACTCGTAGGTAGAGAGAAGGGATGTGGCGTCGATGTACAAAGAGGATTTTGCTGATGGGCCGTGGCCTGAGCTAGCTTCGTTGGCTTGCAAGGTATTCTCGCTCTCCTTTTTCCCTGTACTCTCTGTCTTGTTCTCCTCTCTATCAATGACTTGAGTCGAGAATGGGTGGTTTTCTGGCTCTGTAGCATTGGTTTCGTCTTCTTTAGGCTTTATAGTCTCGGGCTTTGGTTTCTTGCCCTTCTTCCTTCCTTTCACGTATATTGTGTTTACGAGTGTGGCATGCAGTCTTAATGGCCGTGTGTCCGAGATTAATAATCCGGCATCTGTGAAAGTTTTTCGTAGTGCTTGACAGAGGATTTGGAGGCGATTTGTTGGATCTTCGGGGCGTATGTAGAGAATACTTGTTTTGGACGGTGATTGCATTGGTTCCAGAGATTCGAGGGAGATGGTTAAGGGGTCGTTCGAGAGGTCGCGTATCACGTTTTGATTTGTATCCGAGGAAGTCGTAGGTGCATGATCTGGGGTCTGAGTGTCGGGGCTTGTAGGGCTGCATAGTTCGGTAGAGGTGGTTGCTTTAGCTTCATAAAGCAACTTATTCAGATTGAGAGATTGAAGAAGGGTAGTGGCTTCAGCTAGCTTTCCTTCGTCTAGGCTCATGACTCCGAGGGTCAGATGTAAAGAACCTAAGGGTCGGACTGCTTTTTCCGGTATCATNGGATGATGGTCCTCTCCAGCCTCAACTGCACCAGCGGAACACACATGTTCCTTGAACTTTCCAATACTGGCTTCTAATTGAGGCTGAGAAACCGAGTTTACAAGTGGAACGCAGAGGAAATGTGTAAGAGAAGGCTTCTTGGATACGTTCTTTCTCATGTTTGGATGCCGAGTCATGGCAGTATAAAAGCAACGATGAAGATGAACTCTTGCGGGAACAATTTGAAAGTAAAGAGAACGGGCAAAAAGAAGCATCACCTGTGCTAAGATTAGGATATTAAGACTCTCGAGACAGATATGTTTCGAAATGATTTTGAGTACGAGGACTTGGTGGTTTCAGGAAGGAGAAGTCGCGAGACTGGTATAGACGGCAAAAGCCGCCATGACGACGTAAAGCTCTAGAATTCCGACTCGTGCGACCAGCTTTCTGCTTGCTCACCACGACAAGACAAACAACTATCAGCCATGGCAGACGTCGACACAGAATCGCCAGCACAGCGTGCAGCTCGTCTGCGCCGCGAGAAGCGCAATGCGAAGATCCAGGCCGAGGGCTCAGACAGACTGGCAAGAATCACGCAGTTGAGCGGAAGACCTGCGCCTGCGCCTGAAGAACNNGTATGTCGCATGAATCTAGACTGTCGAAGAGTGGCCTAAACTGACACTCTTTGCAGCATCCATGACACAACCCCCACCAAACCCGCACAAGCTACGCCAACCATGACACCACAGCATGCATCCGTCGAGGACCCGGACGAGGTCGACATCTCCGAGCACTACTGGACACCCACTCCTTCAGACCAGACTCAACTCGCCCGTCTACAGCAACAACCGCAACAGTCTCCCTTTGCACGACCAGGCCAGCAAGATGAGGATCCTATGCTCAAGATGATGCAGTCATTGCTCAGTGGAGATCCCTCAGCAGCGGGCGGCATCCCGGACTCGGCCATGGACGACCTGCCTCCCATGCTCAAGGCTATGATGCAAGGTCAACGCGCAACTCAGCAACAAGCTTCACCACCCACCGGCTCAACCTATCTGTGGCGTATTGTCCACGCTCTCTTCGCGCTCGCTCTGGGCATCTACATCGCAGCCAGCGGCACTTTCAACGGCAGCAAGTTCTCACGTTCAGCTTCGCTCCAAGAGTCGGACTTTGGCCCTAGGCTGTTCTACATTTTTGCAACTGCCGAAGTAGTATTGCAGTCCAGCAGATACTTTATGGAAAAGGGAAGACTGCAGGGAAGTGGATGGTTGGCTACGATTGCAAACTCGGGCCTGGTGCCTCAGCCATGGTCCAACTACATCAGCATGTTGGGCAGATATGCTGTCATCTGGCAGACGGTTGTTGCAGACGCCATGGTTGTTGTGTTTGTGCTGGGCTGTCTTGCTTGGTGGAATGGTATGGCTACTGCTTGATTGGTGGTCTATCCTCTCTGTAATCTTGCAGTAATTCATGACTGATCCAGACTCCTCTTTTCGCCGTCTCTCTAGATCAATGAGTGTTCTTTCGGCGATCGTAATCAACCCACTCAATCAACAGAAACGGTGGTCACAGCAACTCATGTGTCAATTTGCTGTCTGGTGACTGAGATGATGTAGAAACGCCATGTGCCCTTTTGTACACAGCCAAAGTAATTTTGGCAATCCCAGCATCCAACAAACGCCATGCAGAAAATGTCGTCTCTGTCCTCCCAGAATATAATTTTACACAGATTGACTCGTCTCTCAAACGGCTGAAGCGACATCACCTCTTGCTTGGGCCAACAGAGCCTCCTCTCTCTTCTTCTTTTCTCTGACTTCCAAACTGAGCTTGCTGTCTCTTTCACTACGAAGCCGTTGCTCCTCGAGCGAACGCAATGTCTCCAACTCTTCCTGTGTAGCCTCGACCTGTTTCGCGCTCGTGATCTTGATCAAGTCTGCCAGAATGTTTTCTTGGGTGCGGTTTGTCATGTCGATCGTCTCTGTCCTTGAGCTGGGCGAATAGTTGCTAGGTTCCTTGTCACCGCTCGTGCTGGTAGTGGGAGCAGCACCGCTGGTCGGCGAGGCTTCCGGGTCGGCGAAGAAGACGGTCATCAGGGCGGGGTCTGTTTGTGCGGCGGTGCGGTCGAGAGTCATGGGGATGGCCGGGTTGTGGAACTTCAGACGGACGAGTTCGTGGCGCCAGAACTTTCTCGGGCCCATGTGACCGCCGTCGATTTTGGGAGCGAAGCGCATGTGGATACGGGAGATTTCCTTGGGGAGGACTGCTGCGCCGGGGCCGAGGCGGATGGCGAGGAGCTGTGTGTTTAGGTCAATTTGGTGGTCGGCGGCGGGTGGTGACGAGAGTGATGTACCTTCTGCGGTGCTTGTCAGTAGTGGTCGAGGCAACAGACGGTCATGNAGACGTACAGTTTGCAGCTTGCGCATGCGCTGCAGTAATGACACCATGGTGGGCAAGGGTTATGTGTGCTTTGTCGTAACCTCGAATTGGTTGCAAGACGCATGTCCGTAAAGTTGCGGCCGTCTTCGACTCTCGTCCGCGGCCGAAGATTGTCCGCCGCTTTGGTGCTCCATCTTCGTTACCGTTGGTCGAGCGAACGAAACAGCTATCCAACCCATCCGACTTCCATCTACACATCTTGCATCATGTCGGTTGCCAACGGAGGACCTCTTGCGACCACATCGGGCGGCATGAAGCCTGTCCAAATCGCCCAGGTCAAGGGAAATTCTCGCGAAAACCGCACCGCTGCACACTCTCACATCAAAGGCCTGGGTTTGCGCTCAGATGGCCGCGCAGACACGAATGCTCAGGGTTTCATCGGCCAGGTCGCTGCCAGAGAGGTTGGTCTGCTCCGATCCTTACGCGACCTCAATACTAACATGTCACCACAGGCTGCAGGTGTCGTCGTCGACTTGATCAGAGCAAAGAAGATGGCTGGTCGTGCTGTCCTCCTCGCCGGAGGTCCTGGAACTGGAAAGACTGCCCTCGCCTTGGCCGTGTCGCAAGAGCTAGGAACAAAGGTGCCTTTCTGCCCCATCGTCGCCTCTGAGGTCTACAGCACAGAGGTCAAGAAGACCGAAGCCCTGATGGAGAACTTCCGCCGTGCCATTGGTCTGCGTGTACACGAAACAAAGGAGGTCTACGAGGGCGAGGTTACCGAGTTAACCCCTGAAGAGGCCGAGAACNCCCTCGGCGGCTACGGTCGCACCATTTCACACCTTCTCATCACCATGCGCTCTGCTCGTGGTACGAAGAAGCTACGTCTGGATCCCAGCATTTACGAGGCCATTCAAAAGGAGCGCGTCCGCGTCGGAGATGTCATCTACATCGAGGCCAACACCGGCGCCGTCAAGCGTGTCGGTCGCAGTGATGCATTCGCTACTGAATTCGATCTGGAAGCTGAGGAGTATGTCCCTGTCCCTAAGGGAGAGGTCCACAAGAAGAAGCAAGTCGTCCAGGATGTCACCCTTCACGACCTGGATATCGCCAACGCACGTCCTCAAGGTGGTCAAGATGTCATGAGCATGATGGGTCAATTGATGAAGCCTCGCAAGACCGAGATCACCGACAAGCTCCGCGCAGAGATCAACAAGGTCGTCAACAAGTACATCGATCAAGGTGTTGCAGAACTCGTGCCTGGTGTCTTGTTCATCGATGAAGTACACATGCTCGACCTGGAATGTTTCACCTACCTCAACCGCGCTCTCGAATCCTCAATCTCTCCCATCGTCATCCTTGCATCCAACCGTGGCTCCACTACCATTCGCGGAACCGACAACCTCGTTTCTGCCCACGGTATTCCTCCGGATCTTCTTAACCGCCTCCTCATCATTCCCACCCACCCTTACTCGGCCAACGAGATCCGCAGCATTGTCGCAACCCGCGCACGTCTCGAATACAGCAGCGCCGCACCGCCATCTCTGCAAGCCGACAAACCCGGTGCCGCTCAAGGACTTGTGCAAACCACTCAGCTCGCAGACGAGTCGCTGGATTTGTTGACCAAGCATGGAGAGCGCGTGAGTCTGCGTTATGCTATCCAACTCCTTGCACCATCTGCTATTCTATCGCGATGCAGAGGCTCCGACAACAACATTGTCACAGCACAGGATGTCAACGAGGCTGTGGATCTGTTCTGGGATGCTGGTCGTAGTGCCAGTGTGTTGAGAGAGCAGGGTACCAGTACTGGTTTCATCTCGTAAAGGAATATCTCCGGTTTAGCATGTGGCATTTAATGAATGTTTTGGGGAGCAGGTGTTTATGGCGTAGACTCAAATGGCGGTATGGGGAGCGACCTCGCAAAAGCGGTAGTATTGTACGATTCGAAATGATATCAACTCTTGACCAACAAAAAATGTTAATTCATGAACATTCACTTGTGCTGTAACGGTTGCTCTCCTTACACACTATGATCCTGCTGGTCTATCCGTTGTTGCTTGATGCAAGGAAATAATTGCAGTCAGGGTCATCCTCAACTCAACAATGACGAAGTCCTGCGACTCCACGTCTTTCAACCGCAACCAGTCCTTCGATCCAACCCTTCACACCGGCACCACTCATAACAGCAATCATGTCGTCAACACTAAAGCGCAAGCCTTCTCCTTCAGAAGACGAATCACTGGCCGAATCCTCCAAACGTCGCTTCACCGAAACCACCACGGACGATGCAGCACCACCACAAGACAACGACATGACCTCAACAGCCGCATCCTCAGCAGCACCCACACCAACATCAGCAGCAGACTCTACAACAAGCACATCCCAAGCCGACCGCCTCGCCCGCTTCGCCGCCCTCCGCAACAGAAACAAATCCTCCCGCGACGACAACCGCAAAGCCACAACTCTAGAAGTGTCGCGCGCCTCTGCCGACCCTGGTGCTCTAGCCTCTCTATCCCGTCGCAAAGAACGCGCTTCTGAAAAACTGCTGCATGCGCAAACACTCGAAGACGGCGACGACTGGGATCGCAAACGCGCCTGGGACTGGACGGCCGAAGAATCCGCAGCTTGGGACAAAAAGCAAGCAAAGAAAAAGGCACACCGCGATAACGTCGCATTCCAAGATTTCAGCCAGGACGCAAACAAAATCTACAAACGCCAAGTCAGAGAAATGAACCCGGATGTTTCGAACTACGAAGCGGAGAAAATGGCTGCGGTGGAGAGGGCCGCTCAATCTGGAGGACTGGAAATTGTAGAGACGGAAGATGGAGAATTGATTGCTGTGGACAAGGATGGCAGTTTCTACAGCACAAAAGACTCGACCGAGTTTGTGGGGAACAAGCCGAGTAAAGAGAAGATTGACAAGTTGGTTGGAGAGATACAGAAGGCTGAGGAAGTCAGACTCAAAAAGAGAAGGGAGAGGAGTGGTAAGGAGGAGGATGGCGATGTCACGTATATCAACGACAAGAACAAGCAGGTAAGTTATGCTGCAAGAAAGAGTATGGGGTTGAAGAGTATGCTGACATCAAGTGACAACNAGTTCAACCAAAAATTGGCGAGGTTCTACAACAAATACACTTCGGAGATCAGGGACAGTTTCGAGAGAGGTACTGCTATCTGAACGACTCAACTATCTTCGATATCCCACATCAACGTAATGTTCTGAAACACGATTGAGGAAACTCATGCAAAGAGCGAAGAGAACATAGCCCCCAGAGGGAGTCACGAGAGAGAGCACGACTTCCTCAAGGGCGAGCAGAAATGTAACGAACATGCCATCTCTTCCTTCCGAGACATGCCCTTTCCTCTTGCACTTCCGTTTCGAACAATTTGAACCGTTCAATATGTACGAACCAATGGGGATTCTCAGGCAGAGCACCACAAGACGACAGTGTAGTCTCTTTTCTTTCATGTTTTCACAGTATAGGGACTCTCACTGAAAACATGCCTTCGTGGTTCTCGTCCGATAAACTTGATCAAGTCGGCAAAATTCGATCGTCAAAGCGCAACAAGCATGTCAAAGGCTTTTTCTGCTTATCTCTGTCCCATCTTCTTGCTCCAGCCTCATTTTGGTGAATTCGTTAGCATCTGTTTTCGTATAGACATCTTCTGATATTATGAGAAAATGAACATCTGTTCTTGAGGATCGCTATTCCATGCTATCGCCATCTTTCGAGGTTCTTGTCTTCGACAGAGGTATCGAGATAGTACACGCCTTCAATGCCTCAGCAAAACATCATCTGTGTTTACCACAAAAGCAGAATGATGAACGGAATGCTCGTCACAAATCTTGACCATCTCAGTGTTTCTCTGCGTGAATGATGAACTTGTATCAAGAGGTGTTAATTGAAGCTTTGGAGAGCTATTTTGGAACCTCTCCAGTCTATCAAAGGTGGTGAAGGGTAGGAGACGTGTCTTTGTATATAGCTCACCTGCAAGATGGTAATGGTCGAGACATGTAGATGACGACATAACCGAATCAAAGAGGGAAATACACTTGTCGTTGGCATGTGGAACGAAAGGAACATGCCACGTTTAAAGGAAGGTCGAATATACACAAGGAGACAAGAAGGTGAAAGAAGAAACAAGGTTTTTGGGGTGGGAATCATTTTGAAATTTAGCACTCGTCTTCCCCAGTTGCCAGACCGCTAATTGAGTAACAAAACGCCGGTCACGTCGCAAGCAAGACTTTTCATAGCTAAGAAGAAAACATTTAAGCGGAGCGCTCGAGGTCCTTCTTGAGGGTACCCATGAACTGCTTCTTCTCGGCAGGGGTCTGGTAAGCACCGTGACCGAACTTCGATGATGTGTCGATCCANCTGGGTTGTGTTAGTATGATATGGTAGGATAAATCAAAATTTGTTTGACATACCTTGAGCTCGACCTTCTCGGTGGCGCGGCGGGCAGTGTGGATGAACATGGACTTGCGGAGAGTAACAACGCGCTTCTTGACACCGGGGACGGAACCCTTGAGCATAAGGAAGTCGTTGTTGATCTCTCCGTAGCGGACGAAGCCACCCATGGGGGTGATGGTCTTCTTGGAGACATCGAACTCGGTCGAGGCGTTGCCAGCATCGTCACCGCGGCCAATACGGTAGATCTTGTGGTTGACCGAGGTACGGTGGTGGTAACCGTCCTGACCAGCACGGGCAACGGTCCACTGGACTNNGAGAGGGTATCAGTATGAGAGAAAAAGTGTTCAAGTCAGAAGACGAAACATACCGTGCGAAGGGTGCCAGGCACCGATACAGGCGACCTTACGGAGACCCTTGTGGGTCTTTCTCGGGAGCTTCTTGGTGCCCCAACGGGAGGTAACACCAGAGAAACCGTGACCCTTGGTGACGGCGATGCAGTCAATCATCTCGTCCTTCTCGAAGATGGAGCTGATCTCGATGGGCTTCTCGAAGAGGCCGTTGGCGAAGTCAACCTTGTCGGCAACGGAGCCACCGTTGACCTGGATCTCCATAAGGTGGGCCTTCTTCTGCTTGAGAGGGGTCTTGTGGATCTGGGTGTGGGCGAGGACACGGACGACAGTGCAGTACTTCTTGATGCGCTCGAGGTCGCGGGTGACGGACTGGCCAGCGTTCTCAGAGTGCTTCTTGGCGTACTTGGTGAAGGCCTTCTTCTTGGACTTGTACCAGTTCTTGTAGAAGCGACGCTTGACCTCGTCGGACAAGTGCTCGGCCCAGACGGTGGTCAGGGAACGGAGACCACGGGGAGTCTCGATGTAGCCAACAAGACCAACGGCGACCATNCTGAAGAGTGTGTTAGTGTGTGTTTTGAGTCGAATCGGGCGATTGGAAAGGTAGCGTACGGGAGGGGTCTCGATGATGGTGACGGCCTCAACGATCTCCTTCTTGTGAAGCTTGGCACCGGGACGGTCGAGATCGCGGACGATGGTGGACATGCCGGCCTTGTAGCCCATGGCAGCAGTCAAGTGGACGGGCTTCTTGGAGTCATCCTTGGGGAACGACTTGGCCTTACCGCGGTGGTGGACGGTTCTCTTGCGAGGAAGGAAGGCCACTNNGTGCGCGCGTTAGCAATCGGTCCTGGCGAGCTGGCGATGGTGCTGTAGGCGCTGGTACTGACAAGAGCCGTGACGGGGAGCCTCGAACTTTCTGTGCGACATCTTGACTGCTGTGGTTAGTGACAACGAGGATGACCTGGAAAAGCGAGAGAGCTGGAGGCCGATGAAATTTGCAAAAGCCCAGAATGCAAGTCTTGGCACGGTGGTCCTCGCTTAGCCCCTGCGCACTCACGTCATGTGATTTGATCTTCTCTCTGCACGTCTCGACTCTGCTTCACCTGCTCAACATCCACAACTTGTCCAATGCTTTGTGAAGGGGTGGCAAACGATAGGCATTACGTTTTCTCATCACCTTTGCACCTCATGTGGAGCAATGGATGGCGAATTGTCTCGATGCTTGCAAGGCGAGAGAAACGCCAAGGCGAGTGCTCCAGACGGAAAGTCATCTTGAGCACGCGACTTACTCCAATCGATATATCCTCTCGTCGTAACGTAATGTAGGTCATGCTGCTGGTGAACGCTTTGTGATAAGCTATACCACTTCCATGATGGCAGAGAGAGCTATAGGTAAGGGTGAAGCAATCTGTCATGGGTCAGAGCCAGCTAATGCTGCTGTCGGTATCCTCAACAAGGGTTAAGGTGATTCACTACAGGTTGGTGTAACATTAGTCAAGTCTACTTCACAAGACCATACTGCATTCACCTCTGGCTTCACTCCTCGAAGACTAGATTCAATCCCCTCTCACTCCTCCAAGACTGTGACTACTTAATTCTTGTCTTCTCCTTTTTCCTTCCTCCTTCCATCCAACAAACATCACCACGGACGGCCACCGTCAGAACGTTGACGACACCAACCCTCCCAAGAAGTCTCCCGACAAGGGAAGCATCCGCAAGAAGAACACTCCTCTTCTCTATTGTAAAGATCTTGGGATACTGCGCACACATTTCACATTCCTCTAACAGTGAGAAGGCGCCCACCACGACTGGAACAAGAGTCACTCTTCCATGGACTGCCGCATGCTCAAGCTCTCCGAACAGCAGATCTTCGTGGACACAGTTTCAGTTTGGATTTAACTATGTATTCTTAGAGATGATTATTGCATCTGCATCGTCACAAGAGATGTCTGGCTAGGAGGTGGACATGACCGGTCTGTCTTCCTCCTTGGTCAAAGGATTGTCGCAAGTGTGGCTGTAGCAATGCATGATATACTCAAGAAACAGAGCAGCCTTCGTTGAGAGGATCATGTTTGATGGCCTCTCTCTGGACATGCCTCTGATTAGAATTCAATCGTGCATTTTTACAACTCGGTAATTACTCCGCATGACTACGAGAGACATTTGAGGGGTGTGGGCATGAGGAAGCACAGGGTGAGTAGAGCAACAAGTCTCAAGCTGACTCTCAGTCCTTTCCGTTACACATCGACAAGCGTGGTAATCGCACATGTGCCACCAAGGACGGGTGACAGCTGTTATGGGGTACAAGACACGTCCATAGTATTGTGAAAAGATGGAGGATCTGCAGTCGATAGTGAAACAGTGCGACCTTCAAGCAGATGAGATGGCCCGTGCCGTGGAGCCACTGAAGCAACCCGAAATAGCCTTTGGATCGAGTACCCTGAACGCGTTCGCCGGTGGCTGATAGGAGTCATCGATTGCAAAGGAGTTTTTCAGACCTTCCTGTTGCAAGGGTCGACAGAACACGCATATCCCAAGCCGCATCACACTGACCTCCAGAGCACCAATGAGCCGAGAAGGACGAAGCAGGACCGCAAGAGACAGACCAGACCAAGAAACCCGCCGACTTGTAGGTGCATAGATATTCGAAACGACGGCCAGTGGCCTCAAACCTTCTTGTGTCGCAGGTGTCCACTTCGTACTCCTCTGGGGCTACATGTCAAGACAGTCGCTCGTGAGCTAATCATCTCTGGAAACACTCAATCCTTCAACCGCGAACTGCTCTCGTGCTCGAACCATTCCTCACACGATACGCTACCTGACTTGCTGTAATTCTTCCTCGGCGCATACATGAACAGAAGAAGCTAGTCCAACACACATGTCGTGGCGACCGGTCAAGAACATCGTGCATGCTGTATGCGTGCAGCGATTTGAAGCCACTCACCCCAATGATATCGCCCTCGACATCGGCGACGATGTCTATGTTACCGAAGTAGGCGGCACCTCTCATGAGTGGTGTCGGGGCTGGCTACTGTCGCAACCATCTATCATCACCGGTCTGGACTGCCAGAATGGCCAACCAATCATGCCGCGAGCATGTGCTGGCATCTTCCCGCGCAATTGCATCGAGGTCCGCGAGGTCTTGACTGAGGACAATGAAGTCGCCGAAAAAGAGAAGGAATCATTGGATACTGTACAGGCGAATGGTGGTGCTCAGAATGGTCACCACCCTCTGGAGATATTGAACAATGCACCGCGAAGAGGGAAATCCAAGAGAAGGACACGTTTGTTACCACACAAGCCCAACGACACTCACCTTCTGCCCACGGAAGTGCAGCCGAGACCGGTGGGTGCCCTCAAGGAAGAAGCTCCGCTGCCTGCCCTTCGCATCGGTGACGCGACCNCCTTCTCCAACGAAG